GTCCTAACTTGTCTTGTCTTGATTTCGAATGTTCATGGTTTGCACTTTCACATATTTTTAGCAAATATCAATTATGTTTGAAATGTGATGTGATGTAGTGGTGGTTGTTCCTTGCAGATGCAGGAGGGTCTAGAAAAGTCATGATCTGGGATATTTCTGAACCTTTCTGGACATTATTAACGTTTATGGACATTGGTCATCTGTTTGTTTTTATAGCATTTCCTGTGTTTAAACTGTTTGAACCTCTTGTCTGTTATAGATTAATCGACAACTGCTGCTGCAATTTAGGGCTAGACAAAAATAAATGGTATTGAATTGAATGTGAACTTTTTTGGACCAAAGTCCCCCTTTTTCCACGTTTTAGCCAGGTAGCAGGTTTTTTCAGAAATGTAATGTGACCAAAAGGTAGAGTCCTGAAACTTACCAACAGAGGATTTCTGAAATCAATAGAAATGGATAAAAGGAAAACAAATGTAGGAATATGTTTGTGGGAAGCAGGTCGTTGTATGCAGAGCCAAAGCAATAAATAAATACATACAGTGGGGCAAAAAAGTATTTAGTCAGCCATCGATTGTGCAAGTTCTCCCACTTAAAATAATGACACAGGTCTGTAATTTTCATCATAGGTACACTTCAACTGTGAGAGACAGAATGTGAAAAAAAAAATCCAGGAATTCACATTGTAGGATTTTTAAAGAATTTATTTGTAAATTATGCTGGAAAATAAGTGTTTCGTCAATAACAAAAATTCAACTCAATACTTTGTAATATAACCTTTGTTGGCAATAACAGAGGTCAAACGATAACTATAGGTCTTTACCAGGTTTGCAGACACTGTAGCTGGTATTTTGGCCCATTCCTCCATGCAGATCTTCTCGAGAGCAGTGATGTTTTGGGCCTGTCGCCGAGCAACACAGACTTTCAGCTCCCTCCATAGATTTTCAATGGGGTTGAGATCTGGAGACTGGCTTGGCCACTCCAGGACTTTCAAATGCTTCTTACGGAGCCACTCCTTCGTTGCCCGGGCGGTGTGTTTGGGATCATTGTCATGCTGGAAGACCCAGCCACATTTCATCTTCAAAGCTCTCACTGATGGAAGGAGGTTTTGGCTCAAAATCTCAGGATACATGGCCCCATTCATTCTTTCCTTAACACGGATCAGTCGTCCTGTCCCCTTAGCAGAAAAACAGCCCCAAAGCATGACGTTTCCACCCCCATGCTTCACACTAGGTGTTCTTGGGATGCAACTCAGTATTCTTCTTCCTCCAAACACGACGAGTTGAGTTTATACCAAACAGTTCTACTTTGGTTTTATCTGACCACATGACATTCTCCCAATCCTCTGCTGTATCGTGCTCTCTGACAAACTTCAGATGGGCCTGGACATGCACTGGCTTCAGCAGGGGGACACGTCTGGCACTGCAGGATTTGATTCCCTGTCGTAGTGTGTTACTGATGGTAACCTTTGTTACTTTGGTCCCAGCTCTCTGCAGGTCATTCACCAGGTCCCCCCGTGTGGTTCTGGGATTTTTGATCACCGTTCTCATGATCATTTTGACCCCACGGGATGAGATCTTGCGTGGAGCCCCAGATTGAGGGAGATTATCAGTGGTCTTGTATGTCTTCCATTTTCTGATAATTGCTCCCACAGTTCATTTGTTCACACCAAGCTGCTTGCCTAGTGTAGATTCACACTTCCCAGTCTGGTACAGGTCTACAATTCTTTTCCTAGTGTCCTTCGACAGCTCTTTGGTCTTGGCCATAGTGGTGTTTGGAGTCTGACTGTTTGAGGCTGTGGACAGGTGTCTTTTATACAGAAAACGAGTTCAAACAGGTGCCATTAATACAGGTAACAAGTGGAGGACAGAAGAGCTTGTTAAAGAAGAAGTTACAGGTCTGTGAGAGCCAGAGATCTTCCTTGTTTGAAGTGACCAAATACTTATTTTCCACCATAATTTACAAATACATTTTTTAAAAATCCTACAATGTGAATTCCTGGATTTTTTTTTCACATTCTGTCTCTCACAGTTGAAGTGTACCTATGATGAAAATTACAGACCTGTGTTATTATTTTAAGTGGGAGAACTTGCACAATCGGTGGCTGACTAAATACTTTTTTGCCCCTCTGTTTGTTTGTCTGAATGTTTAAGACCTATTTGTTTAGACAGGCTTTCTCGCCTCACTGTAAACAGGCCTCTGTGAACTGTGTTTTTTCTGTGTTTTTGTTTTTAATTCTGACTTGTATGTGTATTTTATGTGTTTTAATGTGTGAAGCGCTTTGTGATCCTGGTCTGTGAAATGCGCTATACAAATGAACTTTACTTACTTACTTACTTACAATATTCAGTGTGTATGTAAACTACCAGTTAATATGTCACAAATAGGCCAAGTAGAAGTCATACTGTTTATGATTTCAGGGTGATTTAGGCAAGAGCCAAGGACCCTTTGTGTGTTTGTGTTCTGCCTCATCAGTTAGTGAATCAAGTGGCCTCCTCATACTCCGACACATGGTGCAGCATGTTTGATCAGGGGCAGCAGATGTTATGGTAATGTCCAATTGGCTAAACAGCCACTGCACAATTGTGGACAATCCTGAAATTAAAAATACACACAAAAGCAGAAGCAGTGATTTAAACATTTATTGATACAAATATGACATCAAATACTCCTCCTTCTTACCTCCCTCCAGTTCTGGAAGTGTCTTTAAAAATCCTGCTACATAGTTCTGTGCTACATCCAAACCCCCCTAAGTAATCTCTTCACAATACATGTGCTGTGTCAAAGTCCGTAAGGCATCGTACAGTGTATAGAATGATCTGACATCTTCTAAATATGGCAATAGTTGCAGCATAGTAACAACAGAAGAAACTTGCAAAACACGGCACGCTTCTCAAAAAGCACCAAACTAAATGAGACTCCAGTTCAAACCCATCGGCGGTGAGGAAAGCACTCATGCGGACATTCTTCTGGACATGCACTTTGGCCTTTACATGCAAGGAACAAAAGATATGCACAAAATATAATCAGTTATGTACAACTTCCAAAAATCATTTGAACATGCATCAAAAACAGCCTTCTTTTTGAGAGCAGCTGCAAACACAGATGTCATCACAATCCAATCCTGAAAAACAAGCAAAAACCGAAAGCTATAATTGAATTCCCATAACGACCACAAAGGGAATTTTGTAGCCGGGAAAACTAAAAAAGCAAGATGGCCTCGAGACAGAGCGCCAGAATCTGAAATGGATTGTAGTGTGTTGAAAATCACAGTTTTGAGTGTGATTTTTGAGAAAGTTAGATGTCTAAGAATTGTAAGAAAAGTCTGGAAGCTTTTGTTTATGTGGCTTAATCAATCCGTAAAGCTTGCTACAAAGAGGCCAGCATCTCAGATTTTAGTGCCAGTTTGCCTACGATAAGACATGTGTATATATATAGATGTATATGGCTGCATTTGTGTACGAATGAAAAATAACAAGATGTCGGGAAATTGCGGGGAAAATGGAAAATACTTCAAACCTGGTAAATGCTACGACACGATATCCTTTTACCACAAAATACAAAGGCGGAAAATGGCTGAAGAAACTGGCCTGGAAGTTCATGTGTGTGTTCCATCATGCAAAAGAAGAAACTGTGACAGATGCTGAAGACTCGCTTTCAGATTTGAGCGAATCCCAAATGCCACGGAAGTTACAGAAGTATTTGTGTGTTCTGAAAGTGCACTAGCAGCAAAATGATGTCATATTTCTGCGTTTGTGCATTTTTGTACCAAACTGTCAAGTGTCCCAAAAGTGGCCTCATCCAACGAATAGGTTGCGTTCGTGTAACATCACAATATTCCAAAGAGGCAATAGTTTCAAATTGTGGGAAAGCCAAACTTCTTTGTTTTAGAAAATGTCTTTGTCATTACTGGGCCATGATTCCTAGATCAAAACTAGGTAAAAAAAAAATACAATACAGTATATTTAACTGATTCTATTTTGTACTATTAATTGCCTATTTATTTCTAAACCCACATTTTAATAGGAATTTTAAGCCCAACGCTTTTATAATGCTCTGTTTTAATATTTAATTGTATATTTTATTTTATTGTATATTTTATTGACTGTGTTATTTTTGTATGCATGTAATCTGTGTTTTTAAATTGCTCTTGTGAAGAACTTTTAATTCAGATCAGATTCAGATTCAGATTCAGATTCAGATTCAGATTCAAATTCAGATTCATTTATTTGCCATTTGCAGTAAAACCACATTGGAAAAACTGTGCAAGACTACCCCTTGCCTTGTGCATGAGTTTTGCTGTCCAAATAAATGATTGATTGATGGATAGATTTAGGCAGCTAAAATCTAGAACAGTGTTCCTGAAAATGTGGGACAGTCTTCTACTGACAATGCTAAAATCCAGTTCAAATCAGTTCTGTTCAGCTGTGCGTACTACTGAAGGATTGTATGTTCACTGGTTTTAATATTTAGGGATTTTGTGTTTTTTTCCGTTTTGTTAAGCACTTTGATTTGCGTTGTGCATGAACCGTGCTATAAAAATAAACTTGCTTCGGCTTGGGCCAATCCACATAAAGCAAACACTGTCATGAGGTTCCACAAATGTGTCTAGAAGTAGTGACACTATTCAAAACATATGTATGATGTTGGCCAGTAGAGGGGACTTTTGTGAGCCTAAACAGTCCTCTAAGGGCCGTGTGACTGCAGGTTTTCATTCCAACCAAACAGGAGCACACCAGACTCCTCCCAGTCTTCGGGTTCAGACTGGACTCACTTGAGGGCTTTATCGCTTGGTTGGAATGAAAACCTACAGCCACACAACCATTTGAGGACTTATTTGAATTGCCTTCAGCTAATCTTTATCAAATAATGATCTGGGAAAACATTTGGACATTTTCTTCATGTCTTTAAACAAATGTGCTTAATTCCCATAACGTTATAATGACTTCCCTCCAACTGAATTCCATTCCCACAACTTGAATACAACTTAATCTATGCGTGCTTTACACCGATTTTCTCCTGGATCGGGAAAAATCTGGAAAGCTGTGTCTCGGGGACAAGGCACTGCCCGGTGAGGAGAAGCCAGTATTGTCTCTGCACCCCTCGATCCTGTAGGACACGGAGTTATAGTAAACAGAACTCAGATGGCACCCACTGTCTTCGGCCATGAGGGGACTGTCGCACATGCCCAGCCGGTAGCACACGCAGGAGCACAGGGAGCTCAAGCTGGACTGCGGTCTGCGGGCCCCGGCGATGTGCAGGTGCATGTGGCCTCGGCGTGGACTCCCCCGCCGCTCCTGCTCCTCCACAGGGGACGAGATCAAGTTAGTCCGGCTGGTTCCCTCTTCCATGGGCAGGAAGAGGGCGCTGTGTCTACGCCGGTTCGCTGCTCTTTGCCTGCGCTCGCCTTGCATACGCAGGCGGCCGTCCAAGAGCCCCTTGTTCCTCTTGAGGGACACCCGCTCCTGTGCGTCTCTCCTCTCGTCCTCAGAGTTCATGGTGAGGAATCGGAGAACGACGAGATTGAGAAACGCTCCGATGACCGTGAGCCCAACCAGAATGTACATGAAGCTGAAAGCAACATACGACGTTTTCTCTTGCAGGTCTTCTTTCTTCTGCAGAGCCACGAAGTCTCCGAAGCCGATGGTGGTGAGCGTGATGAAGCAGTAGTAGTACGCGTGGAAGAAGCTCCATCCTTCGTAGTGAGCGAACGCACCGGCGCCCACGCACAGGGTCCCGAGGCAAGACAGGAAGCCCACCAGCACCATGTTCTCCATGGACACTTCTGTGCGTCTGCAGCCCAGGCACTTCTTGATCTTGTGCAGGAGGTAACGCACAAACGTGTTCATGCGCTCGCCCAGGCTCTGGAACATGACCAGGGTGAGAGGGATGCCCAGAACCGCATAGAACATGCAGAAGACCTTCCCTGCGTCCGTCCCAGGAGCGGCGTGTCCGTAACCTCAAAGCACACAGACGGGAAAAGCATTAAAACACAAAGTACAGGTGCAGCAAATTTCAATTCATGGTATTCTTGTATGCAAAACAACTTCCTTCAGCTAAAAGAGACAAAACTGAAATGATTGTCTTTGGTCCATAGCACAGGTGTCAAAGTCAAGGCCCGCGGGCCAAATCCGGCCCGCGAATGAATTTTACATGGCCCGTTGCCTGTAAATTACTATTACGTCAATTGCGTTTTCCGCTATTTTCATGTTCCCAGATGTCTATTATATGTAATATGTTTGGGGATAAGCTTGAGAGCATATTGAATCCAGCCAGCAGGTGGCAGCAGTGCTCTCTGAATGGTTTGAAAACAGCTAGATGCACTTGTTGTGCCTCTTTTTCTCAGCTTTTTGGTGATTACAGTAAAACTTCCCTCTACTCAACTGGGAATTACAAGATAGAAACAAAATTATTTTTGCTGATGAAATTAGACAGTCTATTCTTTCAGAATCTGGTTTCGGATTTCAGATAGTCATAGTACACAATATTCTGTGGGTCTTGAAAAATCTATAAAAATCATCAGAAACTGCTGGCAATATGGAAGAACCTGTTCTGAAATGGACTGGCAGGCAATGAGTTAATAAACATTGAACCAGTCCGGCCCTCGGCTCGCAGCAAATTTGTTTTTTTGGCCCTCTGATATATTTGACTTTGACAAGCCTGGTCCATAGAAACAAAGAGAGAGCGTCATCTGTCACCTCCAGTCTCTCTTCCTAAAAACCTTCAAACAAGGTCAGAAATCTAGGGGTAATACTGGACTCAGACTTAAATTTTAATAGCCACATTAAATCAGTAACATCAGCAGCTTTTTACCATCTAAAAAACATTGCCAGGATCCAAAACATAGTGTCTAAAGCAGACCTGGAGATTCTTATCCATGCATTTGTCTCCAGTAGGTTAGACTACTGCAATGGCCTGCTCACAGGTCTGTCCAAACAGGCTGTAAAACAGCTGCAGTACATTCAAAATGCAGCAGCTCGAGTCCTGACAAGAACCAGGAAGTACGACCACATTAGTCCAGTCCTCAGGTCTCTGCACTGGCTTCCTGTGGCTCAGAGAATAGACTTTAAAACAGCTCTGCTTGTGTACAAGTCTCTCCATGGCCTCGCACCAAACTATATTAGTGACATGTTAGTCCCATATGAACCAGCCCGGACTCTGAGGAGCACAGGGACTGGACTCCTGTTAGTGCCCAGAGTCAGAACTAAACATGGGGAGGCTGCTTTTCAGATTCATGCTGCTAAAATCTGGAACAGTCTTCCTGAAGATGTGAGACAGGCCTCCTCTCTGACAATGTTTAAAACCAAGTTAAAAACGGTGCTGTTTAGCTGTGCATACAACTGAGGGATTTTATATTTTATATTTGTACCTTTCTTTTTAATGTTCTGTGATTATTTATGATTTTAATGCTTTCTTATTATGTTCAGCACTTTGAGTTGCCTTGTGTATGAAATGTGCTATACAAATAAACTTGCCTTGCCTTGCCTATAGCCCTAAATCACAACTGTGGTTATCTCGGAGGACTTTACACAACCGTTGAATTCGCCATCACAGATCAGAAAATCAAACAGAAAACACTTTGGAATTGGTCCATAAGTGTTGATAAATGTAGCAAAGCTCTTCATGCAGGTTTTCACATCTCACTTGCTGCTCATTGGCTGCAGCCTCTGATCAACTTCTACAACTTTTTTAACGCACTGCACTTTGTAGGTCTTAGAGACTTAACAATTATTAAATCAAATAACAAAAAGTTTAAGTAGAAATGGTAATGACAACAAGATCCAGGAGCATCACTGGTTTGTTTGAAATTATTAAATGAACCAAAGAAAGAATAGAAAATGTAAAAAGGGGTAGGAAACATTAAGTACTTCTACTTCTTTTCAAATTGCATATTTATGAAAATGTTTCTTTTTTGTATTGTACATGTGAAATAAATCACATCAACATCAGCAAACCAGCCCTAAAGACCCATGGTGCATAATGACAGCCAAGATGTGGAGAAATATAAAACATTTAGATGTAATTTGAAATGGAAAATATTATAGTCCCTTCAACTTCGAGTATCTGCAAGTGTTTCTTTTGTGTCTATAACATTTATAATTTTGTATTATGTAAATGTAGCTTAGGGTTATTTATACACAATTTGAAATAAACAAACTTTGATTGATTGATTGATTGATTGAACTACTGATGTCCCCAGAAAATAGTTCAACATCTTCACATCATATTAGACCTTTTCTGAACAACATTTAGAAATGATATGTAGAAATAATAATATATATAATATTTAAGTTTACAGTTTTCAAACAGCTCATCCAATCAGAGAGATGAATGAGCCTTGTTTGGGTTGCCAGTTTGTTAGGTTAAATTTAGCTGGTTCTGGCACTTATCTTATGTAATACTTCTGTTCTGTTTCTAGCTAAACTCAGCAAGTGGTTTGCATCAGTAATCTGTGCAACAAAAGTGTGATTGTGATTGTAATGACTGTATTAGACCACTAAGAGCGCATATTACATAAGGTCTCTCTAATATTTTAGAACGTCATCTTGCAAATATCTGTTAATGACCTGCACCTCGACCTCTAAATGTGAGGTCACACTCAGACCCAGAGCCACAGTGTTTTATTTGTCTTATTGTCTGTTTATTTGCATAGTGGATTGTTTATTTGGGCTCATTTAAATCTCTTGTCCCTCACAAACTCACACTCATTCATCCTGGAAAATTGGACATGTTTTTAGTTGTAGGGGAAACCGGAACACCAGGAGGAAACTTATACAGAAAGGCCCCCTCTGGAGGTGGAATCAAACCCAGGACCTTCTTGCTGTGAAGCATGTGTGCTAACCACTGTGTCACTCTGTGAGGGAGCGTAGACACAGGGACAATTTTAGTTCAGCTTTATGACCGATCATCAGGTGACCACCACCAGCCTTTCACATGTGCACACCAGACTCATAGACAATGTCTCTTTCCTAAAGACACAACCACAGCTAGCCCACTTTTCCTAGAGGTCTCCCATCGCCGTACTAACCAGGCCGTGTTCTGCTTAGCTTCTGAGGCTTTCACCTGCACATGGCGCCATTTTCTTCACGAACTCTTTGCACGCTGTAAACCTGTTTCACTTTGCCTATGGAGGACCACACACGTCTGCTCTGTACAGAACCTGTTTTGTGCCAAGTTCCTCTTCAGATAAATATAGGCTGACAAGTCGAGAAATCGGTCACGGTTTGTTTGCAAAATTAGCTGTCCACTATTTTTTTTAAACATTGTAAATTGGATTTTAATGGGAAGCCCATAAAAACAGAAGCCAAGAAGCAAATTAGCTCAATATTGACTAGTGTCAAGGATGACTTGATATTGGTATTTAATGTGATAGTAAAAAAAATATAATGTGTTTACATTCACATGAACATTTTTTGGTGATTTTCTGTACCAAAACATCTTTGGTTGACCAAGAATATTATAAGAGTATTTTCAATTACATAAACTACATTGTCACACAGTATAAAACAAAGAGTAGATCAATCATACTATAATTCAGAGGCCTCTTCTGTGTGTGGCATTGTGCTGGTGAACTTACCAATGGTGGTGATAACAGTTATTGCAAAGTAGAAAGATCCTGCGAATTTCCACTGTCTCCCTGCACGGTGCGGCTCAGCCTGCAGCACCACTCGCTCGATCTCCCGGTAGTCCTCTTCGCTGAAGCGGTACTTCTTCTTCATCTCGCTGCGCTTCTGCTCCAGGACGCGCCTGCGGGAGCTCTCGGTCTCGGACTCCAGAGCGTCAAAGACCGCGGCTCCCACCAGCAGGTAGGAGAACATGCAGAGGATCAGCGACAGCGTCCGCACGTTCTGCTTCTTCATCCTGGACACGGAGCTCAGAGCGCCTCGCACATGGACACTGCAGCCTGTTGCGTAGAGCTGGATCTGGGGGAGAGAGGCGAGGACCGCGGGCTCCCGCAGGTCACACGCCGCGGAGAGGGATGTGGGGATGAGCGCCTCACGAACGCACACGCATCCTGCCTGTTTACGCGGGAGTTTCGCATGCGCATTCTCGTGTAGAATAAATAATACATCAACATGGTACTTTATATTTATTTAAGCCCGTTACTCTCTGTAGAGTCATACATTTGCAACAAGTTGAGTCCGGAAGATACCAACCCAAAGGGAGGAGGGGGGTCAGCACCAGGGACAGCACCCGAAACTTTCAGCTCATACGATTTATGAAGAAAGAGAAATAATAGACCTAACTATCACATTAATAAAAAACAATCCATCCATTATTTTCAGAGTTATGTAAGACAAGGACTGTTTTCAGCATATATCAAGGCAAGGCAAGTTAATTTGTAGCACAGTTCACACACAAGGTTGTGCTGAACAAATAGACATTTTAATCATGAAGTGAAGATTCAATCCTTCAGCTGTATGCACAGCTTAACAGGAAATTTTAACCTGGATTTCACACCTGGACACTGTCAGAAAAGTATGTTTCACACTTTCAGGAAGACTTTTCCAGATTTTAGCTGCATAAATCTGAATTACAACCTCCTCATGTTTAGTTCTATTTTATTTATTTTATGATGTATTGTCCCAATAAAGACTCATTCATTCATTCATTCTGACTCTGAGCACCAGCAGGAGGCCAGTCCCTGTGCTCCCCAGAGTCAGAGTTGGTTCATAGGACTCTTATATACATGTCAGAAATGTACTTTGTAGCGAGGCCATGGAGAGACTTGTAAACAATCGAGCTGCTTTAAAGTCAATTCTCGTAAATATATTTTTTTAAGTCTATGTGTACAATAAATATTAAGCTGAAACATTAGCTTTTTGTTTGATACAAATCCTGCAATCGGTAAAATATATCTTGCTTTATCAAACCTGTACATGTCAGCCTACCCTCCTTACAATTATTCTTCTCTTAAATATAGTTTTACTGGAGAACCAAGCCAGAGTTCCGGTTGCCATGGTTACGTATAGCAGATGCTAGTTCACTGACAGTGAGATAAATACTAAGACAATTGTATAATGAATAATACATTAATTTCCCTGGACATTCAGTCATCCATATTCACACACTTCAGTGTGGCAGCAATTAAGAACGTAAGTAATAATAAAGAGCAAATTCATACAATTCATTCCCTTCCTCCAAAAAGATGAATTATATCCTTACAGCGACGTCACATGAACAGACGCTTGAGGACTTGAGAGGCAGATAATGTAATGCCGTACTTGTTGTACAGTGTAGACCAGTGGATGGAGTCCGGGTCACCTCAGTCTCAGCCTAAGTGGCTAAATCAGCACCGCTCCATGTTGTGCATCAATCCAGACCCCTATATAAACCAATTACACCTCCGCTGCTGATGAGAGAGCGACCTGAAGCCAGACACAAAGCCATCACTCTTTTGCAAAGCAGGGAGGATACTTCAAAGACGATAGGCAAGTTAAACATAAAACATCCCCATCTGGACAATATTGGTATTTGTTTTTCTATTATTGAGTTGTTCCTTGCAATGCAGGAGGGTCTAAGTACACAGTGATGATCCAGGACATTTAAGGACATTTGTTAATATTTATGTACATTGGTCGTCCGCGCCCTATGGACAAATGGCTTCTGTGTGTTTTATCATTGAATTTCCTGCGTTTCAACTGTTTGATGATCTGTTGTTAGCGAATTGACAATTTGTTAAATCGTCCAAGATGACTACTGGTGTTCAAAAATAAATTAGATTTAGTTGAAATCCATATAAGTGATTGATCTTATAATAATGCATTTTTTCAATCCAGGGAGTCTAGATGAGTTGAGTTGAGAGATTATTTATTTGGAGTTCGAACATTAAATATCAAATGTCACTTTTCTGGCAAATCATACATTTACAGTTACTTATTACATTATTGTACGTTGTTCAAAGGCAAAAAGGAGGGGGAGGAAGAAATATCAAGTGGGAGGAAGAAAAGTCAGATGCCTAAAAAAAATATTATTACACTGGGTTTAATCAGGTATAAAAAAGCAAAATCAAAGACATTGTTTAAATAACATAATTTTCTGTCATAGTGCTGATTGCAAGCTTCTTTTGGGGTCCTGGCCTGTAAGTGTGGGACGCCATTTTAGAGCAGTAAATAATGTGAAATGACTGAATACCCCCTACTTCATGTTCGAAGCTCTTGTGATGCATTTCCGTCTCCGTTGTGGGATCAGTAATACTGTTTCTCGTCTTCTATTATAGCAAACAAAAACTGCAACTCTATTTATATTTGTGGATTGAGCCAAATGTGTCTTAATCTTTGTCTTTTCTGATTAACAATAAGGATCGTACATAGTAATGCAATGTACTGATGCAGAGATATGGAGAATAATAACATTGTCAATTATTCATGCCGTTATGATGAATATAGCTGCATTGATTGATTTGCCACCTCCAATGGGATCATTATACTGTGAAATCTGTGGATAGGGCATAAGTGAATCTTATTTATGCAGAAGCAGTGGCACTAAATAGCAACACCTAATACTGGATGCCGGCAGAGCCCTCTGGTTTCCACAGTAACTAAGACCAAAAATAGCAACCCACACCAGCGGCCATTCAACACTCAGTCCCCTGTGAAAAGCATGCTTCTATTTATACCTCCTGATGGTGAAGACACTGCCATTAAAAAGTCATGTCACCAAATTAGTGCCAAGTGATGGACATGAAAGAGGTCATTAGACAATGGCACCATTTAATCAAATACAACAGAGATTGATGCTGGACACATCTCTTTCTCCTCTCAGGTTTCTTGTACTGGACCGTAATGCTATTTTTGTAATTCAAAATGGTCTGGGGTTAATATTTTACATATGAGACATCTGCAAACAGCTTCCATACTGAGTGCATGGGACTTTAATGTCGGTATTATAATAGGCCAATCATATTGTTACAAGCACTTATGTAAGCCTTAGTACGAGAGCTTGGAGCCGGTGGTTCATCATATGACACCTCAGATAAAAGATAAAAACGAATAGGTCTTATGAGTATGGGCCCATATTCTTCGTTAATTGTTATTTCAGTGGGAAGAAGCCCTTAATGTTTTACTGCACAGTGCTATTAGAGGCTGGTAGTGTGATTTCCCAGGCGCCCGTGAAGGCGGCAGCAGTGCTGCAGCCGCCGCGCGCTCCCGGTTCTGTTTGTGCGATGGAAGAGCACGAGAGCTCAGGGCCGAAGTCTTCCTCACGATGAAGAGGATCTAACACTGTCCTGTACATGTCATTCACTCGAGCCAAGCGCGTCTGCACCTCTCTCTTACTGCGCACGTTTTCAAAGACTTTTTCTGTTATGGAGGACGACTGCGTCTGCGAGTACGACTCTACGTGGGACACGGAGAGTGATGGAGAGGAGCCGGCTGGAGAGAGCCTCCCGCGGAGGTCCAGCCAAGACAAAAACAAGTCCTCCTGGACTCTGGTCAATGTGCGTGTACCTCCTGTCTGAGCTCTCTGGTGTTGGCTCGGGCTGTACGACCATAGACTAACCCACAGATGAGCACAAGTTCTACATTCGACTCCAGGCGTATCTTTTATTCCCAGGACTCCCATGCTAATGTTAGCTGTGTTAGGCTAGGTGCTAGCATGATAGCACACATTCATCTGATCTTTGCCCCGAGCATGTCACTATTCCACATGTGGCAGATGTGTCTGATAGCATTAAAGTCTGTAGAGTGCCTGCAAGCCTGAGTTTCTACTGCAGATGTGGATGCATGAGTAACATGTTTATTTCTTTGCTTTCCCTTTCTGCAGTGGCACCCCACACCCAGGAACATGAGAGCAGCAAAAGACATGCAAAACTACAGAAGAGGATATCCTGTGAGTGATTTTAATTTATTGATGGTTAATTCTGAATACTTTAATCTAAATTGTTGTGTACGGCACAGAACTTAACGGATGATGAATGCACTGAGGACAAAATGAACAATCTGCAATTTTATCTCAATAAATCTCCCTCCTCCCCGGATGGTAACTTACAAGCCCTTTTGTTATTACAGATATAGAACCTAAAGGATGAAACATGAGTTAACAAGGTTTTTGTCGCACACAGACGTCTATATTGATTCATTTCTCAAGGAATGGAAGAATGACTACAAAAGATTGGAGAGAGTTCATTCATATATCCAATGGTATGTCATATGTAAATGTATTTTTTGCTCACAAATCAAAAGGGTGTTTTAAACCTGTATAAACATTGTTGCTTTTAGGCTGTTTCCTTTGAGAGAACCAGGGGTCAATTACATGGCATCAGAGCTAACCAAGAAGGAGATCGAAGTCAGTTTAACATCAGCAAATACATCTACTACTTTATTATTATACCTTTTTGTAACTTCTTTATTCTTAATAGGCCTTCAAAGAGAATGAGGATGCCAAGAAGAGACTGATAGAATCATATGAACTTATGCTTGGATTCTACGGGATCCGTCTGGTCGACACAGACACCGGTGAAGTGAAGCGAGCAGAGAATTGGAAAGAACGATTTGGAAATCTGGAACGGTTGGTTAACCTTTTTAAAGAGACATATCATGCAACATCCACTTTTCCCTTATCAAAAACAGACCTGAACTTGTTTTTAGATCCATCCACACAAATATCAGGAACTTCTGGCACAAACGTGTAACTCCCTTCTGTCTAAAAGCTCCTGTTTCAGTCCTGTGATAGTATGAGTGAGTAGTGGGTTTTGAGAAGTGATTTGAAGTTCTGTAGTGAGTCAGAGTTCCTAATGTGTGGTGGGAGTGAAAACCGGAGTTTTTTTAGTGGTTGGGGAAACCGGAGGAAACCTACTCAGACACAGGGAGAACATACAAACTCCACTCCAAGATCTTGTTCTATCCACTCAGCCACCGTGCCAATGTCGATGTGCCAAGTCAAAAAAACTAGATTCTACATCTCCCTCTGGTGGTAGCATAGGGATAACACAGGCAGATAGCTTTTTCAACCTTTGATACTTTGATACTTATATTTCTTCTCTAAATTTACTTACGCTTACTGTTTGTATCTTTAGGAACATGCACAACAATCTGCGCATCACCCGAATCCTCAAGAGTCTGGGAGAGCTGGGCTTCGAGCGCTTCCAGGCTCCACTCGTGCGCTTCTTTCTGGAGGAGACTCTGGTAAAGAAGACTCTGAGCAGCGTCAAAAGAAGCGTGCTGGACTACTTCCTGTTTGCCGTCGTGGACAAGCAGAAACGGCAAGAGTTGGTGCGTTACGCCTATCTCCACTTCGAGCCAAAGGATAAGTTTGTGTGGTGCCCCAGGAAAATCCAGAGACAATTCAGAAAGGCAGAAAAGAGGTCAGAAGTCAGTGGCGAGGTTAAAGACGACCTGCATTCCCGAGCAAAGGCGAAAGATATGGACACGAAGGAGAACGGCGTGGATAATGGTACGAAGGCGAAAAGCGAGAAAACGAAATCAGAAACGTCTCCTGAAGCGAAAGAGGAGGTCGTGGAAAATGGCAACGCCTGCAGTGAGAAAAACAACAACATCGTGAGCAACGGGAGCGACTGCACGGACGATGAAGGGATGGAGCACTCTCCCAGCGCCGGAAATCCAGACCCTAAATCTGAAACCGGCTCAAAGCAGCTGCAGAAGGAGGAGGCAGACGGCACGATGCAGACAGACGGAGGCGGCGAGATCAAAAAACCACCAAAGAAAAAGCGGGAAGACGACACAGATTCCGACGGTGATCTGGGCTCACCGCAGAAAGACGGCAAAAACTGTAGTAACAAACCCACGGGTCAGCAAACGCCGCTCAAGACCTCCAAGGCCTCGCTCTCGTCGGGAAGAGAGGAGAAAATCCCACGGACTGAATACAACGCAACTGACAAGGAGGAGGTCATGCAGACGTCCCAAGAGACCGCGGCGTGCGTCAACGGGTCGGCAAAAAGCGACAAGGCGGCGGAAGAGCAGACGAACGGGAAGGAATCCGAGCCGATGGACACGGACGCCAGCCCTCCGACGGCGAACGGCTCAACCACAGACTCCGGCATCAGCGAGAGACCCTCAACAGAACCATTGAACAAGTGAAGAGAAAGGACAGATTTTGAAAGACCTTCTGGCCTTATATCTGTGCATAGATATTTATACCCTTTTTTCACTTTAAAAGGACTACCAACTCTTTCTCAAGTCCAATCAAATCCGACTTGTTCTCAATAACGTACTCTTCATAGCATTTATAACGTTACTACTCTTTGCACTTCAAATGAATTTAGGTTTTGTTCTTTACTGTGAGGAAGCTCTCCGCGTTTGTGCTCGACCCGGCGAATCGAACTAAAGAATGAATGTCTGATCTAAGCTATATTTAAGTAGATGAAGTAATGTTGCACAAGATGTACCATTGCATATTCGGGGACATGTTATCTATTGAAATCGTGCCAAAAAATGTCCCAGACTGGTTGATTGTAAAAAATGATATCGGTACTTACAGTATATGTCGTTGAGCAGGACTGAAAATACATTAAAAGATCTGCTGTTTTTTGTTTTTTTTTGAGAGAATAGATGATGAACTTTAAAGCCAGGGCAATGATTTTGGTCTTGAATTTTCATGATGCATTTTTGTAACTGCACTTATTTTTTTCATGTTGTAAGTTGTAGTATTTAATTAAGGAAATGTTATTAACTTTACAGAAATGCTGAATTCTTTATAAATGAAACTTTCTTGGCTGAACATCTGGCTAATGACCAAGCAGAAATAAAAGCTATGTTTTATAAAATATGGTGTATTTGTCTCTAACTGGGCAAGCTGCCTATCTATCTATGAACTACATTCGGCTGTACTTCACTTTGGCAGCAAACGGATGCTAAATGTACTGCTCTGACTCATGCTGAAGATGAAGCGAGATGGGAGAAGCTGAAGGCAGAGAGGAGGAGGATTTCATCTTTCCACAGGCTCAAGATACTTTTAACATTGTTCGCACACTTAGCTTTTTGACTAGGCACATGACTGGAGTGCACTGCTCATACTGTGATGAGGGCCCAGAGAAGGCCTTATTATGAGCAGAAACCCTGTCTCCTTGAGAAACCCCCTCCTAGAGCCACATACCACAGCGTTAGCTCTGCCCACTTGTGTCCGAAATGGTTCCCCTCATCCCGGTGCATCCTTCAGCAGTCCCACTTCGACCCCCCCTCACCCCTGAGTGCGCTGAGCTTCGCTGAGTTCAGCCCCTTCGCCTGGAGACTCGGGCTTATCTGGTACCAAGGAGGACGCCTTTCAGGACCTGTACGTCGCGACGTTTGTGGACTCTACCGGGCGCAGGGGGGACTGTGGACCGGGTACCGGGCATTACAGCGCATCTCGTTGCATCTGGTCTGTGAGGGCGAGCGGGAGCCATGGCCTCCGCGCTCTGGGTGCTTGTACTGTGCCAACTCCTGACGTGGTCATCAGCACAGGTAAGAGATGCACACGGCCGCTTCAGAATCCGCGGAAACTCTTCACTTGAGGGATGTACAGAGTAAACTTTCCCCATCATCTCTGTCTCTGCTGCAGATGAAACGTGAATGTCTCTGATGAGCAGTTTAAGCGCATGATTGATCGGGTGTTTTTTGCCTGTTGCGTTTGTGAAAGTCATTATTTTGGCTTTAATGACATAAAGTATAACGTAAATAACTACAGGTGGTGCTCACTCAGGTCCGCACACAGGAGGTGTGTTTTCTCTGAACCTGTGGAATGCGCGCACTGGCGATCAGCGCCAGCGCACAATGAAGCTTCTGTTCATTCAGCTCCAGCTTTGGCCAAAGCAGAAGCTTAATTAAACTTTAAACAAATACCAGTTATACCATATCCACCATATCCTACAAAACAAACGTCTCAACACAACAGCAGTGTACGTTTGGTGTATGTGTTTGATTAACTGTCAATGAGATCATGCGTAATTACGCACAGCATCAGGTCCCATTAATGAACATCTGATACAAAAACAGTTTGTGTCTGTCTTGTGTTGTGCACGTTAATACAGTTATAATGCGGCTGCTTTTGAAAAAAAATGTGTGTTGTTCATGTATTATTCTTTCAGAGGCCTGGCCCCAGAGGATCCCCTGGGCAGCCAGGACCCCCAGGACCTGCAGGAAGAGATGGCACAGATGTGAGTTACTGAGGCCTTGTAGAGCAGATTAGTATTGTGTGTTCAAAGGAACTAAACCAAAATACTGATATGAAATGCTTTTGTTTGTGTAAACTCATTGACATGTCTATTGTCATGACAACAGACAGCATAAAGTCTGACATTTACATCTTATTACAGAGAAGTGAAATGCACGTTTTATAAGTCAATGTTGCATGTTTTGCCCCAAAGCTTCTAGAATGACTCAAATGAAATATTGGTCTGATGTGTAGTATTTTATTATGTCCGTGGCTCCGCCCCCTGCCCTCCCCCAGGATTACTTTGTAACAGACTTGTCACTTGGGCATCAGAGAGATTTCTCATAATTATTCATGAACTTCAAGCAGCCTCCTCTGCCTCCTGGCATGAGGTCTTATTTGGTGTCATAAACACATAAACAAATCATTTCTGCAAGTTATACAACATTCATTTCAGATACAAATGTATTTAAATACCTGAGTAAATGCAAAGTAAACTCGAGGAAATTAGATTATGCAAAAGCCCACTTTCACTATTGGTCTTTACTTGTAGCTCATGCATTGCGTTTCCCAAACTCCAACTTTCAATTAACATCTTAGCTCTGAAATTTTAGAAGCCTTTGTAACTTTTAGTTGTAGATATTTTTGGTGAGGTCTGTGGGGGACACAGAGGGTCCATTCATACATTCCCCAGCCCAGTGAGAGCATCTCCAGTTTCAACTCACACCTTTGGCCCCCCTTCTTTTCCCAAACCAAACAGGATTTTATCATGTGACCAGCTTCCACCGAGTCAATATACTGGTGTTTCCTTCACTGAGCACTGCAGAAGCAGCACATTGTACATCAAACATAGAATTTTGGCCTTTTGGCTGAATGTGATCCTTTAAATGCATTGTTGGATTGTTTCTTATAGGGAAAAGATGGCCCTGCAGGCCTCCCAGGAAAAGCAGTAAGTATTTCACCTCAGGAACATCTTAAAAATACTTTATTTTAAGTATCAGTGAAATATATTATTGTCTACAGGGACCCAAAGGAAAAGCTGGGATTCCAGGCAAATCCGGAAACCCGGGATTGCCTGGTCTACCTGGAGTGGATGTGAGTGTATTGATCATACGTGCCATGAGATGTAACAAAGCCATTTTAAAATCCTCATAATGTGCAGTACTGTTATTTCTGTAGGGTTTGACTGGTCCTGACGGCCCCGCCGGGAAAGATGGACCTGCAGGAGTACCTGTAAGTGATGAAAAACAAACTGGTTTGGATGAACTCAGGACAAGTTTAACTGTCAGCTCAGATTTGTCAACCTGGGCCTCATGGTGGGAACAGTCTTAATGAGGGATTTATTTCCTCTAATCCGGACCGGAATGCTTACTGGCTCCAACAAATCTCACGGGATGAAGTGTGTGGCTCTAGTGCAGAACAGCTATAATCCACTACATGAAGCTACTAAAGATGTATATGTATACATCAAACATCACGTACTGATATATTACTTTGGAAAACACTAAGCTTGAGAAAATGTAAAAAATGTGGGAAGAGATGCCAGAATCGTGACTGTGAAGCGACGTGTTTAGAACATGACACAATCAGATATAGTTAGACTAATGAGGAAGTGCTCCTGCTGTAATTACAGATTATCACACAGTTCTCCCACAGACCTGATGGATACTCCACATCAGAGGGAGAATACAACTGTCAGGCCTAAAGGAGCAGCCCTTAAATGTTGTTTGTAGACATCTCAGTACGCTGGCAGGATTTATTTGGGTTCTCGTGAGCTCTCACCTCTAAGACAACCCAAATACAGCTGCAAGGATTCCGCACTCAGTGATAGAGGTGGAAAACTAGTGCAACCGTATCATTCTGATGGGGCTGAACATAATAATAATAATAATAATGCATCGGTTTTATATAGCGCTTTTTGGACACTCAAAGACGCTTCACATGTGTCATTATTCATTCACTCCATACACGGTGGTGATAAACTACTACTGTAGCCACAGCTGCCCTGGGGCAATGTTCATAACATTGTGAACTCTCCATAACGGCTCTTTGTTGAAGGAGGTCATGTCTAACTAGTCCTGATGGTGGTTTGTGTGACTGTCCACAGGGTGAACCAGGACCCCCAGGACCAGCCGGGCCTCCGGTAAGCAGAGCTTTAAAACAACACACGCATGAGTATGAGTTTGTGACTTAACGCACACTTCTGTGTCTTCCGTAGGGCAGAGGGAGAGCAGGGGCAGCAGTGAGTACAACACACACCATCCTCTGCTGATGTTCAAGCATCGCACACATGGTATGGTCTGGGGCATCAAAACAAATGTATATTTGTTTTACTTTCAGGGGTTACCTGGAACTAATGGTCTCCCAGGTGGAATCGGACCACAGGGCTCAACTGTAAGTACTGGTCCATGTCTGTGATATCATGCGTTGGGACTAACCAGTTACTTTTGTAACATATTACAGTAATTTATTCCTTTTGTCGTAATGGTGCATACCAAATGCATTTGCAATCATTTGAGGAAGCTTAGATGATGATATAGTTCAATAAACTTACACTGGTGTCATTCGAACACTATCACTGTGATAAAATTAGTGCTTTTATCCCATACTAGTGATATAAAAACGTATTAGAATGCTAGAATCACCACTGCTGAGTCCAGGTGTGTACTATGTTTGTACCCAGGGTCTTGAGGGGCTTCCTGGACTTCCCGGCCCAGCTGGTCCTGATGGCCCTCCTGTAAGTAGAAGACTTTATTTTATTTTGAGTTGTCTCTCAGATACTTTCTCCAAAGTGTTTACTGCCCTCTGGTGGAGGCTTTAGTAAATAGTTTGTTGAAGTCTTCCTTCACACTGAACTTGAGTGGAGCTCAATACTCAGGATATGAGAACTGGTGATGCTTTCTGTTTCAGGGTCTCCCAGGCACACTCCAGGATCTGAATGGGGACCTTCTGGTAAGTCCAGGGCTCATAATAAACCACACTCCAAACAATGAACACATGTTTGATCATTTGTGCTTTCAGTGTCCCGCTATATGCCCCCCTGGTCCCCCCGGCCCCCCTGGGATGCCAGGATTCAAGGTTCAGACAATCCTCATTTCCTGAATACAGACTTACACTCACACTCACATGCTGACCTGGTGTCTGTGCCGTCCACAGGGTCACACAGGACACAAGGGAGACAAAGGAGAGGTTGGGAAGGATGGAGAGACGGTGAGTCTAGTGAATAACAATAATAATGTTCTACAGTCTTTGTGTCTGATTCTCACCTGAGTATCATCACCTGTGCAGGGAGACGCTGGACCACCAGGGCCCCCTGGGATTCCAGGCACTGTAGGTCTGCAGGTAAGCTTGCAAACGCACACGCACACGCACACTCACACACGCACACGCACGGTATAACGATTAAGCTGGAGTAACTAACTTTTCTTTGGTTTCACAAATACATTTTGTTTTTCTCAACAGAAAGAGCATGGTTTAAGTAACAATTTGTGCAAAAATCCGACCACAACAGGCTGTCTTCATCTTACTATAAAACATACTGACATATTTAAATACTGTTTGGAGAGAAAGGAATCGGTTACATAGAGTTCACTACATAGTCATGTATTTAAACTTTGTTTCATTATTCAAAATACTTCTTGTGATATGTTTAGGGTCCGCGAGGACTGAGGGGACTGCAAGGACCCATGGGTGCAGTCGGTGACAGAGTAAGTCACTTTTTTTTCACTTTCTCATTTAAATCACATCTACACTGACCTGTTCTGACAATTAGGGCCTTCCTGGCTTCAGAGGGAAACCTGGTGCTGCAGGCCTCATTGGAAAGACAGTGAGTTCCTCTCTCTTTAAAACACAAAATAAATTGTGCATTTGCCTTTTAGCTAGCATACGGTTGGTCCCATAAATGAATAGCTGTACATGTTTCATCTGATGCTTCCAGGGTGACGCTGGAGAGAAAGGACCACAGGGCTTCAGAGGACCAAAGGGAGAGATTGTGAGTGATCGGTCCATGGTTCTGTCCAGAGTGTCTTTGTTATGCACCAGATAAACAACATGTGCCACTTTCAGGGTAAGATCGGCCCTAAAGGAGCACCTGGAGGGCCGGGTCCAAAAGGGGAGCCTGTGAGTACCGACCTGGGGCACATAAGGTCCAGATGACACTTTCTCTGTAACAATTGCATCTTGTCTTTATCAGGGAATTCCAGGCAGAGACGGCAAAGACGGCACACCAGGGCTGGATGGAGAGAAGGCGAGACTCACACCTGCCACTGAGTTTAGATGAACTTTGTGATGGTCGCTAAAGCCATGGTTCTTTGTGGTTTCAGGGCGAGGCTGGACGACACGGTGTAGTCGGAGAGAAGGGACCGAACGGACTTCCTGTAAGAAGGCCTTTAGCTTGTGATGAATTGAATTAGCGTCATTTTACTTTTTAGGTTGATACTTTTCTTCAACCGTTAGTCAACATCAAAAACGTCATATCCAAAATCCCAAATTTGACTTTTATACAGAAATGCTGAAATCAAAGTCTAGACGCCCAGATGCAGCTAATCAACATTTCAAACCAACTCAAAACCTTGAACTTGCACAGTAACTTTACAAGAACATGAATATTTGAACATCAAAATTACACCCATAAGCGGAAGTATTTTTTTTATTTTATTTTATTCTATAACATTTATGGTCAGTGGTCATCTTTCTCCCTATGGCTCCTATGTGTCATTATCCGTTGTTGGCCAATCGACAAGACGATTGCTGTTATACAGTATATACACACTTTCAATGACCCATTATCCATGTAGAAGCATCTATACATGTCTTCTTCTTAACTAGTTCTTTCATTTGCTTTTCTGGAAGACAAAAGAACAATATTACAGTGTGACATCAATCAAGTCGTTTTAGTGCAGACCAGGAGTTGGCCGCATCAGTATATCATGACACTGTGGAGAGCCAGACTCGTTTTCACCATTTCATTTAACTTGGAAAGCATTCTCGTCTGTGAAAGTTCAGTCGTAACATTATTTATTTGTTAAACAGAAATATTTAAAGAGAATGAGAGAAACATGGAGCCAAAATATCCTAGTTTTTTTCTGTGTTTGTGAAGTTTGTTTAAAGCTCACCTGTAGCATCTGTTGTTCATCTTATTGATAATTGTTTTTTCGAGATTCCGCCGGCGGCCGATTGGACAGGCTGAGGTTAACATCTAGGAAAGGCCCTGGGGCTGCATAGAATCGTGAATCGGGACAAGTGTGGCCCCCAGCCCACAGTTTGCCCTGTTGTTGTTTTGGTGTTTTCACTAACCAGCTTGTATGTGTTTGCCTGTGCAGGGTCTCCAGGGAAGGGCTGGTACAAAGGGATCCACAGGAGAAGTTGTAAGTATAAATTCTACAGAGAGCAATGCATATTTTGAAAAACACAAAATACGAGAATATTTATTGTGACCTGTTTCTATTTGCGGTGAAAGGGTGATCCAGGAAAGACTGGTGAGACCGGACCCTCGGGCGAGCCAGGTATTCCTGTATGTATCTTGTAGAATTTGGAGGATATTAAAATGTTATTAAATTTACAACTCTTGGATGTTTTGTATTGAACTGCGTCTTCCTCCAGGGTGATATTGGCATCCCAGGAGAGCGGGGAATAGCTGGGCCCAGAGGAGTTGCTGTAAGTACATCAACAGAACAACTACAACATTTTACAATGTAGTTTTACATAGCAATAATATAAATATGTCCCATGTTTGTACACATCCGAATTAATATTGGTCAAACACAACAACATCAGCTCTCAGGGTTGTTGGGACAGATGGAGAGTCAGAGCAGCGTCTGTAGAAAAAGCCCTACGTGTATCGCTCAATCTAGGTTCCTACCCTCTCACATACTAATGAACAAAAGGACGAGATCGCGGCTTGTCGTGTTAACTGGGGGCCTGTCGGGCAGAAGGAGACCCCAGGGAATACCCAGGACAGGTTGGACGGACTATAAAATTCTCTGAGCTGGCCCTAACGCCTCTGGATTCCCTCCTGGAGCTATACCCTAGTATTGTCAAAAGGCAACATTTCAACCTTTATTTTGATTCAACAACAAATACTTAATACCGATTTTTTTTTTCAATACATAACTGCTCTTTATGATCATTTTAACTACATACTTATTTGTATCATACTTACATACATAATTTTTATAGGGCCACTAAGTTTTATTTGACTCTAGAAAAGTCAAAGGTTGTCCTGTTTTAGGTAATATTATTTAGCATTTCTACTTTCTTAAATTAACATCTGCTTCCAATACTAATTGTAGTATTATCGATTGATATCTGTTTATCAATACTTTTGACCCTATCCCTACGATCTGGATACAGGTGGACGTCTGACCACATGGTGTATGGGTCGACACTAGAATATATATACGGAATTAGGACGGAAGCGGAAGTAAAAATCCTACTTTTGAATTAGTTTTAGACTAATAAGTGCTTAAGTGGTGACTGGTTAAGTTTTAGGTGTCTGATTAAGATGGTTAAGGTTAGGGTTAAGGGTGGGTTGGGGTTATTCTATGGGAATGGCTGGTTAAGTCTAGGCATGAATAGCAGGAAGTTGGTTATATTTACCAATTCCGTATATATGATCTAGTGCCGAATGGTCAAGTGGGCGGAACTTAGGATTTCAAAAGTAAAAATTCCTGTTCCAAATCACCTTAGGGAGTTTTAAGATGAGAAAGATGAGAAATCCAAATATCAAGTTTGAAGGCCCGAAGGAAGCGAACACGCTACCTGCTATAACCACTGTCCACCATGCAGTAGTTTCAGCATAAGTAAATATAATATTGCTTACCTTTATGTTTTGAAAAAGATAAATTAATGTAGGTATTGTGGCCTGGTAGCTGATCAGCACAGAACATGTTTTGAATCTGTTTTAATAACGTTTGCTTTATTTACAGTGCAATACAAATCGACCAGGATGCACCTTGGTCCTCAGTTGTATATTTCATTTCCAAATACTTGTGTCCAACAGGGAGGAATCGGGCCTGTGGGCAATGGAGGGCCTCAGGGAATCAAGGGCTTTCAGGTCAGTCCCTACAGACAAATGTTACGCACAACAATAACAATGTTTCTTGAATTTGCCTGATGAGTTCACTCTGCTGTAGGGAATGAAAGGAGCGCTGGGGGATCCTGGTCTGCCTGGGCCGACTGGAATCCGTGGAGAGTTTGGTGAAAGAGTGAGAGATGTTTCCTGCCGACGATTCAAAGGGACTAGCTGACATGTACTACCTTCAAACCAACATAGCGGCTTAGTTCTTAGAGCTACTGTATAAGATGAGATACAGTAGCTCAGATACAGAGAAGACAACATGCAGCCCAGTGAGGTCAGATTATGAGAAGGTCCAGTCTTACCCCTGGTGGTTAACGTGTGCACTGCAGCAGGTCTCAGACACAGCACTCTTGTTCACAGGCTGCAGGACAAAGCCAGTCTTTATAACTGCCATGATTTCCGTTCTCCCGTGTGGTACTTACTGTAACTCTCTTTTCAGGGACCAGTTGGTGCGTATGGGGCTAAAGGAGATATGGTAAATAGTTAATAGTTATTTCCCCTAAATAAAACTTTGCAAACATAGTAAAGTCAAACCACATATGAAGGATTTCTGTGTGAATGATTCTGATGTGTATATTAGGGTGTGGCAGGTAGTGATGGTCTGCCAGGAGAGAACGGAGAACCTGTAAGTATTCTAACTATTGTCAACAAAAACACTTTCAGCAATTGTTACTAAAATAATGTTTTGATTCTAGGGTCCATTTGGTCCAGTTGGTCAAAAGGGAGCGGTGAGTCTAATATTGTACAATAATCTATTGTTTTTTTGTTTGCCAGTTTAGAGCTGATCTCATGTAGTTGCCATATACTGTTATAATTAGATGCACTCAAAACAAGGTAGTTTCAAAATGTTTATTTTATTCAATTAGATTTTAGAATAAGGCATCATTTTGATTTGATTTTTGTGTTATGTCTTTTCAACAATAGCCAGGCAAAACTGGAGAACTGGGACCCAAAGGTGTGACGGGACCACAGGGGGAGCTGGGTGCACGAGGCCCTCCTGGAAAAACGGGCATTATGGGTTTCCAAGGGGAACAGGGAATGCCAGGAATCGCAGGAAAGAATGGCGTACCGGTAAATGTTCTTCATGAAAACAGACCAATAACACAGACGCACAGATTTACAGAAATGTACTTTGTTTCAGGGTAAACTGGTGAGTGAGCAGCACATCCGAGAGCTGTGTGGCTCCATGATCAATGGTCAGTCTTTCTCCTTGTTTACATTTGTTCTGATACAATCATGAAGTGACTCTGATATTCTGCTCATCAGACCAGATCGCACAGCTGGCAGCTAACCTGCGACGGCCCCTGGCTCCAGGAATGGTGGGTCGACCAGGTCCCGCAGGCCAACATGGAAAACCTGGTGCGGTGGGGTCCATCGGGCACCCAGGCGCCAAAGGTCCCCCCGGGTACAGAGGGCTTCCAGGAGAACTGGGAGACCCTGGTCCAAGAGGTGAGAGCGGCACAGACACAGATCTGCAGCAACAGCAGACACAACAAACTAACGGCCTTTGTTTTCACAGGTGCCGTTGGTGAGCAGGGCGACAAAGGGCCCATCGGAAAAGCTATCGAGGGTCCTGCTGGAGACCAGGGGTACCAAGGTATGAACTCCTCTACCACTGCACAACCACCGATAGAGTATATTAGTCTTTTGCTTACATTTGAATGATGTGTCCAGGTATTCCAGGAGTGCCAGGTATTGTGAAAGATGGGCGGGACGGGTCCCCAGGAGACCCTGGTGAGCCTGGAGAGTCAGGCAGAGTAGGAAGGACTGGGCACCAGGGAACCCCTGGAATCTGTGACACATCAGCCTGCCAAGGGGCAGCCCCTCATGGGAAATCTACAAACCCCAAAAACCATTAAACACACAACAGCAGAGAGCGGAGAACAAGAAGAAAATCTATGACAAAGTCTTTTGAATGAATGAATATATCACACAATGAAAGGAGAAACATCAAGTGTGAAACAACGGGAGGATTTACAAAACTTAAAGGGAGCAACTTGAAAACCAGAACAATGAAGGACAAGCATCAAGCAACATCAGAACAAGAAAAGTGCAACCGAAGGCTCCCAACACTGTCTGATGGCAGGACTTGACAGGAAACGAAAAGGAGAGATTTTTTATGAAAAACTGTACATGTTTCTATGCTTCTTGTACCTAACATAGTCTGAAAACATTCAATGCAACTCTGAAGCTGAATGTGCGTGTATAATGGCCCGAACATGTCAATTACAGGCATTACCTCAACAACTAGAACACATCTTTGTAAAATATTTTCACTCAAATACAGCATTGTGTATAAAATATTAGAATAAAAACAGTGGCCCAGGTTCCCAGAAACTGCTTACATTCACCTCTTTCAAATGGTTCCATGAAAGTGTCTGGCTTTGATGAACAACCAAACAGTTAATGAATGAGAATATTTCTCCAAGATTTGGTTTCATCAGTTTGACCACATCCACTCACATATGTAATGGTGCTGTAACTAAAATTTACATGACTTTAAATACTATTTATTATTTTGGTGACTGTTGTATGTACAGTAAGATTATACAGCGACATGTTGTAAGAACGACAAATAAAGCCACTTTTCAGTAAAAACCTTTCCTTTCTACATATGAAAAATATCTTATCAAATTATTTTTTCAATTCAAAATATATTTTATGGAAAACACACAACCCTGTTAGCTTGAAACTACAGAAAACATCCGTACATAACATTTCATATTTATCAAACAAATTATTATTAGCAGATAATCAACAGTAAAACACTGCCACCATGTGGCCGTACTAAAATATGTTTACAGAGAAAATAGCTGAGAGAAAGCTCAGTCCTGACGGTGCTGTGAAACACATACGATGGTGAATACCTGAGAGTTCATACTTAAAGCAGCAGAGTCTATGGCTCCACAGCCAGGTGCTGGTTCTCTGTCTCCTGCAGGAGCAGCTCCCGGACAGCGGAGGGGTTCGGCTGCAGGCCCCTTTTATCACCAAACATCTTCTGGAACTCCTGCAACACGGGAGCGTAAGTACCAAATACAACCAGATCAAGTGCGTTCAAATGTTTATACTGCGACTATTGTGGCCATTTGTTCTCTCTGCAGAGTCTGAGCTTTGCATTTTGATACAAAATAAATGTTGTTAACATGTGTTTTAACCAGTTTGTTTGCAGAGCACAGGGACACAGACCTCACAGGGCCGTAGTATTGTACTCTTCTATGTAGTGCACGTGCAGACACACCTCCTTCAGTACGTCTCCATACATCTTGTTAATGTATCGGATGTAGGCAGCCGTCCAGCGCAGAGTGGTCACTTTGTCAGTGTCTGTCTGACAAAACGGTACCAGCAGGTTCAGCTCGTCACAGCACAGACGGATGCTCCTCCTGAAAATCCCATGACCAGTTACTCAATAATGAAATGATCCTGTTTCATTTCCTATACTGTGTTTTCTTTACATTTCAACCTTAAAGATGGGGTTCCAGACTTTCAAACAACACAATTGAAAAATGTAAAAGTTCATCCATCCATCCTCCTCGCTCTGAAAATAGTTTGTGTCTATCACTAGTTTTCTCACTTCAGAGACAATCAGCCAAAAGCGTCAAATAGTGACTCACAGGGTCAATTTTACAAGAAATTTGATTAATTATGAAGAGAAGTTTGTTAAAATGGGGAGGGTTCAACATGAAGCCAAACGCCTCAACAACATTGTATCATTTAGAGGTATATAGTCTAGATATTTAGTCCCAGGTTCAGATCATGTTTGTAAACTCACACAGATTTGTCTCTGTTGACCTGACGCTCACCTGCGCTCTCGCTCCTTGCTGTTGTGTCTTTCTCTGCGCTGACTCAATGGAACCACACGATAAGCAACACGGCTGCCGGAAGATTTGGGTTTAGCACGATCGCTCCGTTTAGGTGACGGAGGGGGAATGTGTTTATCTAAAAAGAACAGGTGACAAAACGTGACAAAAGCAACACAAAAGCAACTCCATTATCCAACGGTATAGTGCACACCTTCTGACGTATAGGTCCCAATAGTGATGTGTTCTTTTGTTAGAGCTCTTTCTGGACATAGATTTATAGGAAGTCCTTTGGGAAAGACCAAGCCCTGGTGTTGTTCCATGTGAGAAATGACCTGCAATGTAACAGGTTTTACAGGTTTAAAATGAGGTGAAAGAATAAACACTTGAACACTTACTGGTCCACAGACAGGGTTGAAGACTCCTATGTATGGCTCGGTCAGGCCACTTCTTTTGGGACACCGTTTCCACTTTTCCAGATGTGAGTTTGCATCCGGTGTCTCTGATGACTGCTGAAGTTCTGACAGGAAACTGAAGATGAATATATGAATAAGGAGTTAAAAGATGTGCAGCAAATGAGCAGACTTCAGTGTGACTGTCACATGTCTAAAAACAAACGACACTACACAAGGTTTGAAAAAATACACATAATAAATGACATCCTTCCACAAGCCAATTTCAAATCTGATTTGGACGACCTTATATTCACTGATCTCTGGCCAGTCAGAGCAGGTGATGTCACAGTGTTATTGCTATTGGTGATGTTTTGTGGTTTAAAAGTTATAGCATGCTTGCAATACAGCATACTGTAATTATTGTACAGTATTTACTCAAAAGGAAATTACTAGAGATGGGACAAGATCTTGCCACAAACTGCCACAAGATCATGGGATATGATTGTGAGATTTCAATTTGCTTTGTTTAGTTTTTGAATGATTCAATTAATGGGCTGAGTTGCACTTACGAAGGGCTACAATGACAACAAAGATGCAAATAAAAAAAAAGCAAAATAATTTGTGAAGTCAAAATGGTAGAAGGAACATCACAATTTTGGGCTGTATCCAGTTATGGGTACCAGTATGTGGACTCACTGTCTGTTTTCATGGTTATGGGCCTAATGTCAGAAAAAAGCTTAATAAATAGATATTTCTTATTACTTTTAAAACAAATCGATTATTGAGAGATTTGTCAACTAATGTAGCAGTCGATGTATCTTTTTTTTCTTTCATAGACTTACACATGCCGAGATGAGGTTTTATGTCTAAGATAATTCTATGACTTCAGAATAAAATGAAAATGTATCATTAATCCAACAACCCGCAGTGTGACATGTCATCTCTATGAAATCACTAGAGTTTTGCTTTGGTCAAATGTATGAAAACATTCATACAGTTGGGATTCATGCCTTTCAGGATCAAAATAGCAAAGCCATTAATCGAAAAAATAATCATCCAATTAATCAATTATCAAAATAATCATTACAAACCTACTCAAATCAACCTTTACTGAAGATGAACCACACAACCTTTGCATTTCTTTGCTCAATTTATGAACTCTGCTTCAATTGCAAAATCTTGTTCTTGTGGACCCAATCTTGTAAAATGTCTATCTCATCTCAATTACTCACTTGCTAAGAGCTGCAGATGGATTATCTTGATGTCCTAAAGTTCCTGAGAGGGAGTTGAACCTTTTCTCCAGACACACTCTTGCGCTGGAGGGACCTCTTATCTGAGATGGAAAGCCGCAGGTGTTGGAACCATCTGTGTCTTCCACTCTGATCTTTGCCAAAACAAAGCCAGGCACTTCTCCGTAACAATTTGGTGTCTTTTCCCCAGCTAAAACAACCTCATGTCCATCAGATGTAGTGGACAGGTCAATGGCTTGAGAGGGGGGCAGTGGAGCCTGGAGTGTGTCTTGAGACATGCCTGGGCCCTGGTTGATCACCTCTGCCTGTGTGTCCAAGTGTGACTGGGTGAGATTCTGCAGAGGAGTGTATTTGGCTTCAGACATCTCAGTTATGGGCATCTCTGGGGCCAGCGTCTGTCCTTGTCCTTGTCCTTGGTCATGACATAAACTTTGGCTTAGGATCATGCGCATTGTCTCTGGAGACATGTACTGCAAGTGGTTGCTTTTACTCTCTGACATCCTGAAACTGGAAAGGTATAGTTTGTGTTAGAATACGGCAGGTAAAAACAATAGATAAAAAAGATTGACGAATAAATGCTAAAGTGTATCATGTCGGGGGAAAACCTAACTAGCTGCTAATTCAATAAATGTATGCTAATGACGCAAGTTAGCCTGGTTAGCTAACTTGCGGCATTAGCATAGTTAGCCTGGTTAGCTAACTTGCGGCATTAGCATAGTTAGCCTGGTTAGCTAACTTGCGGCATTAGCATACACTAATTTAATTAGCTTACCTATTCAAACTTAATTACTTGAAGTATTCTTTCATACATAATTAGGAATCACAAACTTTATATATTCATAAAATTAGAAGAGTAAATATTTTATAGTGACAACAATTTCTACGATCAAACTTACCCAAGTGTATTTCTACAGTCTATGGACGGGTCTACAGTCTATGGACGGGTCTACAGTCTATGGACGGGTCTACAGTCTATGGACGGGTCTACAGTCTATGGACGGGTCTACAGTCTATGGACGGGTCTACAGTCTATGGACGGGTGCCGCGGATGCAACAAATAAACCTTTTCTCCTCACGTCCAAACAATATGACTGCAGCCTTCTGTTTGTGTCGTTTTCTTATTATTTTGTAATTAGTTGTTCTTATTTTTTTAATCTGAGAGTGTGTAATACTGACCTTAACCACAAGATGGAAGCACACGCTATGAAAGTACAAGACAAGGGTTTCGTCCAAATTTAGCAAAAATATAATTCCTGATCATTCCTTGTCTTTTAAAATGGACCTTTGGAGTGAACCTTAACACATGTGAAAGATGTATTTTTTTAATGGCGCTAAGTTCATATTTTATCCCAAAAACTGAAAGAAAAATGAGAAGGTGTTTTTATGTTTTTTTATGAATTCGGATTCAGCCCAAGATGCGCGTGATTTTGATTGATGAAATAACTAACGTTATAAAAGTTACCACTTGTGAGTAAATACGCTACACTGTGGTTGTGCATGTTAGACACAGCGTGTTGGCAGCTGTCCTGTTTCTCTGTGAGGGAGACGCGTGAGTATCCGCTGCATAAAGAGCAGAGAGAGAGCGCCCTGTGACCAGTGCGGGCTTGTGCTCAGCAGCACATGAGCGCCTGTGCCGTCGATTTGCACTAAAACTTCATTTATTCCATATTCAAGTGACTGTGCCTGTGAGATGAACACAGAAAGGGGAAAGAGGAGTGCATCTCGGAACCTGAAGCCACAGAAGACGCAGCCTGGCGTCCAGAAAAAGAAGATTGAGAAGGAGTGTGTGAAGCAGGACAGCTCTATGGCTCCTCACGGTAAGCATCAGGGGAAAGTGTCCCCCCCGAGCCCCACCACAGAGACTGTCCTGGCCATGGTCCCAGCCGAGCACAGGAGGCTCTCAGATGCCAGTAACACGTCTGAAGACCTGAGCAACACTTCTGGAGACCTGAGCAACACTTCTGGAGACCTGAGCAAAGACTCCGGCTGCGCGTCTATGAAGCTGTCCTCCTCTGACAGCGACACAGAGTTAAGCTGGATGGACGGTAGAGCTTATGAGAGCCCAGACAGCGAAGGCAAGGAGGAGAAGGCGCCACCAGAGGCCCCTCACAAGGGCTGGCTCCGCTCTCCTGGGGCCTACATGGAGATGATCATAGGAGAAACTTCTGAGGACCTGAACCGTGAAGTGGAGGACCTCAGGTCCGAGAATGAATATCTCAAAGTAGGTCGATTTCTCATTACTTAATTTGGTAAATAGAATTATGGTGACTTACATCTGACTTACATCTGAACTCAATGCCTACATTCAGTCCAAACATGAGCTGCACATATATTTCAATTGAATAATTACATTTATTCAGTAGATTTGTAGTAGATTTACCTTCTGAGTTGTGTACTTCATTCATGTTACATGATAACATGCATTAATATTATACAAACTATTTCTATTAGTATTTTTTCATCAAAATCCATTATCCAACAAAGACCCCATTTTATACGCTTTCTTCCCCAAAAACATGTCCAGTAGCTACACCTTCAGGTAGATCATGTCTCGAGTTGAGGTCAAGCTGACTGTATTGTAAACAACCCAAATTCACTTGTTTTCAGGACGAACTGGAGGAGCTGCGGTGTGAAATGTTCGAAATCCGAGACTTGTTTCAGGAAGAAGAGGTTTACCAAATACAGCAGCTCCGACTTCAGCTGGACCAGGCCAACAAGACGTGCCGCATCCTCCAGTACCGGCTCCGCAAGGCCGAGCGCAGGAGCATCCGAGTGGCACAGACGGGGCAAGTGGACGGAGAGCTGGTCCGGTCCCTGGAGCACGACATCAAGGTAACACCAAACCAACTCATTTACCCCTGTGGATGCGAACCTAGAGTAATACTAGAATGTTATCTGGTGCAATTGTTTTGGAGGACCATTATAATAGTTTATCCATCTCAAAACTTTTCATTATTATAGTTGAACTGTTCATTCTGTGGTCTGTCGGTCTCTGTTCCATGTTGTGAGGTCTTGTACACTTCATACCATGTGAAACCCCCAACGCCTGCCAGGAAACCGCTCTGACTTTGAATCACTCTCATTCCAGCCGGCGACATTAAAGTGTATTTGAAGTTATGTCTCATTTACAGTGGTGGCCTTGTGCGTACAAATGTAGCTGTGTAATCTGTTGACGCACGGCTTTTTGTTGTGTGGTAAAGTACTGCCTGCTGTGGATCTCAAGCCGCAAAAAATTCATTAGCTCCAAATGTCTTCATCATGTGCACTGTTTATATTTGTGCCATGCTAAAGTGCAATTATGTGGTTGGATGTTGCGCATGAGTCGGAGATCTCAAAGTATGGTAATCTTGCTCAGACCCATGTCAGGTCGCTCCACATGTCCCTGTGGTCACAACTTAACTGCTTTGCTGAGAGTTCCCATAAGTGTTGCCAAAACAGAACTTTCTCCTGACTGTGTCTCTGCATCATGTCATTAAAACGCAAAAGGAATAAAAGTGATTCATAAGTGATTTGGCTCTCAACGCTATTTTCTGCGGCGTTTATTTGCAGGTCGCAAAAAGTGCCTCCCTTCGACTTTATAATGAGCTGGAAGCAGTGCAGAAGAAGAATTTGCAGTTGGAGTGGGAGAACGAGGCGCTCCGTGAGAAAACTCAGGAGCTGGAGGTGGCCAAACAAGTGCTGCAGGCAGAGGCAGAGAAGGCCAAGGAGGTAAGACCTACAGTATTAGCTTATCTGAACTAAGACCTCCGAGTCATTAGCCTAATCAGCCACGACGGCTTAACAACACAGGGTAAATAAGCCACATGGGAAGCAAGCATGTAGTTTAAAACAAATTATTTTAAATTGCCTTGATGGTGGTCAAAATGCGTCGCTATGTCCCTTCCACAAGTGCCTCAGACCTTTCCTCTCTGCTTTAAACATTATTGTCACACGGATCCTCAAAGAGCACCTGACTTCTTATGTTTACCCTGCATTATATTTTATTGATCTCTGTATGCACTCAGTTCTCTTGTGTTTTTGCAAATCATTTTAAATGTAAGAAACAACATCATTTCAGTTTGAAGGATCATGTAGCGACCACACAGTAACCTGAGTGAGTGGACGCTCCTCAGTGTGTGGACTTATCGTCAGCACAGACCATAATTCTGCATCTGAGGAGGAGCTCACAGCTGCAGACACAGTCCAGTTGTCTGGAGCCTGAAGTCATGTGACACTTGAACCAGGGCAGGGAGCAATACGAGGTGGGCAGCTGCTCCTGGGGCGGGGGCCGGTATGTGGATGTCTCAGCCTCAATGCACAGCTGAAGGGGTTAAACCAATGGCTGTGGGAGAGAGATTACCAAAATAGAACTCTGAATTCTCTATTTGTGCTGTTATTAAGCCCGCCTAAATCAGGATCAGTGCATGATAGCATTTGTTGCACAGTGACCTACAAATATCAATAAGACAGTTTTCTGGCACCTCAGAGAGAATGTCTGTTCACACAGTAAATCTAGTTTCAGCCCTTTTGACAAGTGGCAACAGACGAAGGATATAGTGATCAGACAGTATTCTTCAAAGCCAACAGGGAGTTCTGACCTGATCTCGGAGCCCAGTGTATACAACATGCAAATGAGATGTTTGTTTAATGTGATAAACACTGGACACAGAAACAGCTCACATTCTCAAGATAGAAGGTACAAAGGTCCATACGTCCCATCGAACTGCAGTATAAGGAGCTGCTGCCTCTTTGTTATTTATACTATGTGTGACGAAACAGAGACAGAGGCTTACATTCCGCTCATACTCAGACTTAAGGACATTGTCTTTGTCAGTGACACTGTAAAGTTGATGTTGGCTGTTACTTGGTTCTTGCTGCTTAGTGAAACTGAAGACGTGTTTTCTTTTAGAGCTCTGTGAAAAAGAAGAGCATCAGATCCTCAGCTGGTAAAGCTGAGAGAAGGCTTTCTCAGATGGAGGTATATTTGCAAAGTCTGTCTGTTATAAGTAACAACATTCATTGACTGAAGTTGTTTTTATAGGATGACAGCGCAGATCTCAGGTGCCAGCTGCACTTTACCAAAGAAGAATTATCTCTGATGTGCAAGAAACTCACCAAGCTGGTGTCGGACAACGAGGCCATGCAGAGCGAGCTCATCAAGTACCACACAGCGTACGGCCACATCCACACCTCTCCTCTGCCTGAAGGCCAGCACAACTCTGCTCGCGCCAGAGAGGCTGAGGTCAAGAACCACCTAAAACTGGTGGAAGAGGAGGCCACGCTTCTGAGCCGTCGCATTGTTGAGCTGGAAGTGGAGAACCGAGGTCTGAGAGCGGAAATGAGCGACTTGAGAGAGAAGACGGGGGCCGGCATGGACGAGGAGGAGGCCGAGAACGCTTCATTACAGGAGCGAGATCAGGGGAAGGAAGAAACAAGCAAGGAGCAAAGTGCTGCTGACATGACACAGATGCCCGAAGGAAACATCTTCACATGTGACATCACCAGGGAGGGTCCAGTCGGGGGTGAATGGGACCCATCCGACACCCAGGAAAGCTGCCACAAGCACAATCAACACAACGGCTTCAAAGTCATGTCCCAGAAAGACTACAAAACCCTGGCGGCGCTCCGAGACCACTCCTATTTCCTGAGCTCGTCCATCCAGCTGCTGATGGCGCCCTCTGAGGACAGGGAGGGCAATGAGCCGGAGAAAGGTCACTTCCCTTTGAACGAAGCGCTGGAGCTGTGTCAGACCATGCTCCTGGCTTTCATCAGGAGGGCGGAGGCGGTGTTGATGGAGGGGGATTCAGAAGGCCTTGTTTGGCAGCCCAGCACGTTGGCTTTGCCATCTGGAGACACCGCAGGTGACATTCAAAAGTCACAGAGTAAACAAGAGTGCGTGGAGGACTTACGCACGGCCGCAGTGAAGGAGAGAGCCAAGCAGAGTGAGCAGGCGGCACACACGCAGAGCTGCAGGGATTCCAAAATGCAACAGTGTCTGCAGATCCTCTGGCTCATGCATCAGTGGTGCCAAGAAGAGAATGAGGTACAAAGTGCTCAGAATATTCAAGAATACGTCTATGAAGCTGGGGCACCTCAAATTTGTTTTCCTATAAGTAATTGTGTCTTAACAGAAAGAGTCTTGTATTAGTAACATGTAGTGTACAAATCAGACCACAACATCTCATCTTATTAGAAAACATTTTATTTATCTATGTAAACATGTAAGAAAGAGCCCTGTGAGTCACTCTTTCACGCTTTGGGCTGAGAGCTGATTGGCTGAGCGAGGGTGGTCCCCTCTTTTACGCTGTTCTGTCTGGAAAAGCTGATCTACAGATGTGACAGAGGTCGACGATACACGCATAAGAAAACTAGTGATAGAATCAAACTATTTTGAGAGCGAGGGATGAGTTGGGTACCCCAGCTTTAATTCATCCAATATAGAAATCAATATACTTAAACCTTTTCAATGGGGGGTATTTTCCATGTCTGTGTGGAGTGAGAGGACAACTGACCAAAACAATTGTTAATTGCTTTGTGACTCTGGTTTGTGAATGGCGCTATATAAATAAAGATTACTTACTCACTTTAAAGCCCAAAGCCGAGCCAAGACATTCCCAGCAAAATATGTCTCACACACTCTGCAATACACTTTATCCTTTAGATCAGGTCAAACTCATTTTGGTCGCGGACCGAGTTTGAAGAAGTATTAACTGGTCTGGGGCAAAACTGTAAAAGCTGTTTTCCAAGTGGAAAATTTGATAATTTTTACATGTTTTAAATATTATATCATATTTTGTATAAATCATATGTTTTTACATTACAAAAGTATTTTGGCAAAAGGGAGTCTGGATGACACATGAGTTTGGATAGTATTCTCTGGTAGATTCTTCTGAGCAAAATGAGTTAAGTTACTGCTTTAACATAAACTGGACCAAAGGCTGAGCAAGCTTGTAATTGCAGACTGATTTGCCATTTATTTTGAAGGATCATGTAGCAACCACCCAGTAACCTTTTTTGTCATTATAATGTCCAAAACAATGGGGGTGAGAATTCTAGAGTGTGACTGTGTTGGGTTCAATTTAGAAAACATTAAATGACACAGTTATTTTCATAAGTTTTAAAATTAGGCATAACAGGCCATGGTCGCCATAATAACATATTACCATCAATACTTCAGCTTAATCATGATAATTGTGAATCAGTTCAGGGGCCACTAAAAACGGCCCTTGTGTTTGACACCTGTGTTTTAGACTCTTTAGCCGCTGTTGTGATGCTTAACTCTACATTGTGTTGCTTTTTCCCACATGGATCTGGTTTAAACAGAGGCCTAGTCAAAACACGTCGGAGCTGGGAGGGCTGCTGAGGGACGTGGCTGCACAGATCCTGGATGAGCCCCTCAGGGAGTCCACAGAGTCCAGAGAGTCCAGAGCCAGGCGGGGCAAAGCAGAGGAGGTAAGTGACCCCTACTGCGGCTGCTGCTGCTGCTGCTGCTGCCAAGCGAGTGTGAGCTGCCATGCATCAGGAAAGCACAGTATGTAGGCTAATCCATGCAGAATCCAGGGCCAAACCACACAGACACGTTTCTACTGCAGTTTAAGACATGAAAAGTCTCACTCAACTTTACTGTTGCATAGACATGACCTGACTGTCAGTCTACATACTCATCTCATAATCTCATAATTCTTCATGATAAGGAAATAAGACCCAAAATACAATTCTGAAAATAATAAAATGATTTGATAAACAAGAACCAAAACCATGACTCAAATGAATGTAAAACACAGGAACTGACTAAGACAAGAACTGAGTAACACACAATGGACTGACGACAAGAGGGCGAGAGCACAGGGGATTTCACTTGGAGACACAGGACAAACAGAACAGGAAGTAAAACTCAAAAAGACACACAGATAAGACAAAATAAAACGGGAACTATAAATGACAACCGTGACCGATTTGGCTCTTCAGATCAACCACGGTCCAATCAAACCAGAATAAGCTCTGCATGTTGGGTTGCCAGATGCTAAAACTAAAAGCAGTTTGCATGGGTTTAGCTGGGATTCTGCTGCTGTTTCAGGGCCAAAGAAAGCAAGCTGCAATTTACTATTACAATGTCGTTGCTATGTATTTGTAAATGTGTTTATTTGGGTGGAACAACTAAAGCTGGGGTACCTAACTTTCAAAACAACAAAAATTCAACTATGTAATCAAATCCATTTATTCTTTTGGTTTTTATCATAAGTTGTATGTTTGGCCTCTGTCACATCTTTAGACCAACAGATAAGACTATCTATTCTGTTTTTACTTTTACTCGTGTTATTTATGAAAACGAAAATGAATTTACCTCCACACCTTTCATTAGATGTTAGAATGACACTATTTATTATTTTAATCTTGGAAAAGTACCTGTTCTGATCAGACCAATAAAAAGAAATCAGTCTTATACGTTTAGCTACTTCTCTTTGAGTGTAGGAAAGCCACTGATCTCTGTATATTTCTGTGCTCACTATAGTTATGTATTTGAGCATCTGTCAAAAATGTAAGACATTACATTCACAAGGTCAGTCAATGTGACATATTTTTGTGATATATTTTTTGACACAGAGTATAGTAAGAACATGATGCTCAAAAGAAGTAGGATTGAGTTTAAAACGTATTGTATCCTTCCCCGGGGCTCACTATATACAATGTGTAAATGCCTGGTTCAATTCTGCATCACAATCTAAAAGCGTACACATGTTTTTTGTCTCTCAGCGCGTCGCCAGCTGTGTGTTCGACAGCGAGCTCCCTGTATCTCCCAGGTTTGTTGCTACTTCCTTTTTTTTAAATCTTTGTTTGGCATGAATCAGCCCAACTTATGGTTCACCTGCTGTTCTTGCAGAGCGCACGTCTCCACGGGAACCAGGCGATATCTCTCTCTTCACAACAAAAGAAAAAAAAACTGGTGCTACACAAACCAGGAGGCCGCCCATCTGGACCGAGAAGACCCCGTGAAGACCTGGGACCACCTCATCATGCCGCTAAACTTCCCCGGATTGGACTTCCAGCAGATGTCGACGGAGAGAAGCAACACGGCTCCGGAGAAAACCGCCGTGCGCATTTACTACAGCCCCCCGTCCAGACGCAGAGTGGCTCTGGCTCAGCTGAAGCAAAGCCCAATGGCGGAGGCGGACTCCCCCAGCGCCACGTCCCCCTGGTTCACCCCGCCTACGTCCTTCTCCGCGCTGGCCTTGGACTCCAACCTCAGCGACGACATGAAAGAAATCACCGCCGGTTTGAGGGAAAAGTGGGTGAACACGGCGAGTTCGGGCACGCAGACCCAGCTGAAGCCGCTGCTGGTTAGCGTAGCCATGCAAACCGACGTCTCCCACGGGTCGGTGTCGTTCCGCAGCCCGAATCGCATCATAAATTCACCGGTTTCGTCCCCTCTTCCCGTCTCCGGAGCAGCAGCCGTGGGGCGAACAGAGCGGCCCAGATCGGCAAACTCGTCTCCCAAACTGCGCCGGAACTCGTCCATCCCGTCCCAACCGTCGAGCCGGGACCGTGCCATGTGGAACTTAGCGCAGCAGCACGCCACCGGGATGACGTGGAAAGGCGGTCAGAGAGTCGCGGTGGTGAACGTCGAGCAGACCGCGAAGCCCGCCAGCAAACCGGCGCAGAGCTCGACCAACAAGTGCGGGTTGGTCACTGAGTTCCTGCGCAGGGTGAGCGGCAGAGCGGACAAGCCGGCGCAGGGGTACGGGCTGAGGAGCAAAAGCGGCGGGCCACTGAAGAACTTGGAGCGCGTCCCGACCAGACCCGTCGGGGTCCCGCTGCAGAGGAGCGACAGCGTGACCAGGATCGTCAACCAGAGATTCATGAAGCCCAGAGAGGAGAAGACCCAGGGGGCGCGGCCGAACCCCGTCCCAGGAGAGGTGAGGCCTCTGTGGGCGCGGAGCTGGAAATAACGTGTCAGTTATATAACATCAACACAAACAACATATAACTTTCTGACAGTTTTTGTGGAATAGACTAATTATGTAGTTTTGTGCCAATCAATCAATCTTTAGTTAGATAGAAAGATATTCGTCTAACAGTGGGGAAATTTCAGTGTCCTCGTTTTGCACATTACAGCAGAGAAACAGAAAGAAATCAGAGCACTCAGATTGCACACATCCAACAGGGACTATTATTTAAGATAATTGATTATAAAATTAAAAGAATAGTAAGTAATGAGATGGTAAAATAGAATAAAAATAAATATACTCTAAAACTCTGGAGCTACAATTGCACTTGGTTCAGAGATATTTACAGAACTGTGTATTGTACTTTAGCAGCAGAGAAAATGACCAGAAACATCAATAGTAACAATATCAGCAGGTAAAGTAAATGACAGAGATATCAGATGAATGGATATGTAATAATGTACTGTATGTAGTATCAGTCGTGTAGTTTCACATGTTCAGTCTGAACGAGGAGGATCTAATCTTCTGTAAACCTGTGTCTTCCAGGAGGGGAACTATGACTGTGTCTCCGGCGGTTCGCTCTCCTTCTGTTTTTCGCGCCCGACTCGGTCGTCGTTGAGGCAGACGATCCACCAGAGCAAAGTGCAGCAGCGCAGACACACTCAGCCCAGCTGTGCCTGATCCTGCCCCTGTCCCTGTGAGAGAGGTACTCAGGACCTTTTCCAGCACTTTGCACCAATCTGAAGATATCGTGTTTCTACTCTGAACTGTTGCTATGACAGCGGTGCTACTTCCATCTCCCACTGGACCTTATGGACTCACGGTTCTGCACAATGTTGTATACATTACTAATAAGGTTGTGTTTTGTGGTAAAATGCAATGTTAAATCTAATGATATGTACTATTTACTAAGAGGGAAATCTATCTCCCATAAACTTCATCCTTTATTATTATTTTTATTAACACAAACAAATACACACGCAAAATAGAGGCGAGACATAAGCGTAACAAGTAACAAAACATTATATTGTACTAATGCCATTATTCTGTATTAATACCAGATGATATATAACAAATAAAGAAATACATTACTTTTCTATATTCATTTCTATATTACACTAGAGCTAGCGTCATCAAAGGTGGCTTCTGTTCATTTCTTTAAACCTCAGGATTGGCCCCTGACACAGAGACACAAACACAATGGAATCAGAAATGTCCTGCATCGAATCAAATGGTGGGATTTGGTGAATGTCACTATTTCTGCTAATCACGGGAACATGTTCAGGTGACTTCAAGCTCTCCTTTAGAAGCTCTACATTTGTCAAACATGTTAACTTAGTAAATGTAAATATCTGAAACTCCGGACATGTAAAAATGATCAAAACAACAGAACCCTGGACCTGCACTCACGTTACCACAGAATCAAACGGCAGATTCTGATTCATTTATTTGCCATTTGCAGTAAAACCCCATTGGAATACATTTGTAAAAAAGCATTGAAACAGCCGAGTCAATATCAATTAAAATAAAACATTCTGGGCCTGGGTCTGTGTAAATGAATTGCTGTGGACAAAGGAAACTATATTATTATTATTATTATTATTATTATTATTATTATTATAATGATTAGTTCTAGGCTTTCTCCGGCTTTGTTCGCCAACAATCCAGCTCTCTACTTTTAAAGCAGCAACAATTATAACTTCATCTTTGTTTGTGCTGAAATGCAATCTGACTGTTGTGTTGCCACTGACCACTCCCACTTTGGAACTTTTCAGAATATAAACAATCTGATCCATAACCTGTATTGTGTGTCCTCTGCATTTGCCCCACCCGCCCGGGCCCCTGGCAGTGGTCTCTCTAGTACAGCACCTGAAACCCATCTCCACATACTGATGCTCTTGGTCCGGATTAGAACTGAAGGATTTTGCCTATTATACACGTTTTTAATGGTAGGGGAAACCGGAGCACCTGAAGGAAACCTACATGTACATGTACATGGGGAGAACATGCAAACCCAGAAATCCCCTGTTTTACGACCCTGAAACGACAGCGCTAACCACTCAGCCACCGTGCCGTTTGTTCATTACAATGTATATATATAAAGATATATTTACACGTTTTATATTCACCTGTGTAGTATTTTGTAGACGTGAAAATGTTGTGTCAGTAGAAATAACAAACCACATATTGCTTCTTTGACAATATTTACAAAGAATACATGTTTACATATATTTGTTTTGTAACGTTATCAATAAATGGAGTCGCTAACACGTTCCCAGTGGAGTGCTGTAAGTCTGTTGTGTCACAGGAGATTAAAAAGGGAAAAGGTAAGAGCCATAAGAAGTTAATGGGATAAAGTGCTGGTCGCCTGTCGGGAGAACGTCCTCTGTCCGTCTCCGAGTGTGTGCGTGTGATCTTTGAGATATTTACTTCTCTTCAAACTCCTGTAATGCTCCGTGTTGTTGGAATGAAGAACAAAGAACAGCAACAAAACAATAGAATAGAAAAAAACAATACAAAATATATATAATAATGCGTTGGTTTTATATAGCGCTGTTTTGGACACTCAAAGACGCTTTACATGTTATTATTCATTTACTCCATTGTAGCCACAGCTGCCCTGGGGCACACTGACAGAAACGAGGCAACCAGTATGTGCCATCGGCCCCTCCGACCACCACCAGCCATTCACACACACACCAGACTCACTCTAGGCAATGGGGGTAAAGTGTCTATTGTCGACAGAATCAATACATCTACAGTATGTTAACAAAAAGCTAACAAAAATTCAGCTCGAAAAGGAGTGGGAAGAAGTTAAGACGTTTAAACTCCCACCCCCTTTTTCTTATTCTAGTTCTAACTTCTATCATGTGGTTGCTATACAGTTGTTGAATCTGAACTTGTCGTAGCCCCTACATGCATGCGTGTGTCTCTCCTCTCCCAGAGTCATGCGGAGGTCTTCCCGCAGGCCGTGTGAATGCCTCCTGGCAGCTGGGATCAAGGGCACAGTCAGAGTCGAGTCACGTTCCATTTCTCACGTGTTGTATTTTTTTTTTTTTCAGACGCATTCAAACAAACGCAACAATGTAGGTTACATCCCAGCGGAGAGAGAGGACCAGGTTTCACAGACTCATGCTGCCGTAGAGATCTCCGATAACACGGTTCACTTTTGTTACTCTGTGTTAGTGGGACACTCGCATACAACAGATATAGGCCAGAGTTATAATGGTTAAAGGTAAATGCAAAAAAATGCAAACACTCAAGTAAAAGTAAAAGTAAATGTATTTTGAGAGTAAAAAAGTTGTATTTTTCTGACGAAGGCCCAGTGCCAAATCACGTTTTAAAAATAGGCTGCAAGGCATTTTAATATATCATTTTGAGTTCCTCAGTCTTTAACCTTTTTGTTTTTGGTGCATTTTTTGGCATATTTTGCACATTTTGAGTTGGATTTTTTTATTTTTTTTAATCATTCAATTAATAATAATTTCATGAAACACAGTGGAAAGTTGGTCAGCAATAGTTATTTCAATATTTTCTTCATTAAACTCAATGACACTTGATGTCTCCTTGATTTTTCTAAAAAGAAACTTTTTTTCACTTTTAAAAGCAGCTCATGATGTGCAGTAGATGTACAGAGACATGCTACCAAAAAAGAAATATCTTCATCAAACTCTATTACAGAGATGTGGTCTGTAATAAGACAAATGCATCACTGAAAACAACACAGCAATAAGCCTCACTCCTCGGAGAAAACAGAATCAGAGCATTTATTGCCTTTGTAAGTCACAGGAAGTCACAAAGTAGAAATTTGCTTTGGCTCTCAGTGCAAACAAGTTATAAAAGTAAAAATAGATAAACGGCATAACATTACACTTCATAACAGTTTCTACTATATTCAAGTGCACTAAATACACAAAAACTGCACCAATTCTCCACAGATCAGACTGGTTCCACGCGCCACTGGATGTTTGTCAGCCCTCGGATTATAATGTCACTTTCATTGAGCCGACAGATGATACGAAATGTCCTTATTCCACTGGTGTGCTGTGTTTAATGCTGTAATGTTTTTTCCACCTCCGCTGTATAAGCACCAAACTAGAATACACTGTATTTAGTATTATTATTAATAACATTGTTGTTGTTAGTACCACTATTACTATTATTTTTAGTATTGCTATTATTACCACTGTCACTATTATCACTACTCTTATTGTTATTACTACTACTACTATTGTTTTTTATTATTTCTAATATTATCATTATCAGTAATAGTAATAGTAATGGTGTTAGTAATTGTAATAGTAATGTATTAGTAATAGTAAGAGTAATAGTAATGTATTAGTATTAGAATTAAGTATTAGTATTGGGAATAGGAATAGGATTTTTTTTAATGAACCAAACCCCCATCGATCACTACGCCAATCCAACCTGCAGTCTGTGTTGCTGCCACCAGAGGGCGCTACTCGTCACGTGATCACGCTGTTACCTTCTCGCGTGCTGTCGTTGATGATCAACAACAATGGCGGACGGCGCTGACCCACTTTCCCCCTGGCTCTGTTAGAACGACACCACACTGCGGTCTTTTCTGCTTAAACACAACTCGTACTCATGAAAATGGAGGATGTTTACTGCAGATTTGACTCGTATGATTTTGAGTCTGATGCGCAGTTTGCAGAGGGAGTGCGCTCTCTCCAGAACAGCAGCAGGTCAGAGGAGACACTGCTGGATCTGAAACTATTCTACTACAACAGGTGAGATACGTGAGTATGGAGAGTTTATCTGTATAGCACTATAGCACAGTTCATACACAAGGCAAAGTGCTTGACAAAACAAGAAAAAACATAACAATCACACAAGGCATTGAAATAATAAATAATCAGTCACAATTAATGCACTGAACAGAAAAGGCATTAAAATCATAAATAATCACAGTACGTTAAAAAGAGTGAATATAATCTCTGTCAGTTGTATGCACAGCTAAACAGAACTATTTTTAACCTGGATTTGAAGATTGTCAGAGAAAAAGCCTGTCTCACATTTCCAGGAAGACGATTCAGATGCCTCCCCATGTTAGTCCTGACTCTGGGCACCAGCAGGAGGCCAGTCCCTGTGCTCCTCAGAGTCAGGAGTTAGTTCATTACATCATTTGTGTTTATTCTAGTTTGTATATTACATTAACACTGAGGATATCACTTCCTGTTTGGACAGAGGCAGCAGCAGATGTAGAACAATAATAAGGCACATATATATCTAACTTCTAACTAATCTAATCTACACTACCTTCTAAAATATGCAGAGGGATTCCATTACTGTAACTACTTCCGTTAGGTTTCTTAGAACTGCAAATACAGCGTTGATAATAATATAAGTTGCATATGTTCTTCTAACGCTGTGTTAGCCTTCAATAACTTTTCAATGTGGTAGTCAAAGCATGCAGCCTTTGTTCATAAGTTAAACATTATCTTTGCAGTCTTGTAAAATCAGCTTGTCCACATTTTTATCTGGCTATGCTTTTATGATGCGTAGACAGATTGAAATGTGTTAAGCTGGTCATATGCTTGGCAAATTGTGATGTTTTATCTCTCTGGATGGAATGGGATGAAATTAAATATTTTACAGTCCATCATTGTCACTTGATTGTAATAATGTAGATTAAAGATTCCTCATACCAAAAGTGTTCTCAAATGCCATAAAGTAGAAAATGCTATACTTCCTGTTACACATTAGCCTGAGAATACCCACACTGCTGTGACTGTGTGCTGTTAGTGAGGCTGGTTAGGAACAAATTACAATTTCATTTCTTAATTTTCTTCCACACTTTTTAAATACTATTGTACTCTTGTTTCTATAGGTTTGTGGAGCCCATAGACCGGAGCGCGTACAAACACCGCGGCTCCTCCAATGGGACGTCCGCCTGCAGTGGTGACTCTCAGTCCGTGGAAACAGAGGCGGCGGTTTTGTCGTTTGCTGAAGTCATGAAGCTGGTGCAGGAGGGGAAGGAGGTGCCTGGGGTGAAGAAGGTGGACATTCAGCCGTCCAATCAGAGCCCAGCCCCGTCGCAAATGCAGAGGATACTCAAGCCGTGGGAGAGGTCGCCACAGGCCACTTGATGCTGGTTTCATCTCTCGGTTTCATGTACATTTGGACATGTAAGTCTCTCAGAAGATCTAATATTGTAGCAAAAGCGTAAGGTCGTGCCGTCAGTTTTTCGTCATTCTCAAAAAGGCTGATGCGTTTGCAAATGGGTAGAGACATTTGTAATTCTATGTAAGATTTTCTGTTTTCTACATCCAAACTTCCATCTATTTCTTCCGCTCTAGTTCTTCCGTTGCCGGGTCGCAGTGGCTCCTAGTGATGTGGAGAGGCATCGGCTCTACTCCGAGCTCCTCAAATTATCTCTGAGGGAGCACCCAGCCACTCTGCAAAGGAAGCTCATTTCGACCGTTTGCTTCTCGTCCTTTTGGTCATTACCCAAAGGTCGTTGTTGATACAAAATTATCAAAGTCTTAACTGGACGCGGTTATTGCACCTTAAGGATCACATGACACTGGGCTTTTCTGAAACAATATTTTCACTTTTGTTTGTTTTTGAATATAGAACATTTCAGTTTGTCTTTTTACAGACAACGTACTTATCAAGATGAACTAAGCGTTTCCCTCATTATTGAAATGTAGGGATTCCAGAATGTCCTATTTAAGATGTGTAATTTTTTACAGCCTAAAGAGGAGTTTCTTTGTAATTAAAATGTGTTTTTAATTATCCTGGTTTTTCTTTTTGTTGTTGTTTATTTTATAATCGGAAATTCTTTGAAATCTGTGAAAAGTGCAACAAGAGTTATGCAGCGCGTGTATATTTAAGTTAAAAACAATGTCCCATAACCTGCAGTTACAGAGATTATGTGCTATAATTATCTTCCATGTAGTTCTAACATCTCAGTGTCCTGTTATGGGAAGAGAAATCAGCACCAAACAGCGAGGGCATTAAGGCAGAGGTTTATAAAAGGTTTAAAAAACAGCACCACAGTAACAAAAAGTAAAACAGGTCGAGGTCCGGCCGGGGTTATACAGTACAGTGACATCACAAGCAGCTTACGACCAAAACAAGCCAAAACAATATTCACCATCTTGAAATGTATAAGTTATAGCACCAGGTTTCAGTCCTTCTTCCGAGTCGTACATGAGTTTAACAGTCACAAAAACTAAAGCCCTTTGAGCCGATTTTAGGTACGGTTTAAAAAAAATGCTTAGTAACAAATCATCACATACTGCATTCGTGATAAAAGTTGGTTAAAAAGTTCCTGCGATACATGATTTCATACAGGCACATTTAGTATTCTGTTGCAAAATAAATCATCTAAAAACTAAATTTAAAAAAAGTCATGATTTGAAAACACACAGAAAGAATTAAAATGTTTGCTCATAAAACTGAAAACTGATCAGAAAACAAAAAATAGAAGAAAAGAATCAGCTTAAATAGAAGTGGGAGTTAAAATATATCTGGGTGAGGTAGATTAACAAAGCCCTTTAAGATATAGTACTAAAACTACTCTAAACAATGTGGCCCATGTGCTGGTTTCCTTTGAGGTCCGGTCCCGGTTGGACTGAGGCTCACTCGCATTCGAAATAGTCCTTGAGCGGAGCGAAGAGGTGGCGGATCACAGGGACACTCCAGGAGCGGCCCAGCACCTTCTGCCTCTGACCACGGCCCATGTTGTTCACGTCCGTGTAGTGTTTGGGGAATCCAAAGATCCTGCGGAGGCGAGCGAGAGAGAGAGTCATGAGGAAATGCATATCCTAACACTGGGCTATTCAGTTTCCCTAGAGATCTACTTTGGCTAAACTGAGTTAATAATTTATTTTTGTGTCGCCCTAAATCACAACAGAGAATCAAACCGGTCAAACACAGGCAAAAACAAACACATAGGAGCCATAGGTCATTGGGAGCGGGAGGAGCAATGTCCGTAAATGTTAATAAATGTCCAATACCAACGTGATTTCAGTTTTATCTCTCGTGTTAGAACTGTTTGATTCTCTGATCTGTTTTGGCAAATTCAACGGTTGTGTCGAGTCCTCAGAGAAAACTACACAAGAATATATTTAATTGAGTGTCCTGGATTATCCCGGACCTGACAGGACGGTCTGAGGACTTGAGCACAGTTGTACTTCTATAAAACAATCTTCCATTTCCAATTGGTCATGTTGTTGACTTTGGGCTCTATACAAATTAATAGATATGAATATTACAAATAAATGAGATGAATGAGCAACTGTGGGACAGACGGATATTGGCTAATTGGCTGGGTTCATTAGGACTGTGTGTAATGAACCCAGTGTGTTTACCGGCTGTTTATAACACACTGTCCTAATCAAATAAAAACTATTACTATACTAAATACTATACTAAACTATTGATTAGCAAGCAGACCTCCACCAAGAGGCGTAAAATCCTGGATCCAGAAAGTGATCTTAATTTAATCTGATGGTCCGTTGTCCCATTTCCAACATTTACTGACATTCATCCCCAAACACTGAGCCATGAGAAAGTTCTTACTGTTCGAGCTCGGTGCACCACAGACTGTCCTCTTTGCCGTTCATCACCACGGGATGACCGCTCTTTCCCTGCCGCAGGGAGTTGGACTTGGTCGTTATCGTCCGCACTTTGTCAAACTGCAGCAGAAGCCGTGGATCAGGAACAAACGGCCACAGAGGAAAGTAAAACGTACACACGGAAGAAACCCACTCACCTTTGCCACGCGGCCCGGCTCCAGACAGTCCTGCAGACTCGCCTTGTCCTCCAGGGAAGTGGCCATAGGTCTGTGGAGAAAAGTATGAGGGGAGTCATTGTGAAATACTTGGCACAGATGCAAGAGTCTGTAGCAAAAGCGTGAGGTCGTGCCGTCTTTACCTGTTCATCCCAGGGAGGTTTCCCCAGAAGTAGCGCGCTCTGTGGGCAGGGCTGACTTTCACTGCGTCGATCAGAATGGGGTTACACTGCGACGGACAAAATATAGGTGTTAGAGGCACTGGTTTGGCTCCGGGTTTGGTCAAGACACATTCCAGACGTATCAACACCTTCTCAATGACATTTCAAAACAGTTACTACATGTAATGAATGCTCTTTAAGTTTAAGTTTATTCAAGGAAAGCCCAATAAAAGAATCCTCTCATTTTCGAGGGGGTCCTACATGTTGTGTATGTAAACATGTAAACATACACAAATGAAGCTCAAGCGGATGTTCAGACTGAAAGACCGAGTGCCTGCCAGCCTCGAGCCTCAGCCAATCACACAGCTCTGCCAGCCTCGAGCCTCAGCCAATCACACAGCCAGGCCAGCCTCCTACCAACCCTCTCAGAGCAAAGCGGGCAGTTTAAAAGGCAGCCACTTCCTGACAAACAACGCTTCCTGAGGCTCTTAAACACCCACCACCTCCCCAGCACCCCCTCTGGCTCTTGGCTCCCGCTCTGGCTCCCGCTCTAGACTCCCACTCCGGCTCCTGCTCCGCCTACGCCCCATTCACACCATACTCTAGCCACCACCAGTGATTGACCCCGGGGGATCTGAGATCATCTTCAGCTGCAATCGATCTCATAGCTGCAAGTGTCACTGCCGGGGTCAATGCGCCAAACAAATAAATCATTTTAATGTATTTATCGTGTCTTTGGTCTCTTCAGATTGAACAATTAGCAGAGCATTAAGGATAACAAAAGATACAAGACACTTTTTGTTTCACCACCTGAAAAGTGCCAGAAATGTGGCGTACAACTAATTATAATGTGACAAATATTACAAAATTACAGTCATTTCAGTCAAATATTTTACGATTTTAACATCCATTCATCCATTTTCTACCCTTTAATCCATTTCTGGGTCAGGGGGGTGGCAATCAGAGATGCCACCCAAGTCTCATAGCACCAGCCCCTCACTGACCCTCTGCAGGTGGTGAGTCCACAGGAGGACGGCTGCTCTCTGAGTGTGAGCATAGCCTTGATCTTTCAGTGGGGGCTTTTGGGCAAAGTGGGGTTAAGTGTCTTGCCCAAGGACACAACGACAGCAGTCATCAGTGGGAGTCGGTGGAGAAGGTGCAGAGGTGGGAATTGAACCCACGACCTTCTGGCCTTAAGGCCAATGCTCTACCAACTGAGCTACTGTCGCCCCATGTCGCCCCGATTTTAACATTTTGAAATCAAATTCAATATCTTATTAAAGATGTAAACAACATGGGGCAACTCTGATTAATACTTCTGCCACCACTGCACTCAAACTGTGACTAAATATGGACTAGACTGTAGGGGTATATTTTATACCTTTGTTGTTCAAGATAAGACCAGACATCAGGGAATTTTAATTTATTTAAATATTTGTATTTTTGCTTTTCAATGTAAACTATTTCCACTCCCAGGCACCACCATATCTAATGATTTAGCCTGGTCTAAAACTATACATTTCTGGGTCTAGTTGGGGGATAAAATGTCAGTAGTGGCTATAAGAGAATTTACCCACAACAAAAATGTACATTCAAATGTAAAATACTATCAATAATTGTACAGCCTGAAGTAGGGCTGGGCGATAAAACGATAACGATATATATCGCGATAGACATGTGTTCGATATCAATAGAGAATGGGGTCGATAGAATGTTCGATAGTTTAACTTAACTCCGTCAGGAAAAACAGGAAGAAAACACCGGAAGTAAAGCCGACTCATAAGCGCATGGCATTGTGGGGGATGTAGGCAGAGGCTTCTCGACCAATAACAGCCGAGCAGGAACCGCAAAACTTTGTGGGAAATGCAAAAACAACAACAACCGCTCCATGCGTAGCGTCCATGGATCTATAGCTCGTGTTTCAATGCCGTGTCAATGGTTATGCACGTGCGTGCGCGGAATAACATGTGCGGCGGCAGAAGCAGTGGACAGACACGATGTATTCGGCGAAAGCAAGAGATTAACTTTTTCCTCGGGAAGCATGTGCGGCACAGAGAGCCGCACGGAGCGGTCACGGGGACACAAGACCCTCAAACAGCTAAACCAGGAGCTAAACCAGGAATAAAAAACCAGGATTAAACCAAGACTAACAACGAGGGACACAGTGTGAACATATTCCTCGAGCCTCATCGCCCCGTGACTGTAAACAAGGCTGCTAAGGTTGGTTAGCCCACACAACAAATATATTTATTTAGGTTAAAAAAAAAAAAAACTCAATATATATCGTTATCGACCGATATGAATGACTTATATCGTGATATAGTTTTCAGCCATATCGCCCAGCCCTAGCCTGAAGTAGTTATAGCAGCAGCTCCAGGATGGCGATTGCTTGGACAAAACCTGGACTGGGATTTATAGAGACTAGTTCTTGGTAGAAGCATGAGCCTCAAACACCCTGTACCTCAAGAAACCTGCAGATGTCTGCCTTGTCGTGGCCGCTCATGAAGACCACGTTCTCAAAGAGCCAGAAGAAGGGCCGGTCCTCTTCTTCCCGCGGCTTCAGCAGCGTGAGGATCCGATAGAACTCAAAGAACAGTCTGCCGGTGCCCTCTGCAGGACCAAGGCATGGCGTCATGATTTGTTCACAACTTTCTTTAAAAATTATACCAAAAAATTGTTACCGAATAGTCCTTTACGTAGTGGATTGACTATGGACAGGTCGTTGCACGGACTCCCTCCAATCAGAAGGTCAAAGGGGCCCCATTCTGCGAGCTGCGAGACAGAACAACAGGTGTAAAGTGACATGACTAAAGGCAAGTTTATTTACAAAACAAGATAAAAACATTAAAATCCCACACAGCATTCATAAATAATCACAGTGCATTAGAAAGGGTGTGCATACACCTGAAGGATTCCATCTTCACCAAAACACAACCGTTTTTAACCTAGATTTGAGAACATTGTAGAAGCCTGTCTTTTAGCTGCAAAAAAATCGGAAACGCTGGCACCCCATGTTTAGTCCTGACTCTGGGCACCAATAGGATATGGCACTAACATCTCTCAGATGGGCTGTACATGGACCGACTTTGTACACGCTTAAAGTCTATTTATTTAGTTATTTTAACATCACCTCAGATATGAAATGCATTGAATATTTTGTTCATATCTTTGTGAAAAATGGACTCCCTGAAAATGTTTGCCAAGCTTAAAAATGGTGTCCCACATTGCAAAAACAAAAACACTAGAATGGCTAGAGCAGAGGAAGTTTCGTTTTCACATATTGCTAAAACTTAAAAATAAATGTATTCTCTGAGCCACAGGAAGTCAGTGCAGAGACCTGAGCACTGGACTACTGTGAGCGTACTCCCAGGCTCCTATAAGACGACATTATATTTGTAATCATTCCGTTCTTACATGTTTGCGTGTGATGGAGCGGACATCGTTCACGTGCTCTATCTTCCCCACGTGTTTGACCATCCCCACGGCGATCGAGTCGTCGCAAATCTCCGAAGCGATGTAGCGCTCAATCTTGAAGCCCAGGTCTTTCAACACCAGGTATCCTGCGATCCAAACAAACGTGTCATGCCTCAGAGCCTACGAGAACTTTTCTTTATGCCACAGAAAGATGTCGACAAACCTGTTGCGATTCCATCAAACAGAGAGAGCACTCGGATCGGCCTCCGCTGAGCAGCCGGAACAGCCGGGTACAGTCTGTGGGGCTCCTAACCAGAAAATAACATGGAAAAAGTGAATCCAGGCTCAAATTTATGAGATTGTTATAGGTCAGGAAATAAATAAATAAATAATCACACAAAATTAAAACGAGTAAAGATAAAATCCTTCAGTTGTATACACAGCGAAACAGAACTGTTTTAACCTGGATTTAAACATTGTCAGAGTAGAAACCTGTCTCACATTTTCAGGAAGACCGTTATAAACCAGGCATGGGCAAACCTTTCCTTCTGAAGGCCACAGTGGAAAATGTGATTGTAATTCAGATTAAAAACGTATCATTAACAACAATATACAGTATATCTGTAGCTAAGTTAATTTGTTCTAATTGCATGGACCCTGACCCACATTTTGAAAACACCAGCTCTAAATCCACTGAAATCAACATTAAATTCCTTTATATTTGTTTTTTCTTCTCCCAAATCAAATGTTATGATTCTGCTTCAGGAGTCAGGCCTTTACGTCTCGTCCTGTTATTATTGCGGGTGAGTTTTATTGATATTAATGAAGGTGGCCACCGCGCTGTTTAAAGCAGAAGGTAAATAACCAGCGGGGCCGTGTTACAGCAGGTGCAGTGATGAATCTGAGAGCAGCTCACGGACGAGTTTGAGAAAAGGGGGAAAAAAAGGAGGAAGGAAAGAGGAGATGAAAGTACACACAGCAGGACAGGCAAGGTTTAGGACAAACTAAGAAGGGGCTGCCGTGAAGAGCTGGCTTTGACACACACTGAGAGAGGAGAGGAGAGAGAGAGAGGAGAGAAGAGGAGAGAGGAGAAGGGGGAAAGAGGAGGAAGAGAGAGAAGACTGAGGAGAGAGATGAGTGGAGAGAGTAGAGAGAAGGGGGAAGAGAAAAGAGAGGAGAGAGAAGAGTGAGGAAAGAGTAGAGAAGGGGGGAGAGAGAAGAGATAGACGAGAGAGGCGAGAAGAAAAGAGAGAATAGAGAGGAGAAAAGAGAGAGGAGGGAGAGAAGACAGCAGAGAGAAGAGGAGAGCAGAGAGAGAAGGGGAAGAGAGATATAAGAAAGAGCAGATTGGGGAGAAGGGGGAAGAGAAAAGAGAGGAGAGAAATAGAAGAGAGAGAGGAGAGAAGAAGAGAGAGGAGAGAGAAGAAGAGAGACGGATGCGGCAGAGTGAGGCCTAACAGAAACACCAGGGTTCTCCCACCTCTGTCTTAGACTCTGCAGTCTATCTGCAGAGTCAATCTGCAGTTCATCCAGAGTGATCATGGGCCTCTAGACTGCATCTCTGATCAGTCTTCTCCTTGTTTGAGATGATAGTTTGGAGGGACGGCCGGGTCTTGGTAGATTTGCAGTGGTCTGATACTCCTTCCATTTCAATATAATTGCTTGCACAGTGCTCCTTGAGATGTTTAAAGCTTGGGAAATCTTTTTGTATCCAAATCCGGCTTTAAACTTCTCCACAACAGTATCTCGGACCTGCCTGGTGTGTTCCTTTGTCTTCATGGTTCTCTCTGTGCTTTAAACAGAACCCTGAGACTATCAAAGAGCAGGTGCATTTATACGGAGACTTGGTTACACACAAGTGCATTCTATTTATCATCATCAGTCATTTAGGACAACATTGGATCATTCAAAGATCCTCACTGAACTTCTGGAGTGAGTTTGCTGCACTGAAAGTAAAGGGGCCGAATAATATTGCACGCCCCACTTTTCAGTTTTTTATTTGTTAAAGGCACACCGTGTAACTCTTGGCCACTAGGGGCGCTAGACCTGCAACTTTCACGTTTAGCGCCCCTAGTGGCCACAAGCAACTCAGCACTGTCGCAAAAGTCAACAAACAGTCAGCCGGTGTCTTTTGAGTGTGTATTCAGACAGCATGCACTGGTGTGTGTGTTCAAACTGTAGAGACATGCCTACAGATATTGAGAGACTCTGCTGTGGTCAGCCTCCAGACCGCTGCATTAGTAATCTACCACACATGGACTTCTATATCCTGGATGAGGGAGTTCTGCGTCTAGCTCGTGCTGCGTGGAATGACATCTTTGCAGTCGATGACATCCAGGAACCAGGTGAACAGCAGCGCTCATACAGACATGCAGCTTACAGCACGATCCCTTTCGCGTTTCCTCTTTTTAGCCTCCTCCGAAGGTTTAAAATTTTTCCTTGCCTCAGCCATGACCAGGAGTCGAGCAGGTGAAAAATGAGTAGCAAAAGCCTTAGCTCCATGAGTATATCAGCGCCTGTAGCCGTAAAGCAAGTGTTTCTTCCAAGTCACGTGACCTGGTGGCAGACGGTCCGTCTGCTCGAAAGTTACATGGGCGGTATTTCAAGAGGGCAGCCCCGCTCGGAGCATTGCAAGTGTCAAGCGCTGTATATTGGCCCAAGTATTCATATAAAATAACTCATATGTGTCAACTCTTTAGGTCACAAAGTCCGCGGTGTGCCTTTAAAAAAGTTTAAATTATCCAATAAATTTTGTTCCACTTCACGATTGTGTCCCACTTGTTGTTGATTCATGACAAAAAATTCAAATTTTATATCTTTATGTTTGAAGCCTGAAATGTGGCGAAATGTTGAAAGGTTCAAGGGGGCCGAATACTTTTGCAAGGCACTGTACACGATGGATCTGTTTTTCGTGTGTCACTTACGAACTCGAAGGCGCTGTTGTTGGCAAAGAAGTCCTGCACGCGGACGCTCCAGTCGGGCCGCAGTTTCAGGAAGCCTTTGCACTCGGAGGGTTTGCACATGTAGCAGTGCCACGGCTCCACCTCTTTGAGCTTGTCAAAGGAGCCGGCCCCGACCAGGATCTCGATGCAGTCTTTACAAAAGCATCTGTGAGAGAAGCACAAAAGTCATTATAGTGGGCATAAAGCTGACTCGCTTCATTGATTACTCGGTAAATCCAATAAATTCAGTTATTCTACCATGTGTCTGTGCCAAAACTCGCTCCAAAGAATCATTTTGTTCTGATTGGTTGATTCTTTCATCAGTCGTTCGTGACTACTGCTGTTGTGAATTAGAGCTATACAAAATACATTGAATTGAGCTTATGTGAAAAACTGTGTGTTGCTGTTGTCGTCCCATTACAGACTACAGTATACATTCTACACTAGTTTAAATAATGTTGGTAAACTCCGACCACACCTGATACACCTATTTGTGCGTGTGTGTGTCTGTGTGTGTCTGTGCATGTATGTGACTTGAAGCAGATGAAAATTGCACACAGCACCACCTCCTGCCCTGTTCTTCTCTTGGTGTGTGTGTATCTGTGAGTGTCTCTGTGTGTATCTGTGAATGTCTCTGTATGTGTGCCAGTATGTGTCTCTGTATGTGTGTGCATCTGTGAGTGTCTTTGTATGTGTGTCAGTGTGTGTCTCTGTATGTGTGTGTTTGAGTGTTTGTCTGTGAGTGCCTCTGACAATATTTGTGTGAGTGTCTCTGTATATATATATGTGTGTGTGTCTGTATATTTGTGTGTGTGTCTGTGAGTGTCTCTGTATATGTGTGTGTGTGTCTGTCTCTGTCTGACCTGCAGCAGCTGGGGTTCTCGCACAGCACCACCTCCAGCCCGGCGCAGCACACGGTGCAGTAGGACTGGTATCCGTCCTCGTCGTAGCGGTAAAGTGTCTCAGTGAAGTTCTCCTACACGACACAAACAGGTGAGGCGTGTTGCTAATGACGACACCAGGCGCAACACGAGCAAAAACCTCAGAAGCGGCGCCCGTTATTACCTTGCATTTAGTACAGAGACTTCCTTCAAACAGCGGGTGTCGCTTATCGATCTCCGTTGTTCCACAGGACAAACAAAAATCTAGAAAAAACAGCAGCTTTAGTTTGTGTTTTAAAATTAAGGAAGTTGAAATAAAAAAAAAAAGCTCTTACCTTCCAACGTTTTGCCTTTCATTCTTTCTTCTTTGAGGCAATCCACCATGGTCTCTTCAAAAACAACCACAATAGATGAATAAAATGAATCACTGAAAATATTAAGTCTTGTCTTTCAGAAGAAACTCACGTCTGCTGAAGGAGACCAGGGCCAGGTGGGCTTTGCTTTTCAGGACGTATTTTCGTTTTGCTGGAGGCTGGTATTCAGAGTCTGTGGTTTCTTCTACTGAGGAAGTCAGAGCATCTGCAAGTGGGAGGTGAACATTTACATTTTTTGTATGTAATTCGCGTTTAATTATATAGCACATTTTACAGACCAAGGTAAAAAAAAAAGCTTTAAAATGTTGAGGTCAGATATTGTGTGTTCGGCGTCTCGCTTCCGCCATCATCAACGCATCAAAGCCCCAAATCAACACTAACACTAACCTATTGATTGATCCCATTAGATAACCTTTATACATTAGTTATATTATATTACATTATACTAGAGATATCCGCTTTGTACAGTCTATACGCAAATCTATTCATCTGTGTTGTAAATATTATCTTATACTCGCGCTACTGCACAGCTGGTTAGATGCTAGACTGCATTTCGTTGCATTGTTCTGACTTTGTAATGACAATAAAGTTGAATCTAATCTAATCTAATCTATTGTACATGTTTTCAGTGGTGGGGGAAACCAGAGCACCTGGAGGAAACCTACGCAGACACGGGGAGAAACATAAACTCCACACAGAGAGGCCTGGAGCTGGAATCGAACCCAGGACCTTCTTGCTGTGAGGCACAAGCTCTAACCGCTATATTACCACGACCAACACCTGCGTGATTCCTTCAGTGAGAAAGGAAAGATATGATTTATGTTTTATGTATTTTCTATGGCATTTCTGCACTTTTATTGTATTTATATTTAATATTGTGTTTCTGTGTTTTTATGTACCCCACTTCCTCACGGATAAATAAAGTTATTTGAATTAGAATTGAAACTGACCTGGAGGTAAAAAGCCCTCGGGTCCTGCGGGCGGAAAGCCGTCCTGAGCCCAGCGCACCATCTCCTTCAGCTCGCCGGCTTTGTCCCGGCCTTCGGCGCAGAAGGACTTCCCACAACGTTCTGCTGCCAACTGAGGAGCACAGCGGGTTAAATACAAGTCTGAACATTCTCCTGTTCTAGTTGGCGACTTTTTCTCTCTCACCTCTAACACTTGATAAACGGCATCTTTGTAAACCGGCACGTTTGAGTGGGCGTTGTGGTTGTAGCAGAGGGTGAAGGCGTTGAACGGCATCAGGCGGTCAGTATGGATCTGAAATACAAAAATAAATGTCAAACGGGATTTTCTGTAATAGATCTAATCCAACCCTTTAACATTCACTCCCTGAGGAAAGTAATGTCCTTTTATCTCTTTTTTTATTTTCTAAGATGTGGGACAGTAATAATAGAAACTTTTTTTTTTATTACTTTTTTTATAATAGGCCTTTACCAAATGGTTGAGGAGCAGTTTGAAGGTAAACGTGCCTAAAACCAAGTGAGATGCCCCAAAGAGGAAGATTTCCAAGCTTCACGTAGATATTTTGACTGAAAATGTGATCTACCAAATAGTTGAGGAAAGCATTAAAGGGTCATTAAAGTCGTCTTCATTTATACATGGCATTTCACAGACCAGGGTCACTCAAAGCGATTTGATAATGAAGCTTCACCTCTGAAAACATGCCGTCTCCGAACCACTCCACTCGCCGCATCCCTGGAGGGTTGGACTTGGTTTTCCAGGACTTGACCAGACCGGGCCACCAGGTCAGACCCCGCAGTTTCCCCCACACCAGCTCTCCGTTCACAAAGCCTTTGCCGTCCTACATCCATGAACAGACAAAACCATCACGTTTAGTTTAGTTTGCAGTGCATTGTGGGACGAGCAGTGTTGCGACATCAAAGATATGAACATCTGAAGTGTAACCGTACCTGATAGCCCAGTTGTTTGTTTATTCCTTTTGGCGTCTTCCTGAGTGGCGACTCCATTTGGTCTATCTGAAAATGTTTACAAAATATTAAATGTAATATTTTGTATCATCAGTCTAAATGTTTAGTTGCCTCTTTGATGAATAAACGTATGTGTATTAGCTTAAATTGCAATGTTTTAAGCCAGACTCCTTGTAAAATGACCAAACAACCTTCTTAAAGCTGGGGTGCCTAACTTTAAAACTCATAACAAATTGGCAATCGCTATTTTGCCTCTCACAACTTTCAGACAGAAAAAGAGAGGACCGCCTTCAGCCCAAAGTGTGAAATAGTGACTCATAGGGCTCTTTCTTACATGTATGCCAACGTATTAGTTTCATGTTTTCAAATTAGACTCTTGTCGGACTTATATTATCCCATCTGTTTGTGCCAACAGAAAAAATTATTTAAGAAAAGATGGATACCCCAGCTTTAATGACTGGCTTCTTGGACACAGTAGCTGGCTGGTGCCCATGAGTGTTTTGGCAGTATACTTGTGGTATACCTACCACCTCATCTTGGGAATCCACGCCCTCTCCCACCGGCTTGGCCCAAGTGTTGGAACCAGCCTGAAAGAGTGTGCGAGGCAGTGGCTTCGGCCGTAAGCTGCTCTCCCAGCCAAAATTTCCCCTAATAACCTCCTGAGAGACAACATACTACCATTACACATTCAAATATGAGACCAGCACCAGTCCACCGTCACCACAGACACAAACCAACACATCAAGGCACAATCGTCCAATAATTGTGACCATGTTAATCATGTTTTTAAAAAACAAATGTTATACAAGAGAGATGGGACAAGATCTCGTGCCTCAAGTTATTCCAAGAAATTGAAAATCAAATGTATATCGTCTACAACAGGTGTGTCCAAACTAAGGCCATCAGGACAATTCCTTCGTTTAATCGTGTTTGGCCCTCTGCCTTGCTAACCCAAAGTAGATTCTGACAATGAATGATGTCACAGTATCATCCAGGAGACTTCAGCTCAGTCAAAATAGAGGTTCTTCACTTGTTGTGAAGAACCTCTGGAGTTCAGCCGTAGACTTAATTTGTATATGCTGGCATTTGATTTTGATTGTGTCACAAAATGTCCTATATGTAACAAACTCTTCTGTGTTAACCAACTTCAGCTGTCATTGTAAGTCATCTTTATTTAATAATAATAATTATAAATCGGTTTTATAAAGCGCTTTTTTGGACACTCAAAGACGCTTTACGTGTCATTATTCTTTCACTCCATACACAGTGGTGATAAACTATTACTGGGGCACACTGACAGAAGCGAGGCAACCAGTATGTGCCATCGGCCCCTCCGACCACCACCAACCATTCACACACACACCAGACTCATTCTAGGCAATGGGGGTAAAGTGTCTTGCCTAAGGACACAATTGCAGTTTGGCACTTTACAGCCGCCCCACTGTGGCTGGTGTTCCCAGAGGTTAAGTGTCTTGCCAAGGACACAACGACAGCAGACAGTGGGAGTTGATGGTGAAACTCGGGCTCGAACCCACGACCCTCTGGCTCAAAGGCCAATGCTCTACCAACTGAGCTACTGTCGCCAATATTTATATAGTGCCTTTCACAGAACAGTCTCATGAAACACTGTACAATAGTGGGAATTTGTCTCTCATTCCACACATGAGAGCAGGTTCGCCACACAAGAGGCACATGCCAGTGGTAGGGGAAACCGGAGCACCTGGAGGAAACCTACACAGAGTGACCTTCTTGCTGTGAAGCACAAGTGTTAACCACTGTGCATCGGACAATTATTAAGCTCAGAACAGTCCAAATCTAGTCAAAATAGTTTAAAGATATGATAAACTTAATTGTTCACAAGTTACACATTTATATGTTTCATTTGGCTTCAATAAGAACACTCAGAAATGTGCAAATAACAGGAAATGTGGAAAAGGGAAAGGTTAAAAGTGAATAAGATAGTGTTTAGACGCTCTGGCCCTCTTACAGGTTTGGACACCTCTGTTCAGAAAATCAATATTGTAAATTGTGCCAATTCACTCATCCCATTCTCTACATGTATTATTATTATCACAATGATATCAGTAAATGTTTAAATATGACTGCTACAAATACATACCTCTTTCCACCAAGACCCATTCTCTTTATCTGCAGGTTCTGTAAAAGTACATCGCTGCATTAGAACAAACTGAGCATTTTCACACAGCGGGCTTTATCAGCGTAAAAACATCACCTGCTAATTTGGTCAGTCGAACTTCACACTGCCGTATTGTTGAGATGTCCACCGCGCTCAGGTCTAACATTAGAGCAAAGAGAACATTAGCACATGGGAGCTGGACAAGCAGAGAAGCACTTGGCTGAACGTGTATTTACCTAATGACTCAAAGCTCCTCTTGAACGACCGGACGCTGCTGCTGTCGGTCATTACGTCCGAGTCGCTCTCTGTGACTGTGGTGTCGCTCTCGGTCAAAGTCATCGCTTCGCTGTTCTTGTTCAACACCTGGTTAAAAGAAGTTGCAGAGATGATTGAAAAACAGATCAGCGTAAACATCAGTGGACCTTAATAAGAAGCTGCTCTAAATCACTTTTTTACATACAATGGCTTACTTGGTTGCTGTTGTTCACTTTTGCATTTTTAAATTACCAAACTAAATTTACATAGTTTTGCTTTCAGAGTGGAGGATTTTCAAACCTTGATCAGAATTTGATGGGAGTCGAGTGGAGGCCGAGGCAGGGCCAGGAGCGTCAGGATCAGCTTTCTGAAGATGGAGGCAGGTTTGAAGTGTTTTAAAATCTTAGCCCAGTGCTTCTCCACTGAGACTTTGATGACGTCCTGTTTCTCCTCCCCTGTCTCGTTTTCTGCTACTTTGTCCTTCTCCGACGTCTCCTCTGAAACAGTATCCTCAACAGTTTCGTCTTCTGCTTCATCTTCTTGAGACTTTTCCCCCCCTGAGCCATTTTCCTCAGGTGTTTTGTCTTCTACGTTCTTGTGCTCCGTCATGTTTTCCACAGCATTTTTGTCTTCTGAAACTTTCTCCTCTGCAACTTTATCTACAGTTTTGTCCATCTCAGGGTCATCCTGGACATTCTTGTCCTTTGCCATTTCCTTCATATTCATTTCCTTAACGGTCTTGTCTTCTGCAGTGTTGGCCTTTACCATGCTCTGGTACTGCAGGAACTCACTCCTGAGCTGGTCTCTCTCCTTAGTAGAAGAGCACACATCCAACTTCACTCCAATGTCTTCCACTGTTTTGTCAGTGACAGTCAGCTGCTGTGGGTTCAGCAGCTGAGCTATGGACCGCAGCGTCACAGAACTCAAAGGCAGATTGTCTGCGATGCTGCTGGTCAGTGCAATGTTCACTGAAATGGCTTCCTGCTGAAGAAGTGAGAGAGCACCCAGACTTTCTGACTCTTTCAGAAAGTTGTGCAAAGCAGGTGGTCCAGCACTCAAATGAGAGTCTGTGTCACTGAGAATCTGAATGTTTCCCTCCTCGAGGAACTGAAGCGCAGCTGCAGGCTTAAGAAAGCATGATGTGCATGTTTGCAGCAAGTTACTGGCTTGTTCCAAACATGTGACTAAATCAGGATGCCATTCTTCTTTTTGAAGCAGTAAATGTGTTTGGAAACTGTGCAATGGCTTTACAGCTTCAGCAAGGATCATGTACTTTGCCCTGACCGTGGGATCTTGCAGCTGTGAGCAGATTAATTTGGCTTTTTCATCCTCTGCGCTGCTCTTTTCAAAGTAGGATGACAAGTCGGCCCACATTTCCAGGAGTCTGCAGAGAAATGGATATACCTCAAGGCAGCTTTTGCTGACAAAATTGTTCAAAGAAGAGGTGTCCAAGATCTGAGACCCAAAAAGAGAGTCAAGCATGGCGTTCTTGGTTGTACAGGAGGTGTGGTATTTGTAAACATCTACGAGCATCTCCATTGTTTTGTTGGACAGCTCTTTCAGAGCAGCATGACAAGCTGCATCAGCCACGCTGTGCAAGCAGCCAAAAAACACCAAGTTGGGTCTGAATTTCCTGAGCTGTGAATGCATGGCCTCTGATGCTGCCCAATTGCCTTCCGTGTAAAGAGCAACAAAGTTTTCGGCGGGTAATTCAAAGTGATTCAATAACCTCACCACTGTGTCTGCCTGTTGGTCTTCGGTTCCCTCTGACAAATCTTCAAGAACATCCAGAAAATGGATGGTGTACTTGGACTCCTCTGGGTTAAAGTACCCTACGAGAACTACAGAAACCAATGTGTGCTCCACCGACTGCCCTTCAAAAATGTAGACGCCGTAAGGAACGCTCTGACAACGAGAGCTTATATTCTTTGGATAGTTCACACCCAGTTTACAGCGGGCATATTCTATGGGCTCCAGTTTCCCAGTGTAATTAAAATAGTGTGAAATAAACTGGACTGCCGCACTGCTGCAGGGCAGTGTTTTTATTTGTTTTAACAGAGCCCTGTTCTTGGCATGTACTTCTCTTTTCTGATGCATATTTGTTTCTGAATGCCTTATCAAGTCAACTTTACCTCTCAAAAATGTCTTGAGATTCCTGTGACAAAAGCGGCAGTAGGTGAACTGCTCACCGAGAGCACTTGCATGTGCCCAATCAAAAGACTCCTTCCAAGTGTTACAGAAGGTATATCCTTTTGGAGGTCCAATATTAATCCCTCTGATCTCTGGGAGTGTTGAGCCATTTGTCCTGGGCGTATACTTTGCAGCAGATGAGTAATGATACACTCTGTATTTCTTTACATTGGCCATGTAGAAAAGTCTGAACCACTTTAACAGTTCATAATTGGCTCTAAAATCTCCCAAGATCAGCTCCTTCACAGGAAGAATCTGGGGATGAAAGTAAAATGTTAATGTAACCACATAATTAGTTACAGTCATATATGCCACATTAGTGTCTACATACCCTTTTAACCCCCCTGCCATTCAGAGCTCCTTGGACTAGATTGAAGTTGTGCTCGCAGTCGGCTTCACTTTGAGCATTCATCTTCACTTTGCTCATGTCAATAGAGCCTGGAGCAACAATGTGCATGATTTTACATTGACTTGTACCTAGAGCAAAATCATATATTAGTAATGACAACATATTTCAAAGACTCAAGAAAAACAAGCTGATATATGTGACAAAATCTACCTGTGAACAGCTGTTTGACATCAGAGAATTCTGTCTTCAGCAGGTTGTTCACCCAGGACACCACATAAGCTCTGCTGCTCTTGTCATGAGCAGACTCTGGGTTGACGAGCCTCTTTGGTATCGCCATCGCTGAATCTACAAGACAACAATTAAATGTATTTCAAAATCTATATTTATACTATATATATAACATGTATAACATACATACAATATCGCTTGATCAGGCTACAGAATATAATTAATGTGTCCCATTGGTCCACGGGGTGCAGAGTGGGTGACTGCTGTTGAATAGTGCTGGACTAATAGTCTGAGATAGAAATGCATGGGCGTTGTCTTGATACGAGCTTATACCACTCTAGTTACAGTGTTGTGCATGCAGATCTGCTGCCGCAGCAGAGAGTGTGCTGCAGCCACGCTGATCTCCTCTTCCTCAATGTATAGAAAGCGTCACACAAAGTCTCGCGTGGTTGGTCCATTTTGCCGCGAAGGTTCCAGTCCCAAAACTTTCTTAAGACTCAGAAGAGACAAAACACGTGCTACTCTCACTGACCGAGTCCGTAACCGCAAGTGTTTTACTGTAGATCTGGACAAAGTATTTACTTTCACTTTGTTTGGGTAACGTAACATATAGCTTTACATTGAGATGTGAGTCATGACGCGACATTTGTCAACTATAAACCTAAAATATGCCGATTGAATTCACGACAACCCTGTAGCCGACTGAAACATGGGGGAAGACAAGATTAGCCCTTTCCCCCTTCACTTCCATTGGCCACCCCATTGTGCATGTCTGCGCCGGGTTTGGTGTAGCCCACAGCGCAGGAGATTTGCAAAAGAACCCGAGGTAAAAACAGAAACTAAAACACAGACAAATGCATCCGTGTGCAAACAGCAGAATCTATAATGCTTTGTCCTTCCTGTGCACGCACTGGCACGCTACAGTCTGCTTTTCTTAGCTAGCCTATTGAAAATATGGTGGTGGGCTTACCTCCTCTGCTCATTAGGTGTCGATGGATACTACGAGCACGAGAGACGTAAAGCGTAAACCACTTTCTTCAATAGGCTGTCCTGCGTGACGTCATGTGCACCCAGTTCTCTGATTGGACCGTCCGAGGGCCAGGAACACCCGTCCCGTAAACGAATTGCAAAACCACCAATAAACAATCTCCTCAGGCCTCGTACGAAGTCGCCATTAATGCGAGATTTTTTTTATGCTGCATAGTGTGAAATGTTATTCAGTCGGTATTTCAAGCATACGATGTTTTATAGCGAAGTGTTACAATGACTTAAAATCGTGTGAAGACACAAAGTCGCAACAAAAACGCACAATGCACAATATGAACACTTTGGGAACCGCCGGCCCAGTTTACGCACACACGGTTTTGGCTAGAAAAAAAACTACATTTTAGATTTACAAACCCCGTGGCTTATTACATGCAGTCTATGGTACTGTCGACATGTTGGGCCGGTCTTATAAGATGTTCTGTTAGCATTCACTGCTGGAAAAAGCCACGTTCTACACTGCGATCAGCTGACGCCATTTTACGCGGAGCCAGGGAGCGGACAAAATGGGAAAGAAGGAAGCTGGTTCGGTTCCTGGTACGAAAATAAACACGACTATTTCATAACAGGGTAGATGTAGTTTACAGTGTACCACAAACACACAAGGAAGTATATCTTTGCCGACAGATGTTGAGAAGAGTGTTTTACGAGACACAAAGCAAGGCCAAGAATGAGGGCATAACACATTAGTTGTCCAAAATATTCTATTGCAGAGGTATCCATAAGCCCTGTTCCCACCAGCTCTACTTTACTTTATTCTGCTCTACTGGACTCTATTCTGCTCTATTCTGCTCTATTCTATACTCAATTTGGGAGCGTTTCCACCGGCCTTGTTTAACCGGTGCTTTTTTAGTACCTGTTTGGCTCTGGTTCTATCCGGGCCAAGCTGATTCTAAAGTGTCCCTAACTGACCGTGATTGGCCAGAGTGCTGCTGGAAACCATTGTTCATAATGAATTTCCCCCTGATACTGGTTTGTTGTGGGTATGATGGATACAGTACCAGAAACTACAGCATAATGGAAACACAATCCGGTATAGTAGAGCCGAGTAGAGTAGAGTAGGGCCAAGTAGGGCTGGTGAAATGAATGAGAGGAAAATGTGTAGTCGTTTCGGACAGAAACATTCTATTTTTAATAGCTCTACAATGACTAAAATTATTATAATATCGTTATTTTTTGAGTAACCAGACTGCTTTTCCAGGCTAACTTACACTAGTCCACTTACAGCTTTATTATGTTATAATAGTGAGATGGGATGAGGTTGGGCATGGGCTGAGAGTGACATAGTTCTTTTTACTTCCTTCACCCTTGATGATTTGGCTTGCAAATGAAGCTCATTTTGGGAGTTGAGACGGGGATGAAAGATCAAACCACACAAGAGTTTTATGCTCTTAACAAACATGCTTTATACCTGGAATTTACCTGGCCGAACTCCAGAGCATGAGCTGTTCTGTAACTTACGGATTCATAGTCTTTGCCGACCCAGAGATGTGATGGTTCTCTGTTGGCTTTCAGTTCACACACAAGTAAAGTTTATTCATAAGGTAATTATTCATTTACACATGAAGAAACGCCCATGCAAGTAATTACTCAGCCACTTCATTGTGCTGGTTAAGTGCTGTCTTTTCTGATGTCCAGAATCCCCATGTCTGACAGTGTTATAAACATTTTTTCTTTTCGGCCTACGTTTTCTCCATATGTGGTCAAGCTAGGGCTGTCTCTCTTTTCTAGAAGAGAGACCACGCCTTGGTGCAGGGCCAGGTTGCAGAGGCAAATGGCTTTCTGACTTCTCTATGCATGCACCAGCTTATTGGGAAGAATCCCAAAGCTTTCCCAGGCCAGCGGAGAGACCTTCAAGCATGTCCTGAGTCTTCTCTGGCACCCCCATCTGCAATAGATGGCTCCTCTTAATGTGCATACACAGAGGCTCTACTCCAAGCACAAATCAATAGAAGTATTTCTATCAATGGTTCTTAAACTGTGGTGCCAGATGTACTACTCTTATTTTGTGTATAGTATATCATTCATTTTCGACAGGCAACATTTGTTGGGACAAATTAAAGCTCAAAAATCAAGCATCTACTTTAATCCTTTTTATGTCTCTTACATCCAGATGTGTGGATGGCACAGACATCAGAAATACTTTGACTTCAAATGAAACTTGATTAACCAGCTCAAGATGGTCGCGTCATGTTCAGTTAATGACTTGGATCAGAGGCTTTTCCTTTCCCTTCTCCATAAACTCCATTGGGGCTTTAGAGCTAGATTGTTTGAAAAACTGATCTGGTCTTCCTCACTGTACAGCAGTTGCAGCCATAACATTTTCACATTCTCTTGATTTTTGACTATGACACACAAACGCCTTTACGCGTGCTGCCATTGTGCAATAATGTGCAATACTGTCAAAATGTAAAATATGGGACTGCTAACAATAGTATCACATGATGCTAACATGTACAGTAGTATCACATGATGCTAACATGTACAGTAGTATCACATGATGCTAACATGTACAGTAGTATCACATGATGCTAACACGTATCTGTGAATATTTCAACCCACAGAGCTATTGACTTATTATTTACAGTCTGTGCTTATTACCCTAATATTCTGGCACCAGAATGTAAAATATATCTATCTACTGATGTACACATACAAGTATTTATGTCTTTGCACTAGGGAGGCATGTCCAAATGCGGCCCTCTGTCCCTTTTTATGTGGCCCTCTCCTGCTAACACAAAGTTGCCAATGAGGCACTTTGACAGTGTCATCCAACCAACTTCAGCTCCACCAACACAGTCATGCTATACCTGCTTGTTGTAAATCTCAGACCCAATTGAATCCAGTTGTTGACTCTATTGTTATATACTGACATTTGTTTTATGATTGTATCACACCATTCCAATTAAAATGCAGCTGTGGTGTGGATCAATAACCCATTTTTAATTCCAGAATCCAGTCAATCAGCTCAAATCCAGTTTTTTAAATCCAAGTTGTCGGCCCCAGGTCAAGTCCGATGAACAAAAGTGACCCTCTTACTAAAAAGTTTGGACACCCCTGTACTAGGGTATACAGATATGTTTATACTTTGTTTCTTTATTAAACTAAATATAGAAATTTTTGAAGATATTGTTGTGCTATACTTACTATTCACTTATCTTGTGCCGTGTGCTCCTCATTCTTGTAACCTGAGCATCTGCAGATAACTAATCCTGATCATTCAAATTGTGATTAATCATTGTCCAAGAATGCTCAATTTTTTCTGCTTTTGACTTTTTACAGCTTAGGCTCTTGATGAATGAACTTAAGCAGCCAAATTCAGCCACCTGAAGCTCCCATCTGCAGGCTAAACAACATCTCAAGCAGTTGTTCTCTTTCAGCAAGAAATGCATCAACATGTGAGTGGTCTACTTTCTCCACCTGCTCTCTCTGCAGTTAGAATGGCACAAATGGCGGTTTAGTTGTTCCGCACATTCTTTCATTGTGTAGAGTTAGCACACTTCCTTTGGGCCCCTCGTAGATTAAGAGGCGGGACTTGTCAGGGAGGGGTTCGTCACTAGAACATAAACCATTATTTTCCTTCTGTCTTTTATGGGTCTTTGGCTGTAAAATCTGTATCCAAGGTAATTGATAGAAGGTCCCAGTGCATCGTACAGTAAATTACCTCTGATTAATCTTCTGAATATGGGAAACTGCTTCACATAATGTTTAACTCTTCATTGTTAAATACAGTTGTTTTGCGTTTGTATTGTTTCTATTAATTACATGCAAGTGGTCAGAGGTCTCATTCACACCTCAGGCTTATTAACGAACCTTCTTTTGTTCTCACTGATAATTGGTAGCCGCAGCTTATTTCTCCCTGTATATGTGAGCGTTACCATTTCTTTATAAGTACCCAGTATTGTGGTAACAAGTGACGGGGAGACATTATGCGCTGATAATCAAATCTCACAAAGAAAACGCTGGTGCAGAGACTACCATTTGAATTATGACCAAACCAATTATCACCCTTTCAATATTCAATTGTTTGTTTTTATTATGAAAATATTTCTGCTGTGGGGATCAATAAAGTATCTATCTGCCACAATTTAACTTCATTTATTCATGATTATTGACATCTCACAATGAACAAACCCTAATTAATCCTTTTACATTGTTTGTCATGTCACCATTGTTCTGGCACGTGACTAGCTTGATCAAATCACTATGGATTCGTTCATGTCGAGCATTTAGACCATGGGTAGGCAACCTGCAGCCTCCTAGTTGGCCCCTTTTGCTTTGACCCAAAAAAACATGTGGTATTATTTCTATAAATTAGGATTGCACAACTCAAATCAGGCATCTCAAAAACAATGAATGGAATATTATACATTTTCAGTACATAATGGCCTACATATACGATTACGATATTGAGAGCCGGGTTATTATCTTGACATAGGCCCTAACCCCATCCCCTCCCAGATTTGCAGACTAAAGTGAGGGTGGAGGCTGCATGCTTCCCCTGACAGTAATCCAGAGTGGATTCGGGACACGTGGAGCAGAGTGGGGGGTGTGAAACGTGCCCCTGTCTGCCGTCACTGCCCCCTCCACCCTAACCCCTCTCTCCTCCTGCCATGATTAACCACACTCATCGGCCCCTCTGCTCCCGGCCGCCGTTTTCTGTTACTTAGTTACCAGTTTGCCTAGGCCGCTTGTGTTTCCATGGCGACTGTGCCTGCTCTGTCGTCTCTGGCTGCCTCTCGGTGGTGCTGTCCCGAAGGCCCACAGCTTCCCCTGGTCCTGACCCGCTGATCTGCTGTGATCCCATGTGAGACTGTCCAAGAGGATTCAACTGGACCTCCACTTCTGCTGCCAGTGGACAGAGATAGATAGATACATATATGAGTATACATATATGTATACATATAGTATGTAAATCATCTTTGCTTACTTTAATTATAGACAGAGTCACCAAGTTTTATAATGCATTTGTATAATTATGATTATTGTTCTATAGAAATATGTATATATGTGTTCAGGTGTGGAATATTTAAATCTGAAGCAATTACATATTATGTATATAATATAATTGAATATGTATATATAACAGGTATAGGGCTGTGTAGTTTATAGTGGAAATGTAAATGATCTTTTTTTGAGGTGGAAAATAACCTGTTATTTGCGGCATATGGAATTATGTATGTCACACAAATATATGTGAGTGCATTGTGAATAATATAACTTGAAATGGAAATAATTTTCAAACGAGATGAGGTATAGATGGGCAGAATGAGAATACACTATAGTTATGTATTTGAATGGGACAGCACAAAGGGTGCAGTTCCCTTTGTCACCATGAGGGGGCAGTGTTCAACAGACACTCATTTAACAGAGAATCAACAGTTCTTAACAGCCCGTCTGAGCATGGGCTCCCTCTGACTGGAGATGCTTTTACTGGGCGGACTTAAAAGTCGACACTCTTTCATTGTTTATAAACTACATAATCCTCATTATAAACCTGTATTAATTCTGAAATGATCTTTTCACTCAATTCAGTTTGATTCCTGAAACTTATTGACTTCTATTTGGCAGGCAATGCAATGACCAAATGTTGATATCAATGGTATCTGTGTTATAGTGCCTTTCTGGTCTGAATCTCTAAAGGGCCAAAGGTGGTGCTGCGTTGCAAACAATTGGCTCTATTGGGAGTGAGGTGAGGCCATATTGACTGGACCTATGTGGAACCCTAGAGGTCTTAATTCTCACATGACCTGAGACAAGTGCAGAGCAAACATCAGTTTTCACTGTTTGCCGCAGCTCTATTTACCTGATGAAGAGAAAAGCGAGAAGGGGCAGGAAGCCCTGCAGCTCATCCACATCCAGGCTAGTCCTGTGTGGAGACTTTGCTCAGATTATGATGAAACATTCTGAAAGCAAAGATCAGAGCAACATCATACTTGTGGCTCATCAGCCTGAATGAAGCGAGCATTGGTCCATGTTCAGGGTGGGGCTTTTGTCCATACAGTCTGAGTCAGGATGGAGAGACATGAGGATGGGGCATCCCACTCACCCTCTGCACGGCCAGAAGCACTGCTGCGCTGCTGTCATGGCAACAGCAGCAGTCACCAGCACCAGCCTGGGCCTCATGCACAGGCCAAGAGGAGTCACTGCCCACAATGAGCACTGGATGCAGCAGCCACAACTCCAACTCAACTTCTTCTTACTCATCAACTTGGACCAAATGGATCACACGTCATCTCTGGTGTTTGTCTCAACTCTCAACAAATACCCAGATGCTATCATGGGAAGATAATTTATGTATATAAATCAGTAAACAAACAAAAGGTATCATATACTTAATAGATTGACAAATTTTTTCAATAACCCCATTCAAATTTAAAAATCATTAAATAATTTGCCCCACCCAACTTTACTGGTGCTTGACATCAGTCCACAGTGATTGGATTTGTTCATTCACTAACCTATTGCAAAACTAATATATGGTTATTCACGTAACGGTGTTTTTCCCACTAAAACTCAGCTGTGCTTTGTATTTCTGGTGTTGACGGTGTTTCTCAGTGTATTCCAGAGGAAAAAAACGGTCACCCTGCCCCCTCTTCTCCTCACCTTCTTCAAATCGGACATGTTCTTTCGCTATACTTGGTTTCTAACGCCACTTGAGCACCTCGGCTTTTGGAGACAACCAAGCCACTCATCACAGTGTCCCGTTGCTGTTGATACCGGGAGAGTGGCGTGTCTGAGCCGCGCTGTGAAAGCCCATTCAAACAGGTGTGAGGAGCAGACAGTTCCAGGTGGCGCATGTGGGACGGAGAAGAGCGCATTGTGCATCATCGTGCACGAAAACCAGCGAATAAAAACATATTTGAATGTGAGAAATAGTCAATTGGGACCAAGGGGAGCTCTCATTTCCACGCTTTTGTCAGTGTTCTTTGTTGTTAAGCGAGGGCTCTTGCTTTTACGCACAGGTGGGAGATACCCGCTCGGCGTAGGACAGCCCCCCTCTCTGCTCCTCAGCTGATGATGTGAGGAAGTGACATTTTCAGCGCTGCGGTTCGGGACAGCACTGCTCCTCTGCAAACAGGTGTGCGTCAGTCTGAGCCGAGAAGAGACAACAGGGCGTCCCGCAAACCAGGCTCTCCACGACGCGGGACAGTGGGGCTTTGGAGGAGCAACAGCGAGCCTTTATTAGCCCGAAGTGACTGCACACTCTCATACTCTCACGCTCAGAGCCAGAGGAGGAGACCGGAGCGCGATGACAACGAAAAAAGCGTGCGTGGAGGCGCCCAAAAGGAGCCGGAGTCCCGTGGTTCTGGAGGCAGAGATGTTCAGTGAATTTCAGGACTGGTGTCTCCGGACCTACGGGGACTCGGGCAAAACAAAGACGGTCACCAGGAGAAAATATAACAAGATCATGCAGACGCTGTTGCAGAACGAGGACTCGGACGGCGTGTATGTCGACAGCAGCCACATCAACGCCAAATTCAAATTCTGGGTCAAATCTAAAGGTTTTCAGGTCGGGAACAACATCTTAGGAGAGCACAACAAGAAAGGCACCCCAGGGAAGCCCGTATTATACGTCCCAGTCAAGTCTACGGTAAGTGCGTGTGTGCGTGATGTGCGTGTGTCTGAGCGTCCCGTCTACGCCTGTGAGTTGTCGTGATCTCCTCTGCTCACAGACACAGTCATAAAACTTCTCAGGTTTCATTTTGGTCCCCGTGGCGGATGTGACTATTGCCTTTTTTCCATAAAGCGTCACTTTGTCCATCCCGAGCAGAGCAGCCCTACTCTCATCCCGCTGCCATGGCAACGCCGGTGCCTCCTGGCCGTGCAATTGTAGCGTATCGAGCCTCTATGTGAAGTCGTGTCAGCGCCACATCATCAACAATGAGATTCTGTCCAGTTTAGGGACAGATGTGATGCACTGTGCAAAGGCATGTGCACGAAGCGCGTGAGCATATTTCGAAGCCCGAATACAGACGTTTAGGCGCTGTTCACCACATCACCGACGCACGAGCCTCTGACCCGTCCCATTTGCGGACACTAGACAGTCTGATCTCAGCCGCAGACAGCACCAATGTATAATGTCATGAAACGAGATATTCAATAATCTGTGGTATTACTGTGCGCGCATGGAGAGTCTGTGCGAACCCCTCATTGTCCTGGGAAGAATGCGGCTCGAGGCGCCCGTTGCTCTGGCAACACCTGTCGTCCAGAGCAGGACGGTGCCTGTCGCATCTCATTGAGGGGCTTTTAACACCACTCTCGTCTTTAGACCCTCACGGATCGACAGCAGGAGTATCTTGTGCATGTACTGAATGTCTTGTGCAATTTTGTGATCATTTTGAGGAGCATTATCTGTGCGTAATTGTGACCACGTGAGCGACTGTGGCGGAAACAAAAGGCTCTGCCCGGAGCTGATATACGCCCACAGTTAGGGCTTTAACTCTGCTTCTGTCAAACACACAATAATAGGAAGTTGTGTCCTGACACAGTCCCATAATGACCCGCGCAGATAAAGGTGTCCATGATGAACTGTCAGTGTGTGCCCCAGCACAGCACTGTGCGCGCGCATGTGCCTCTGGTGCACAGCCTGCTGTGGCGGTAAGGAGACAACCACCATTTTAAGTAAGCGCCTTCAGGGAATAATCTCCCCCGCCCGCACTGGGACAGTCCCTGGACCCAGAGCCAAACATAATTTGTGCTCGAGCAGAGACTGACAGATTGAACCTTTGATTTGGTTTGAAACGCGCAGATCCCTCCACAGGTGTTTTACCTGTGAATGCACACTTTAGATTTAGGCCAGCTGCCCACTGAGCCGCGGCACCAAGCCTATTTAGCTTCAATTTTATGCAGCGTTTTATTCTGGCCATGTGCAGGTGTGCCCTGGCTCTGCAGGTGCAGCATCCAAAAATGGTTGAAATACAGAATCTTATTTCCCAATTGTCACTGTATTTTGATGTATTCTTTAAGCAGAAGTCTTGATACTAACAACTCAACATAAAATACCAGTTCAAAGTATGATGGACTGTTTATGTATATTTATTTTGGTCCAAAATGAGACGATCATCATAATAAGAGAAACATCACAGGAAATACCAATGGAAGATAAAATGGTTTCCTTGGATGTCACTCAGAAGCAACAAGTTATAAAACCATGGTAATGCTTTTCCTTTCCAATCTTACGTCCTGGTCCGTTCGAGGCCACAGGGCAGGTGTACATAATTGGTCATTGGCTTTTGGAGGACTGCGGGCCGGGGGCGTGTCTGTGTGGCTGTGCATTGGAGCCCTCTGCAGCTGCTCCCAGGGTGTGCCAAGTTTCTGTAAGGGGACAGGCATGAGGCTAAATGACAGGAGGCTGGGTGGGGGAGGATGGGACGTGGCGATGTGCAGACAGAGAAGGTCTCTTGTATGTGTCAGCGAGGCTTACAAGGCGCTTCAGTGTGATGGGACAGAGGCAGAGGCCGGGCATGGCTGCTGCGAACAGCATCGGACAGTCTCAGCATGGAAGGCCTTTTCATGTACTCCCCTCGACGAGGAATTATTTACTGTCAGCCTCCTCTATTCTATCCGAGGCCTACGGTTCTCATTTTAGTCTGTGCAGCTCTGAGGAGTGAGGAGATGCAACCTCGTTTAGCTCTCATTATGTCCTGATTAGAGGACGCTACAGAGCAGGAGGGGGGTAGGACCAGAGACAGACACTGACATGCACCTCTCGACAAGCCTCTCAGCTAGAGCAGTGTGCCCGGTCTAAGCACAAATGCTCAAAGGCATCATGCATTTCCTGAGCACATTTTGAAGAACGCCTAAATTAAGCGTACTGTTTCTTTAGGTTGCTATGCCGACACACCTAGTGAATCAGTTTAGCTGGACACAAAAAAAAATTACATTCAATTTCTACAATAGCTCTAAACTTCAATGTAAGAAGAGTCTACAAAATTATGCCTCGACCAATTCTATAATCAATCAATAAACCATTGTCTGTCACTGGGACGTCCTGCCCACAGGTATAATCGATTGGCACCTCTGCTAATCTGTGCTGGGAAATTGAGCTTACACATTTGTGCCTCTGCCTAAAACAGACAGCGGCACATCATCATTATTATCTGATTAATTAGTCCAGGCTTCCCCTGAGAGCTACTCTTTTGTTCTCAGGCCACAGAGTCACAGGAATACAGGACATTAGTTGTTAACGCCTCAATGCAAAAATAGACAAAATCCCAATTTATTTGGCTTTGAGATGTTGCTCTGGTGGTACAGTCTGTAAGCTTGTCCTGTTACACAAACAGTAATGGCAAGAGCTAGTCAAGCTTCATTAGTTTCCATCCGAGCCATTGAACTTGTGTGTGAGGGATGCGGAGCAGTGAGCTGAGCATCTCATCACAAGTTCTTTGTTAGACAGCCCCAAATCCGTCTGTATGTATGACACCCTCCATCCCGTTTTGGGTGGTGCTGGAGATATGGCCCGTGTGATAGTTGAGCGTACTGTATGTGCTGGTACAAAGAGGGGGTCGCAGATCGCATGCTCTGTGTTTCCTCCCTACAGCACCCTCTCTGTTGCCATGGAGAGATGGTTCTTTGCTTTCCCATAGGAGGAGAAATTAACACCATTTTTAACTGGCCTGGGGGCCTCCCTCCTGTGTGGGAGATGTCTGAGTTCTGCTTGACTCGTGCACACAGCTGGTCTTTAAGGCGGCCATAATCGTCCTAACTCACTACTCCTGTCATTTGTTACACCTTCAGAAAGGCAGCATTTACCAAACTGGGACAGTGCCTAATGGGTGCAGGACGCCAAAAATGATCATGTGCTGATGAATGTTGTAGCCATTTTCACCTCCTCAGAGTGAATGGGAACACCCGCCTCTGTGGGACACTGTTGGTGTCACAAAGTCTATCAAATAGTGCTCATGATGGGTGCAGCTGACAGGGAAGCACTCACTGGACACAAGGCCCAACCTAATGTGGATTTAATCACATGACTTAATAAAGTCAGTCCCATGACGGTGGGTAAATAAAGGACGAGGAAAAATCTCAGCAGTATATCTAGTCGTGGCATTATATTAGTCTTCTTGTTTCCCATATTACTCAGGGGATGAAGGAGACTCCCATTTACATGTCCATTAGCCAGATGACAGATTTACAGGGAGGTTATGGGCCTATAAAAGACGACCTGTTGTCACATCAGCGGTGAGATAATCTGAGTCATAAGTACTAGTGTTGACATACCCCCAATCCTCCTCACACACACATTACCAACATAAATAAATGTGTGGATAACCCCAATCCCTGTTGTAGACTAAAACACATCAGTGTGTGTTTGTAACTTAAAGAATCAAAGCATCAGCAGTGTGGCCAGTGCCGCTGTCATTGAAGCTAATTCCATGGGCCGTCCTGTCTTCGTGACCCAGCTGCTCGGCCCTCCGCCCCCTCCTCCTGACCTGGCTGTGTGCAGGACCGCTCTACTGGCTCCCTTCGGCGACTCTGCCTCGCTCCATGTGCATGTGTGGATGTGGAGACTGCCAGCGGGGGTGGGGGCGGCCAACTCAAACCCCTCCTGTCTCCTAGCAACAGAGCGGTTTGGTGCGGGACAGGGAGAAAGCGTGCAGGGGATGGGGGCTGGTTACACACACAGCAGTGGCTGTGGAGAGTAAAGTCCTACGGGATTAGAAAGATGGAGCAAAAGGAGCAAAGGGGAGAGTGAGAAGAGGAGTTTAGTGGCGCTCTGTTGTCATTGATTGAGGATGCTGACATGTCTCCTTCACTCTTCAAAAACGCTGCTGATGACACCAAATATTACAAATCTATTCAACAGCTCTTTGCCTCTGAGGTTCTGTACTACTGTACAAAACTGACACAGCCCATGCAAATCTACCCTGAACAAGTTATGCTGAGAGGTGCACTTCCTCTCTCTTGTTTTGGGAGCTAGAGCAAACACATTTTCAGACAAACTACAGTTGTGCCGAGCACAGGCCTTCAGGTGATGTGATCGCTGATGAAAGCAGTGCACTCACAGCCACGGGCCGTTATTCCCTGAGTGTATATACAAATGTTTTGTAAACGTGTGTTATTAGATTGAGGCACATGCCTGGGCTCCAGGAGACTTAGTTCAGTCCAACTCTGCTGGCTTGCACAGGTTTTCTTCTTGCCCTTGATTGTAGAGCACATAGTGCATTCTGGGTGCAAATCGCAATGTTTGTTGGGATAGAATTCAGCAGAGGATGCAGTGGAGTGGGAGCACTGCACACCCCACAGTAGTGAGATTATCTAAATCCAGCGTGAATGGACCTGACACCATTGTCCCAAACAGCGGTGTGGTGATGTCACCGGGGAATGGAGATACCTCCAGTGCAGCAGATTACAGCTTGATGATGAGGTGAAGGATTGCTATTATTTCATTTATTATCTACATTTAGTCCATGCTGACACCAAGAGGGGAGAAGGGATCGGATTAAAACAAACCCGCTCCGTGAGCTGGTTTTGGTTGCCATAGCAACGATCATTACCTCGCACTTGGGAGAACAGGAGAGAGAATGGGGAGAACGGGACAGAGGTGGAGACAGAGTGAGATTTCTTACAAATTATTATAAAAAATCTCAAAAACAAACCAATGATAAAAAAACACATGACTTTTGAACTTGGCATGTTCAAAAAGCCAATCAGTAGGAAATGTCAGGGCCAATCTATTTTCTATTACAAGAGTGGAATCCATTAGTTCCATGTGACGCTGCTGGGACAGCCGCTCAGGTGGTGATAAGATCAAGTCCAAAGAGCTGTTGTGTGTTTGGAATCAACACCACACAATAGTTGGTGCTGGAGCAGTGGGAGAAAACCCCATGTGGTGCAGCGGATGGAGGCCGTTGTCCTGGCGATTGCACTTCTCTGGTGTGTCACATGACCCTTTGCCCAGCACACCTGCCCGAGAGAAATAAGTGGCCGTTTCTATGACGACAGGGTCAGCTGTATAGGAAGCAGGATGGCCGCCAGAGGTGCTGATAGGAGGGACTTCGACAGTGTTGGTCATGTTATTTTTGAACATTGCACAGAGAAAGCAATGATTTTACAGGCCCGGTTAGGGTTTAAGCACCTGGAGAGGGACTGAAAGAGAAGCACTGGACATGGCAGGCAGTGTGTCGGACTGTCTGTGACCACATTAAGCGTGACTCACATGTCACTAAGATCTGTCCCGCTGCCATCACGGCGGCAGGACTCTCATACAGCTGTACCAAACACATCCGCTGCTGATAAACCGCATTATATATGTAACCCTGAGGCGGGACATCCCATTTAACACTGTCTTTGTGTGTTTTAGTGCTCCGATGGCGCTTCGATGCAGGAAAACTCCTCGCTGAAGCGTGTAGCTGTAGTGGAAGACTTCTTTGACATCATCTATGCCATGCACGTTGAGATTGGCACGGACCCCGGCAGAGCCCCCAAACATGCAGGCCAGAAGAAGACATACAAAGCGGTGAGTATAGGAAAGCTTTGTCTGTAGAAGCTAATTTTAAAATGAAACCACTTCTGCCACCACAGATCATGTCATTTTTAGCATATTGGAGTTGCCAAGGGAACAAACAGCCACTTACAACAAACTCCAAGAGCTCAACAGTTAGTTTTCTTTGTGCGTCTCAATCTCAGAAGTAATTAGTCCTTTGTGACATAAAGGTAACGCATACTATAATAAAGATCCACTTTCCAAAGCTTTTAATGAATTCATAATTGTTTTGTGTTTTCTTTTGCCAACTTTAAGTTATTTTTAGTGTGACTCCCGCATGTGTGAGTAATCTTTATGGTTTCCTCCTGCATTCAAACACCATTACTGCAACAATCGCCCATTTTATCTTCACTGCTTCTTGGCCACTATACTTTGTTTATACATTTGAGATACATAAGTGATAATGCGACTTAGTATCAATACATAAAAAAATCTTGTTTATCAATTCAATATTTGTGTATAGCCCTAAATCACAACAGCAGGAGGACCTTACAAAGTTTTCAATTCACCATCTACAGATCAGAGAATCTAATAGTTCGAATACAGGAAAAGCAATAATAGTAAACACATCCATTGGTCCATAGGAAGAAGGATAACCACTGTCCATAAATGTTAATACATTTACATAAATGTCCTTAAATGTCCCAGAGCATCACTGCCCTTAAATCCTCCTGCGACGGCAAGAAACCCCTGTGGAAAACCATGAAAAAACCTGGGGGAGGCCCACATTGAGAGAAAGATCCACCCCCAAGGACGGGCAGGCGATTGTTGTCAAATAGTGACATTATAATCAATATTGAGATTTGAGAACATTTCTGAATAAATAACAATTATCAAGATGTCAATTATAAATAACTTAGAAATGAGGGTTCTATCAAAATTGTTGAGGTCTTAAGATCCAATCATTCAAAGGATCTGAAATGAGGGAATATACTAAAACTTGTATGACCCTAAAAAACAAATCTAACATCATATTGATTAAAAATACAGAAGACAAAAACAGAAAAAATTCAACAATTTGCTTCTACTTCTACAGTGGTGTTTGCCTCAAAATCCGAGGCGTGGCAGAATGGGTGTGGTGATTCTTTGGGACATCCTCTTCAAAACTGATAAAATAATTCCCAGAGTGCATTCCTGTTGGTGCCCCTGCCCTGTAGAGAGGTCCTGTCACGTCTGATCGTGTGTACCCTTTTGAGGAGGCAGCAGCCGCACTGGGGCAGGGCATAATATGGAGCTGTCAGAGTGGCCTTCTGGGAGGTGCACTGCTCTGGGTGGCCTTTCCCCCTCTGCTGCTGTTGCCTGTGGGTGGTGGTGGTGGTGGAGGGGCAGAGGGGATGAGAGAGGATGGGGAGCAGCCGTGGTGGGCACCCCTGCTGCCTCTGCATGGTCACGTGAAGGTCGCGTCTAACAGGGAAACGCCAGCGGGGGCGAGGAGCAGAGTGGTACAGTGGCAGACGGAAGCAGAGCAATGGTGTAAATACAAACATGCTTCACCTGGGATACAAGGGAGCAGCAGGAGCAACAGGGAAAGTCTGTGCAGGGTTCAACCAGAATCACTGGGGCAGTGGTCCACTACAGATAGACTTGGATGATCCATGAGACAACTTAAAGCCATAAAAGTGATCGTCATCTCTACCATCTCAAGCATTGAAGCTCAGTAATGATAAAGTTGGCCTGATTATGGTGTCCTTGTGTTTGTTGTTCAAAAATATCCCTGGATTGCATTTTACTTTATTTTGCCCTCTGATAATCTGTCACTCAATTTATAAGTTTTAAACATCTGCAAAATCGTTCTCATTATGTGCTCAATTCTACAGAAAATATTTGTTTACCAAATATTAAAAATAAAAAAATTGCAGCTCTATCTCTATGCGTGAACACAGAGGAGGACAACTTTAGCTATATTACAATAACCTGCTTATAACCAGCCAATTATAACTTCGATACATTCTAAATACAGACTCTGGGGTAGTTTGGCCTATGATCTGCAACATTCCTAATGGGGGAATCCATCCGTCATGCAGAGTGCATGTAATTTTATCCATTGAATCTTCTCTCATTCAAAAGATGCAATATTATTTATCAAAAGGAGTTTAGTAAATTTGCCGGTTACACTTCCTAAGTCTGCATTTTACTCTATTTTTACTCATTTTTTGTCAGCTATAGTTGATAAAATAAAGCCATCAAAGTACTGAAAATAAGAAGATCAAAATATAGATCTTATTTCATTGTGGGATGAATCGGGACCAGTTTGATAACTCACCAATAAAATATAGCCCAAAATGTGACCTTTTAGGAATTTTACATGTATTCCCTGGACCTGTGCTTTATTACATACTAGTCTCAAATCTCATTTTCAATGAAATTTGCCTCAGCTGTGAAAGGGGGATTGTTAAAACCGGCAGTTCACCCACTTATAATTAGAGTAAACAACAGAGTCTTAGTTTCTCAAAGGTTCCAGCCATTTATTGTGCTCAAAACATATTCAATTTAAATTTGTATCCATCTTTTAAGGGTATTCTGAGGGTTAATATAATGTCCTGTTTCCACCCTATTTGGCCCTATACTTTCCACAGCTCCATTACCCCGATTGGGGGCGTTTCTATCAGCCTGTTAAACTGGTACCAGGTATTTTGTTAGTACCTTGGTCCTGGTTCTATCCAGGCTGAACTGGTACTGCAGTGTTCTAACTGACAGTGATCATCCATAGTGCTGTTGGAAGCCATGGTTACCTCAAAACTTCCCCCGGGCACTGCTTTGATGTGGGTAGGTTGCTAGGATACGGTACCAGATACTAAAGCGTAATGAAAACACAACTGAGTAGAGTAGAGCAGGGCAGGGCAAACTAGGGCTGGTGGAAACTGGGCTTATACAAGACATATACCATTTGATTAATTAGCTATTCTTAGCTCTGTCTTATTGTAAAGTGTGCAAAGGACTATAACAAACCCCTTTGAAGACGGGCAGATGGGATGCCTGAGTGTGCACCAGCTGCTGAAGCCGACCATAAAACTTTACCAAACTCACGTCCTGTCTTCCTGCCTCTCCTCAGATCGCAGAGACGTACGCCTTCTTGCCCCGGGAGGCGGTGACTCGGTTCCTCATGAGCTGCGGAGAGTGTCAGAAGCGGATGCACATCAACCCGAGCGCCGCGGAGTTCAAAGGTGCTCACTCCTACCATCATTAAGCAGCTATTCTGAGCCAGGCCTTTACGCACGCGCACTGCAGATCAATACTGGGACCTCATTACGGCTTAGCTAGCTGTTAGCCCCCCCTGCCTACAATTAGCCAAACACAACTTACAAGACATGCAGACATTTATAGATCGTTTGTCATGTAAATGTTAATGTTTGCTTTTGGTGTAAGGCATTTTCAAGGGCCGCAAAAAGGATTAAGATATTTAGTTTAGTCCCAAGGTATATGGGAGGATTTTCTTCTTCCGGGTGGATCATCTAGACTTTCGGTCCTCTTAATTGTAAATCATTCTGGTGATATGCAACACACGTTTTAATAGGTGTTACCTCTGACCAGGCGTCTTTCCTAAAATTTGTGAAAATCTTCCTATATACCTTTAAGATCCCTCAATAATACACACACATACACACAAACACACACACACACATCCTCTCACATATACACATGACATGAAAGCTCAAAGGGAAAACAAATATAATCGATTTAAATAATGATAATATCAGAGCTTTCTTAACTAAACTAAACCTAAAGTAACGAAAGACATGGACGTGTGTAAAAGTCACGTTTTGAATGGTAGAAAATGGCTTCAGCCCATCTCCGTCCCACTCAAATATACACAAAATACTAATCGCAAGGTTAATCGATCATCAAAACAATCCTCAGCTGCAACCCTGTCTTTTCTCCTTTTTTGATTCACCAGATATTTATTTATGACTAAATGTCCTGTTGATCGATTCATACAGAGTTTTCCCAACCGTTTTTATTGAAAACAATCACATAACATACCACCAGCTAAAACTAAGACAAACATGAAACTCTGCAGTCTTTATTGAAATAGTAAAGTCACATCAAAGCATATTATATAGAAACAAGCACAAAGTCTATCTAATCTTCTCACTTTTTTTTGACCAATTAGTTGATACTGGATCATATCTAAAGGCACACTAAACAATATTTCAAGACTCCAACCGCCCACTGGTTGAAAAACACTGGGTTAGTCCCCATAGTGTGGCCCTATTGTTAAAGCTCCCAACCAAGACTTTTTAATTGTTAAGATTTAAGAACATTTCAAGATGAAAACGTAATTAAGAAATCCTTTATTCGGCCCACAGTTGGAATGAGGAGCACACAACACAAGATAAGTGCATATTATTTATTTTTTATTTTTTTATTTAATCTTTAATTCAGACACACAAAGGGTCCATATAAAACAAAAGAGACAACAACAAAAAAACACACAAACTTTCAATATTTACAAAATTCTATAAAGACAGCTTCTCCAATGCCTCCAGAGATCAGAGGTGTGCCTAACACTGCTCTGTACAGTGAAAACATTCATTACAACATTACATTTAAAGAGTGCTCAGAGCGTTTCATGAACTTATAAATACAGTTTCTGATCACAGCAGTCAGAGTGGGGACATTATTAAAAACAAACAGTGAGCTGGCACTAGTCCAACGAGGGACTCTCAGTAAAATTCTAAGTGCATCATTATATATTAGCTATAGCACAACTCTGTATCCTGAGCTTAGTAAAGAAACAAAGCATAATTAGTATTCTAATGCAAAGAAATATATCTTAGGTCTGTGCCTTCAAATATTCACGGTGATAATAATATTGTACATGTTAGCAGCATGAGGCTCTGGGCTAAACGTAACTAAGTAAAGTGACAGTGAACACATGTGATCTCATATTGCACATTCTGATTGTATTGCACAGATCATCAGTCTTAATTCTTCATTGTACAGTCTGACAGCAGCAGGAAGGAAAGACCTGAGGAACCTCTAGTTCACACAACAATACAAACAAATTAGCACCAGATAATGTTACAGAATCATCCCGCACAATCAAAGACATGGAACAATACTGTTACGAAAATTTTCTGTGCAAAAATATGTAAATATATACCGTACAGCCAGTCATAATCAAAGGAACGAGAATTGAAACCGGTTCACTCGCGGGCTCCCTCTAGCGGCCTAAGCAGAGACTGGACAGCTGTAATCTCTGCCACATGGAGATGGAGTAAACAATATAAAAGTAGTAATAGCTTTTTTAACTCATCAATGTTATGACTTTTTTTTTTTTTTTTTTTTTTTACTGAGATGGGTTTGTGTTCATTCATTTAAGTAACTTTCTTCTTGTCTCCTCTCTCAGAAAATGACAGGCCAACGTCACTCGTCCCGGACCTCATCGACTATAACATGCCTCTTACCGCCACCTACCTGAAGCAGATGAAACTGCAATGCATGACCAACACGGAGCGGGTATGTGTCATTATGGGACAGGACACTGACAAAGCAATTTACAACGCAATAATTCAACTCATATTGATGTTTTTTTGTAGCTATCGAGTGCGTTTCCACGTTAAAATTATAGTATAATATTTGGATTGCATTTTATTATTTTTATCATAGTCACTGTGGCAACCCACTCTGAAACCCACAGGAAATAAATACCATGTCTAAACTAGATACTAATCAATTGACTTAGAAAAAATAAGATCAAATTGAATCTCACAGTGGAGAAATGTACATGTTACATACAGACTAAATACTGGATACCAATTTTGATTCCACACGGATGATTTTAACAAGCTCGTTTTTGACAGTGAACTATCTTTATGTTTAGCTCGGGTAATCGTTCAAAATATAGCCGAGTAGTATGATGTATGGCCTCACATAATTTAATATCTAATATGAGCACGGCAAGTTCAGTTTGTATAGCACAGTTCATACACAAGGCAACCCAAAACGCTTAACAAAACAATATTAAAGTACAAGGCATTAAAACCATAAATAATCACAATGCATTAAAATACAGTAATATAGATTGAAAAGGTCCTATACAACTGCTCAGGAAATAACACATTTTCTATTGTATATTGGATATTTTTGCAAGTTAAGGTCAAATATTCAACTTCAACAGCTGTTTCCCGATTAGTATTAGTTCACATCTATTTTCTTGTTATATTTTTGAAAACTATATGGACAATACAATTATAATTCCCTGTCCAATATAGTGACGAGATGGTTTCCTTTACCCATTTTCGCCATTTCTCACGGATTCCTGAAGCACAAGCATGTGCCCCACATCATAACAAGCAAAGAAGCAGTGAGTGTTGTGATGTAAAATGTAAATACGGTCTCTAGAGGAGGAGAGCGGATGATTGGCCGGTGCATAGGAGGGGGGCGTGGTCCAGTATAGCCCCGCCCCCCGCAGTGACAGGCGCAGAAACAGGACCAAAAGCGCATCTCGAGCTTCGGATGTTTACGCAGGACTCCCTCGCAATAAGAACTAGGATTACACGGAGCAATGACCCAAACAAGAGCTCAGGGTGAGTACATATGGACCCTTTAGCCTGGACTTGCCACTTTTGAAAATATGGACCCAAATCTCCATCACGGAACAACGCTGAATCTCGATGCGTTGTTTGTGAATAACATGTAGCCACTTGTGCTAAACTTGATTCAATGCGTGCTGTTGAATTGCATTTCTATCCGTCTTCTATTTTACTACGTATATAACACTGGATTTTGCCTAGAATAATCTCTTGCAGCTCCCAATCCCTCATCACTCATCAATTATATATTTCTGCAAAGCATAGACGATGTTGTATCCGCTACTTTGAAACCGTCTCCCTCTCTCTCCCTTTCTCTTTAATCTTGCATGGCTCACTTGGTACCTAATAGAGCTGTCAGTGAGCATTTTAGTCCTCCTCAAACTCCTGTACAGTGGGAGAGGCGCATATTCCCAGGGGTTAAGGCCCACTTGTCTACCTCAGTTGGGAAATAAGGAGAATGAGAAGTAATTCCGTGTATTCGTCATCAGATGTATAGTCCAGCCTTTATTTCTGTAGCTAAGGCTTTACTCATTTCTGTCACGCTACAATACACATCTTTGGAGTCTACGTAACACTGTTATAAATAGAAATTGCTCCTCAAAGAATAGTAAAAAAGCAGTTATATTATTGTTTATTTGTGTATTTGTTGAGTAGAGATAAAACATTCTAATGTCTGTTTACAATTTCTTCTATTATTAATTACTGTATCTGTGTTCATTAGTTCTAAACAGTTATAATCCTGATCAGGTTCAAAATACAGAAATGGGTCTTTCGTTGAAGTCAAGTATTCAATGCAATCCATAGTTACTCAAGGAGCACTTATGATTTAAAGATGGAGTATCTGACATTTTTCATACATTGTACATTTTTGGTCCCAACAGAAAAAGTCTTGGTAAAGTAACATACTGTGGACTAATCAGACCGAAACATTTAAAAAAAAAATCTTATTAGAAACATTGTATCTTTTGCATACTTTTAAGAAAGAACCCTGTCAGTCTCCATTGGACAGAGTTGAATGGCTGAGTGAGGGTGGTTCTCTCTTTTTCTTTTTTCTGTCTGAAAAAAGCTGATCTGAAGATATGACAGAGGCCAAATATACATGTAACAATGTTTTTGTGGTTTCAAAGTTGGGTACACCAGCTTAAACGTGTAGCGTGCTTCAATGACAGTGACCATTCAGTGCCAATAACCATTATGTGTAACAAAAATATCAAACAGTACATTTATATCGTCTCTAAATAGTTCCTCTTTCTTTTTTTACAGTGTGTGGTCCAAGCTGTCACACGTAAAACATAATTTATTGCAATAGAATGATGTTGACATTGAAAAACGATGATACAGTAGATACATAGGCAAAAGTATAGTACAGATATACATTTATATACTTACAAACATACAAACAAAATTCACAGGGCAAATAATGTCACATGAAGCTGAAAGAAATGATTGAGTTTATCACATTTAGAAATTAAAGTTCCCATTTTTATCTCTGCTCCTCGTTGGTCTCAGGATGACAGTTCGATGAGCAGCGAGGACATGGCCACCGCAGAGCCCACGTGGATCACCGTAGAGCAGCCTCCAGTGCCTGAGCCCAGCCCTCCCAATGGGGACCACGCCCTGCCGGACGCCGTCAAGGATGAGATGGAGGGTAAGCAAAATAACTGCAACATGATGAACTCAACCCAGCAATGGGCTCGATACTTTATCTGGAGTCATTCACACTTTTCTCAAAACGTTGCCTTTTCACTCTCTCACATATCCTTTACTATTGCTATTGTTGAAAAGTTCCTAAAGACTTATAATTCAATAGATATAAACACCTTCTCTAATCTTGGTTCTAAAGCAAGTACAATTCTGTAAATTGTGAAAAATTATCACTTTACTATTACTATTGCTATTACGATCTGTGTCAGGCAAGGCAAGTTTATTTATATAGCACAATTCATACACAAGGCAACTCAAAGTGCTGAACAAAATAAGAAAGCATTAAAATAATAAATAATCACAGTACATTAAAAAGAAAGATACAAATATAAAATCCCTCAGTTGTATGCACAGCTCAACAGTTTTAGCTGTGCAAACACTGTTTTTAACCTGGTTTTAAACATTGTCAGAGAGGAGGCCTGTCTCACATTTTCAGGAAGATTGTTCAAAATTTTAGCAGCATGAATCTGAAAAGCAGCCTCCCCATGTTTAGTCCTGACTCTGTGGACCAGCAGGAGTCCAGTCCCTGTGCTCCTCAGAGTCCGGCTTGGTTCATTTGGTACTAACATGTCACTGATGTATTTTGGTGCGAGACCATGAAGAGACTTGTTGTCAATTGATAAATATTTTTCGTGTTGGTTTCATTTTGTATCTAAAAGGGCAAATTTCATTATCAAAGCTATAGTTACAGCCCAGAGGAATAAAGAATAAAAGGTAAAATACGGCTGAATATTTAGAGTAAAGAGGTGTTAGCATTGTACAGAAAACAGCTTGGATTGTTCTTAGTGGACTAATCCAAACAAATCCATGGGGGGGGGGTGTCCTCGCACTGCTGTTGCCCCATTGTGTACCCCCCGGTTGAGGCCGCTGGCTTAAAGAAGTAGGACAGGGCTACATATTAACCTCACAGATTACAAACTACTGTAGGAAAATGGGGCAGACAATGCAAAAGGGGAAATTAGTGGGAAAAGAAATTGGAAAAACGTCACATGGAACATACATCATATAAAATGGGTGAATGAGCACGTGCCTCAGCAATACCCTCCCCTCCCCCAGTCATTTAAGTGATGTCCTCGATGTCTTTGGGTAAGGAACCTACTCTGGTTATTACAATGAAAGCTCTATCATGTATCAAAACTTTTCACCGTCTCACGATCAGCTAACACTCTTATTTAAGCTACTATCTGCGGTCACACTGGGAAAATCCAAATTGGTGGATTGAAATACCTCTGTAACCTCTGGTTATTATGCTCTCAGGACTAAACCAGGCTCAACAATTATTGCAAAGGAATAGTGCAGGCAACCTATGGGACCATGTATCAACTTGAACTTGCACTCGGGGAGAACATACCCCACCAAAAGCCAAGGATCGTCCTGTAATTTGAAAAGAATTTTTTTGTCAAACAAGACTCCTACACACAAAGATGCAAGCAATTCCTTCTGAACTACTACAAAATTACATATAAAAACCAATTAGGTACTTATCTTTTTTCCTTTACAAAAATACAATTGTCTTGTTTTATTTTGAAAAAAGAGCACTATTATGAAGGAAGAAATTTACATATTTATCTACACCGCAAAAACTGATGCCAATAAGTCTAAAGTTGCTCAGATTTGGCTAAATGTATCTTGATTTGAGCTCATTTTGAATGCCATAAAAATATTTGCCAAGATCATTTTAAAACAAGCAAAATTATCTTATCTAGAAACAAGAAATGTCTCCCTTGGAACGGGAAAATAAAGCAACAGTTCTTGACATTGGCAAATCAGAATCTTCTCAAATTAAGATAAAAGCCACTCGATTCAAGCATTTATTATTTGTTATTTTCATATTGATTGGATTGATTGGAACTGTCAAAAAGCAAACAAAAGGTGACGTTGTATTGTAAATGCCACCTCAATATAAGTCACAGTCCAGCACAGTAATCCCCTGGTCTTTCTTCAGATGAGGACTCTTCAGACAGCGCCAGTGCCAACGGGCTGCCGGCTCCGACCCCGCCCGAGCTGCAGTCCGTGGGGGGTGCTGTCCCGGACGGAGGGGCCTCGTTCGGGGAGGTGAGGGAGAACGGCGTCAGCGCACCCCTGGACTTCAGCACAAACTCCTCCTCCTCCTCTTCAGAAGATCAGCAGCCTGTGAACCTGAGCGACCGGATACTGCCCTCCTCCACCTCCCCCCTCAGCACTTACCCCTCCGACCCCAGCAGAGCCTTCACCAACAAGGTCAGAGCCCCAGAGTCCGATTTGACCCGTATTATTCCATCATGGCAGGTTTCAAATCTCACTTCTGGGTTTTAAAATGACTCCATGTCTTACTCTGGGAAATGAGGAGTACGGTGGCCTGGGTTCTGTTCCTCCTCCAGACAGGGCCTTTCTGTGCGGAGTTTGCATGTTCTGCATAGGTTTCCTCTAGGTGCTCCGGTTTACCCTACCACTAAAACCACGTACAATAGTTCAGTTTGAATGAGTGTGTGTTTGTGTGAGTGTGACAACAGAGGGACAACAGAGGGAAACTAACCCAAGGCTGCAGTACATTCATTCATACAATGTTCATTAATAACATACATACTGTACATCCATCCATTTTCTTCCCCTTAATCCATTTCTGGGTCGGGGGGGTGTCAGTCAGAGCTGCACCCAGTTCACAGACCACCAATAACAATATACAGTCCCATTCAAATAAATACATACAATAATACAACGCAGAAATTGTTGCTTGACTATGGAAGCCCGTTTCCGCCATGTAAAAAAAAAAAAAAAGCATACAGAAAGTCAAAATTTTGAGTTTAAAACTCAAAATTACGACTTTTAAAAGTCAAAATTTCGACTTTAAAAGTCAAAATTTCGACTTTAAAAGTCAAAATTACGACTTTAAAAGTCAAAATTTCGACTTTAAAAGTCAAAATTTCGACTTTAAAAGTCAAAATTATGAGTTTTCAACTGCGCATGTGCAGTTGAAAACTCGTATGTGTTGTTGTCTGGAACGGTTTCTGGACGTCCTTCACCTGCAGATTATGTGAAGATATTGCTGACAGCGACCACTGCATCCTTGAAGTAGCCAGAAATAATGTTGTTGGATTGATTCTGTAAAACTTTCCTGTTTAAGCCCCAGACCGCGGTCGTAGGAGGCAGGGAGGAGCTGTCTTTTTATTTATTTATGTTAAATTCAATTTACATATATACAGCATTTAAATCAAACGACTTCTTATTTCGACATAGTAACAAATAATGTGAGCAATACGTTTTTATAATAAATCAAAGGAAAATGAGCCATCGAGACATTCCAATCCAATCTGCTATAGACCACTCTGACCACACGATGACGCTGAGAGGGGTCCACACGGAGCGAGTATTTCCACGGCTGAAAGGATGCGCTTTCTACGTGTTGAGTACGGGGTTTTATTCATGCATCTATAATGGGTTTATCTATTTCTAACCCTTTTCAAAGACCCTCACTGTTATCTGCGGAGTTATTTCTCCGGATTGTTGCTAAAAGAGTCGTGGGCTTTATTTTGTCACAATAAAATAATCAGACAAGGTACTTATTCCCTATATGTCTCTGTGTTCTTGCTCATACGCCAACATTACCCGCACGCTCGCTCCATCAGCTCACCCCCGCGTGCACGCAAACACGTCACATACTCTTCAATGCACTGATCGCAATTCCAAAAGGGTATTATTGTCAGTGCCCGTGACTGTGGTTCTCCTGCCTCTGTCTGTGGTTCACCTGCCTCTGTCTGTGGTTCTCCTGCCTCTGTCTGTGGTTCTCCTGCCTCTGTCTGTGGTTCTCCTGCCTCTGTCTGTGGTTCTCCTGCCTCTGTCTGTGGTTCTCCTGCCTCTGTCTGTGGTTCTCCTGCCTCTGTCTGCGGACCTCCCTCACTATCCAGTAATCGCGAACGGTCTCTCTGTCAGTCACAATATCATTCACTGCATTTCTGGTGCATCCATCGATAGCCGTGATACTGACCAGATGTCACCAGTTGATGCTCAATGACTTTGAACAGCCACATGTGTTTTATTATTAATCTTCCACAGTCCGTTTAGGATAAACTAAATAGAGGCTTCTGAAGCGGATTCTAATCATAAACGGAGAGACCGTTTGCATTTTAACGCGATTACTACCACAACATTATTGCTGCTACTTCATGGATGTGGTCACTGTCTGTAGGCAAAATCTTCACATAATCTGCAGGTAGAGGATGACCCATGGTCATGGATCTATAACAGGGATGACCAGAGACCGTTCCAGACAACAACACATACGAGTTTTCAACTGCACATGCGCAGTTGAAAACTCGTAATTTTGACTTTTAAAGTCGAAATTTTGACTTTTAAAAGTCGAAATTTTGACTTTTAAAGTCAAAATTTAGACTTTCTGTAGGCTTTTTTTTTTTTTACATGGCGGAAACGGGCTTCCATACTTGACAGATTAAACAACAAACCTTTTTTTATTTTGTATATAAAATGCCACCCATATCTGTCAGTTGTGTGTGGTTGAATCTCCCTAGTTTTTTATTTGGATTTACATTTTACACTATTTTTTTTCGAAGGTTGACTGGACCATGGCCGATTTATATCTGATTTGAAAGACAATCATAAAGGGAACGTTTTATATAACCTGGTACAATATGCAGATGCCACAGAACCTAAGAACACCCACTGGGACATGTGCCACCGTTTGAGACGCGCTGATCATTATGTCTGGACGCAGCAGTTATGCGTTTTAAACATTTTCTTTGTGGATTTCCCAATGCCAATGTTGTGGTTCTAATGTGATGTTTGTAGACTATGGAAGTATCATGAAGGCCTGGAAACATAGGAAAAGTGTGAGATCCATATGTGCGTCTGTTTGCGGATTTCAAAGACGGCTAACACTTATGAAACGTAAAATGCAATGCAAACCCATCCCATTCTGATTTATTACTATGTATTATGTATAAAACCTGCTGATCCTGTACATTAGACTGGCTGATACTTGGTTTATTGGATTAGCAGTTTATAATTATCTCAAAAGTAATTGGCTCAAAAATATGCACACTCAGCAAACATGATTGTAGTGTTAGTTTTCATTATTACCATTGATGCTACTGTACATCTGTCAACATTAGAGGTGTCACAACAATGTCACTGAGCCACGGTTTTATTGTCAATATCATATTTTTTACAAAGTATTTTAATAAAACTATCCAATGTGTTCAAGAAATCTCTAAGACAATGTTTTCCAGAGCTTTGTTTAAAAAAGACCCATATTCACTGACCTTTCGGTATCTAAATAACTAAACAATTAATGGAAAGAATCATTAGCCAATCAAAATAATGATAGTGATATTAGTTTTGCGCAAATGAAGCCACAGTTTTTGTTGATTGACATTTTGACATACAACTTTTTGACCTACAACTGATTACAACCCTCTGAAGGAGATTCTGAATCACTGCCTTTGATTGGAACAATTTACTTAAACCTAAAAAAAAACAGATGTTTTTTGTTTTATTGTTTTATCCTTTCATTTAAATCAATCTAATATCTTAATTCAACATTTAGATATTTTTTTGTGTCCCCAGATAACAGGTGAAATGTATGGTTTACATGGTTACGGTGTTCTCGTTATGATCAAATTAGGAAAAATTCAAATCTTTTAATGATGTGAATGATATTTGAGTTTTAGACCCTTTAAATAGGTCAGAAGTGTCAAACTGGTACCAGAAAGTGCCGGAGTGACTGCAGGTTTTTATTCCAACCGAGCAGGAGCACACCACCCATTTCCACAGGTCTCCAGGTCAAGACTTGCCTGGTCTTAGCCACCCGTAAACTCTGGTCAATTATTATTATTATTATTATGAAATGAGTACGATATGGTATGATAATTCCAAGCTAGGTCAATGGGTGTAGTCTGGTGTGCTCCTGCTTGGTTGGACTGAAAACCTGCAGCCGCACCGACCCTTTGAGGACCTGTCTGACACCCTTGGGCTCTGTCTTCAGACCTCACATTTCTGACGTTGCCTGTTGTCGCCCGTGTGTTTGCAGTCCCCTCCGTACAGCTCCGGCAGCTACGACTCGGTGAAGACGGAGGCCATGAGCGTGGATGAGCTGAGCGCGGCGCGGGCTCACATCATGGACGAAGACGACGACGAGCACGACGAGCACGACGACAGCGACAAGATCAACGACGCCGAAGGGATGGACCCCGAGAGACTCAAAGCCTTCAACGTGAGTGCACTGCCCCCGGTGGCGCTGTCCCGTCACTCTGTAATATCAGATAACACTTCTGGGGCTTATTAACTTATTTATACAGAGCTGTGTAGTTTCAGGGTAGGGCAGGGAGGGGTCACTTTGCAAGAATACCTGTTAACAACTACATCAGCGTAAATACTTAGTTATAAAGTTATTAAAATCTTCTAATTTAATCCATTAATCTCCTGGGTTTTTGTAGGAACAATGTGTAGGATTTTGACCATCAGTGAGTTTCTGTTTTTACTTTCTGGTTTCTGTCCTGGACTTGTATGTGTTTGTAACAAAATCAAAACAATATGATTAAAATGAATTCTTCAGAAATACCTTGAAATAAAAAAATTAACCAAAAATTAAATCAATAAATCAAATATCTGTAAAGATGTGGTATCTACCCTTTTCTCTTTTTTTCCATTACCTAGAGACTTTATTGTTAAATTATTTTTCTCCACCTCTCGTATTACGTCTCTTATCAGCCCAGACCTTTCTGTGTGGAGTTTGCATGTTCTCCCTCTGTCTGCGTAGGTTTCCTCCGGGAAAAAGATGTGCAATAGTTCTGCCATGTGCCTCCTGTATGGTGACCCCGCTCCCATGTGTGTAGTGAGAGACAAATGCCCATAACAATACCCGCTTTGTGACTCTGGTCTGTGAAAGGCGCTACAGTATATGAATTCAAGATTATTTACTTACTTGCATCCATTTTCTTCCACTGTATCCGGTGCTGGGTTGGCAGTGGCAGCACTCTGAGCAGAAATGCCCTGACCTCCTGTGCAAACATGCTTCCAGTGTATAATGTGGTTTAGTAGTATTCACTCGTCTCCTCTGCTGTAGATGTTTGTGCGTCTGTTCGTGGATGAGAACCTGGATCGCATGGTGCCCATCTCCAAGCAGCCCAAGGAGAAGATCCAGGCCATCATGGAGTCGTGCGGCCGACAGTTCCCAGAGTTCCAGGAGCGCTCTCGCAAACGCATCCGCACCTACCTCAAATCTTGTCGCCGCATGAAAAAAGGCGGCTTTGAGGTAAAATTCAAACCGCCCAACGTCTAATAACTCAAATGCATTTCAATTCAGGCGTCTCAGGGGACTTTACAGGGTTGTCGATCCACCAACAAGAGACCAGAGAATCAATACTAGTTTAATCAGACACATGAAAGTGTACATTGACAAAAACACAAGAGAAATCACAATGTTTAAAAAAAAAAAAAATTCTGAGCATCAATTAGTATAGAACATTAATCTGCAATTTTTAGGTTTACAGTAGCTCAAAGCCAATTTTAGGTATTTGTCAATTTTACTCAATATTCAGTATGAGGATTTACAGATTGAAAGATAGATTGACATTTTATTGATCCCCTGTAGTAGAAATTCAGGTGTCCAGTAGCTGCTGAAACTCATCTACCCACACAAACTGAACAAATAAATAGATAATTCAAAAAAATGGCTAACAATAGTATTAAAATGCAACATTGCCCACTTACTTAGTGGCTATGGTTGCTATGTAACTATCAAACCAGGATTTAAAATTATATACTTGGCTTATGTTCACATCCTAAATACTGCAAAAAACATGTATACATTTTTTTTTAGATTTACATATTGACAATATTAGCTTAACCTTCTTAGGTGACCTAATCCTTTACTGTAGCTTGAATACATTTGCAAAGGAAGTAAGTCATGTATTTTCTCACCCCATTCTTTCATGAAATACGAAACAATGTGTTGAAAAATGTCATTAACAAGTGCAAATGATCGCGGTTCCTCATGCACTGAATAAAACCACTGAAACAAAGGCAAAAATCTTGACTCAAAACGATGTAGAAATAAGTGTTTTTCATAGTGCACTTTGGCTATGTGTCAGTGTCACATGCGCTGCTAAAACCCAAATCAAATGCAGCGTTTCTCTCGTCGCTAACGGGCAAAACGTCTCATTGACACTTTCAGATCCGACCGACACCTCCTCACCTCACCTCCGCCATGGCAGAGAACATCCTGGCTGCAGCCTGCGACAGCGAGTCCCGCAACGCCGCCAAGAAGATGCGCCTGGACGTGTACCCAGCCACGGTAAGGCTCCAGCATGCATGTTCTTTTAGCCAGAGCGACTGGGACAACGGAGGCAGAAGAGTAAACCGACTCTAAGCTGTCGATGTAACAAGAACAGCTCCAGCCTCAGATGGAGGGCAGTTATGTTCTTAGACAAATAAACAGTTTGAGTCTAATGCACATTTACGACTTATATTGAATCAAATTTGGATTATTTAGCATATTGTGTAGTAATATTCCCCACAGTGGGTCGCTTAAAAGATCTCTTAATATCTCTACATAATATCTCTATAGGTCTGCAACCTATAACTCGGGAGAAACCAGTAGCTCACCAGCCCCTCCCAGGTAGCTCTCCAACTGACAACTAATTTAGAAAGTAACACATTCCATAATAATTGTAAATGCAAACTTACTGTGTGCATTAGTGACGTGCTGTATGTGTGATGATAAAGGACTGGTGATAGTGATGAAGAAGATGACAAAGTCTGGGATTGTGTTTTTAATTCAGAGAGAAGACATGTTTTATTGTCGTTGGCAGAGACAGCACGAACACGAGCAAAGATTTTACAAAAAGCAAGTGATAATATACAGCAGGAAGAACGGAGACCTCCTATCAGCAGCTGCCACGATGCCAGTAGCTTCAACCTTGAAATAACCAAAACAATGAAAAAGTACTGCCTTGTGCATTTTGTTAGAATGATGAGTTTAACTTTAACCACAGTTGTTTCAAAGTGTCATGAAATACCTAAAGTGAAAGTACACATTCTCAAGCTCGCTCTCACAAATATATCACCTCATTGTTCCCATGACAGCTTAAGGAAATAGCTCTCTGGCATTATCGTCTCAAGAAAGTAGCTCTCTGGGAGAAAGGGTTGGAGACCCCTGCTCCACTGGTCATTACTTGTCTGACCAGCCATAACCACAGGATTTCACATCGACAATCCTGATAACCTGAGTATGCGTTAAAGCAGGAGTCTCCAACCTGTGGCTTAGGAGCTACCAGTAGCTCGGCAGCCCTTTTCAGGTAGCTCGCCAAAGGATTTAGAATTTAACACATGATCTTGAATGAATACAGTTTGAGTCAATACATCTGCTATAAGTATAAGGTTATACAGTATTATGGAACATTTTACATAGGTTCTTCATGTTTTGTCATAATTATTACATAGATTTTAATCATAACTGCAAAAAGGAGAAGCTCTCTGCCTCTTCTGTTGTATGAAAGTATCTCTCTGAGTGAAAAGGTGGGAGACCCCTGCGTTAAAAGCATACGGTACCTTATTTTCAAACCCACAAAATGGAACTATATGTCACTACCTCCAAGCTCTCAAAACAGTGTTAATTCTGAGAATAATTATCGGTTTAATATTGCGCATTATTCATTCCCTCCGGTGGCGTTTATCATTCACACGGTGGTGATAGACTACTGCTGTAGCCACAGCCGCCCTCAAGGAACACTCACAGAAGCCCCTCCGACACCACTCACACTCCCACACAAACACATGGTTCTCCCAGAGGTCTCCCATCACAGTACTCACCTGTGGCCCTGCTTCGCTTCAGAGGTCTGAGGGGATCAGGATTCCACTCGCAGGCTTCTATCACTGTTTCTCTTTAGATCAGCTTTTTACATACTCTTTCTTCAGACATTCAACATGGATTATTAATGAAACAAAGTAGGTATCTCAGCTTTAAATGATCAGTATGTTTTTGGTTTTGAGTTTGACCAAATGCATTATGTAATTTGAAATCGTACATCCTGTCACTTTATAACCATAACCTGCAGATCCCTCGCTTTTCTCTCGCTCTTTAACGGGGCATATACGCAATTATGTCTGTAAAACATTGCATTTATTCATGTGGATTTCTTCAGGACATTTCTGTGCACTTAACATAAAGCATTATGGTAAAACATTATGCTAAGTGCACAGAAATCTCTCACTCTTTATTTAACAACATGGCTTATTATAGTAACATTCATGGCATAAAGTAATAATAGGACCGTGCTCTATAGTGAGATTAAACATGTTTGTCTTATGTGAAAATTGCTCAAAATAACTAGTCCCTGGGTGAATGTTAAAGAAGAAATTTGATGCATTTTTGTTTTGATTTTTGAGACTATTTTCATAATTTCATGTTTTGGAAAGATAACTGCTATCGTCTTCTTTTTTTAAAGTTGTTAAGTTATGTAAGAATAAGACATTTACACTAGTTATTAGGGACATTTTCAAATAGCCCATCTCCAAGCCTCACTCTCGCTCCCTTCAATTCCCCGATGTTTCAGCATATTTCGCATCCTGGTGGCAAGAGTGAGACCCGACCTCTGCATGACGTGGGCAGTCTCCCATCTTTAATACAGCAAGTGTGAAGGGTCAAATATAGAACATTCTTTCACCTGACAAATTACTAAAACTAATCTATGGGTAATACTTGTGGTACGATGACATCATAGTATCACAGGACTGAGACAGGAGTTTTTAGACAGAAGTAGCATGTTTATGTTTGTGTCAGAAGTTCCTGAGGTTGGCGTGGATGGATCTTGAACTAATGAATAATAATAATACATTTTTTATTGTTAAAGCACCTTTCAAAACAGTGTTACAAAGTGCTTCAGACAACGCCAGAAAACAGATTTGGATCGGACAAAATGCAAAGAAGAATGACATTTTTGTTATAATTGTGTTAATTATGGCCATTTTTAATATTTTAATTTTTGAGATGTTTTACTAGGAGTTTATATCATTATAAAAGGCTTGTGTGTAACTGTCATATATTAGTTCCACATTTAGTTGAAACTGAAGTTGAACGATATTCTAATTTTCCCAGTTTCACCTGTAAGGGGATAAAAACAACAATATATGTCATCATGGGTAAACAATGAAAAGCAACTATAAAGTTATTAAAATGTATAAACATTTTTTCCTATAAACAAGTCTGTTTATATCATGTCTATTGAATATTGTGTCTGTTTGTTGAACATTATTGTAACATCGTTAAACCTTCAAAAAAGTAGATTTTGCTAAATATGTTTCCTTTAAATCCTGTTATTTTTGTGACCAGGAGGAGCCTATGTGTATTGACAAGAGCACCCCCAGAGACCCCGCCTCTGTGGCCCCTGGGTTCACCATCGCCAGCACACCTTTCGCCCAAGACCAGCTCTACGCCAACGGAGGCCTCACCTACAGCGTCCGCTACGGCGCGGTCAGCAGCAGCCAGCCCGCCACGGGGACCGCACAGACCAACGGTACCAGCCTTTGTCTCACCTCAAAGCAATACAGTTATGATTTAGGCCGGTAAATTGTACTTGTTTACTGTCAGAAAAAGCTTAATACTCTTAAGATTGTATTAGTAAATAACAAAAAGATTTCATAAAAACAAGTACAATTTAGTCAATGCATTTTAATTCAATCCAACAACAACCAATTAGAGAATCAAATGAGAACCCAAGAAATGCAATAATAACAAACACATAGAAGCCATTGCTCCATCGGGAGAAGCATGACCAATATATTTAAATATCTATACATTTCCCACATCATCATTGTCCTGAGCTCTTCCTGCATCAGCGAACGACTCAGTGGTCAGTGCTGTTTCTAGTGGCAACATTATTCTGCAATGAAAGGTCAGCCTCGGTATCCTCTGCACAAAGTGACTGAATATTTTGGCTATTTTTGAAAGAAAATCCGAGGTGTACACTTTGACCACCACAGTCTCTGCTCTCATCTCAAAGCAGGAAGTTCAATGTTTGGTTGAGTGTGATTTTTTTCTGTAGTTTGGTGCATTTTTGGTGCATTGGGATGATGTTAAACCCGGACCCTGTGCTTTCCTCCCGTGTGTGTTTCAGGACCTACAGATCTTAGTATGAAATCTGTCGGCCCAAACTCCACCTCGTCCAGTGCCAACGGTCAGGGTGGTGGTGGAGGGGGGGCGTCGGCACAGCTCAGCCCCCCAGAGGTCACCGCAGTGAGGCAGCTGATTGCGGGGTACAGGGAGTCTGCGGCCTTCCTGCTGCGCTCGGCTGACGAGCTGGAGAACTTGATCCTGCAGCAGAACTGAAGCGGACTGCTCCCGCTCCTGGCCTTTTCACCAGTGTCACTCTCAGTCACTAATCGTGGCCGGATGTGGGTCAGCACAGAGGCTGGAGTGCACTGCAGCACAGTGGTCCAAAACTGTGGTCACAACATATCAGAAGGATTATTTATGCATTTGGTCGACTTTGGTCCTAGTGCCCTGGTATCTGTAGCCATTCATATCATTCAGCTCATCATACACGTCACTGCCATTCATCTCAGGAAGCTGATCTGTGGAACTCTTCACACAAGGACAAACTACCAGAGGTGTTCCGTTAGCTTTGAATCGACTGTGCCCACTCACAGAAGCATCAGGCATTCAGTGCCACTACTGTGTAGTTGTTCACCCTCTAATATGCTGTACTGCTGGCTACAGCCACTCTCTAAATTTACAAATCATTCTATAGAAAAAACATTGCATTATTACAAATGAAATGCTGCTAAAACTCTTGACCTCAAACATAGTGAGGGTTGGACTGACCTAAGAACAGCAGAAATCAAACTAAGGGCTTGACAGTTGTCAGCAGATCTTGTCAAGTCATTGAGAAATTACACTGCTGCCCTATTTATTAGAAATTGTCCTGCTGGCCCAGAGTGGCGCTGTGTACTGATTTATAACTACGACTTAGACATTTGCCACTGTATGAAGTGAACCGGGGCTTGAGAAGCCTCCGTATGCAAATGAAGGTCCCACACACGTGTCAGGGAACATGAGATTAATATATTGTTTGGACTTTACCCAGAGCCTGTGAAGTGGCTGTAGGTGCAATATTGAAGATAATCAGTGGGGTGCATAAAGACAGTTGAAACAAACATAGTGACTCTGCTGGAACTGTCAGCTTGGAAAAGAAGTACTCTTTTTGCAGCATTGTAGCTCAGTTCAATGTTGTTTGTCGTGGACAGTGATGTTGTCACTCACCTCAAGCGGAGGCACTTTCAGTCACTCTCAGTCTGTGGGGCGGGACCTGCAGGAGGAGACTAAATGTTGCACGTTTTTTACATGCGTCACGTGAGTGTTTGTGAGTGTTTTTTTTACGGGGCTCGTGACTAATGCAGTCTACATCATTCCACTGACCTCCCGGCGTCTCAAACTGAAAACAAACTGTTCTAACGCAACAGACAATCTTTGTAAGATGTATTACATCAGTTTACCGTCGCAGAGTGTGCGTGTGGCACACAGACAGAACAGAGCGAGAGCACATGACCGAGTCACTCAGCACAAAGTGTACGTGTGTGTAAAGGTGTGTGCGTGTGTGTGTGCGTGTGTGTGCGTGTGCGTGTGTGTGTGTGTGTTTGTGTGTGTGTGTGTGTGTGTGGTGATGTTTTTATTGCTTTTAAAGGTGTAATGTGTTTTGTATGTTCAGATATTTTGTGTAAACGTGGAGTGGCCCAGTTTGTACAACATTTGAAAAACACATCAGGCTCAAACATTCCAGTTTTAATACGACAATGACTCTTTGAGCAGCCCTCGAGGCTTGCACCTTAACAATCTGTCTGAAACTCAAAGTTTAGAGACCTATATTTCTGTATTTATCACAAATCTATGAAATTATTCAGTAATGTATCATTTTATGTACTACATATATTCTACATTTGTGGACCATCGTACTTTGAAGCTTGTTTTGTGACTGGCTGCTGTCACTAGTCTTAACTATTGCAAGTTTGGAAGCACTTTATAGCTCAGGATTAACGTGACATAAACACAGTGACCAGAAACTTTACCTCTTTTGGATTTTCAATGAATTTGGACAGAAGACTCCTGACAAACTCCTCTGCCTCTGCTTTAAGAGAACAGCCCCTCTGTCCCTGGTGCATGGTCAGTCCATGGGTCAGTTGTCTCCGTCTTCCTCGTTGTTTACTGTTGCCCGTCCATCACTCTAAGTCTCTTTCAGTGATGCCATTTTGATCATAAAACATCCTCCCATTAGCTTGCAGATCTGTCTGAGTGGCATTCCGCTGTGCTGGATAAACTGTGTGTCTACCTATACATGTTTTTGAGTTCTGAACACTCCCAACGGTTCGTTTTTCTTTGTATTGACCGGACAATGTAAACTATTGGTGTTCAAATGCCCTGGTAGCTTGTGGATTTCTAAAGTGGTCCGATAAATGTATAGCTGTACAAAGAGTGATAAAAGATGTTTTAAACTGTTATTTTTGTTCCTGTGGGTACAGCCATGTAAGAAAAAGAAAAAAATTCAAAGTGGTTTTAACCTTTGCCTGTTTGAACTTTTATTTTTGGTGGTAGTCTCTATGGGTTAACTGTTCTTTCTCTGATTTGATCGTTGCCTCCTGCGCTGTCCGATGCTGTAATCGTGTGAGCTTTGTAATTCCCTTCTGGTTTTTTGGACTCAGTGAAAGTGTGATGTTTACATGTACAGTTTTTTCAGATTTTTTATGTTTCGTTCTAATCAATGTATGTTAGATATCTTTTCTTTTCATGTTTCGTTTTTGGGAAATATATCATTTTCGTCGTCGCTGTCATTGGCCTCTTGACTACTGATAAGCGGTTGGTGTGGTGTTGTGGTGGTGGCTTCCAGATGTTTCAACAGATTTTAGTTTTGAGGAGAACAAAAAGGAGATTTACAGCTTCGCGAAGTGGACCGGTTAAAGATGTCTTAAGCATCGAGATGTCTTTAAATCAATATTGATAACACATTAGTGGCCTATAGATGAGAAATGGGGCGTTTGTTCAATTCAGTAAGTGCTAAGACTCCTCTATTCTCCCTATGCGGTACACTTTGACCAGTTGTACTCTCCTCTGCAACACAAAAGCCATTCCCCTAGTCTGGCCTCTCTTAGGGGAACCCATAAACCTCAGGAAATACAAAATCTCCAACTTTACTTCTGAAAAACAGATTCAACCATTAGCATTTATATGAGATGTCTATCGTTTCGTAACATTGATCATTGTATCCGTGACTAAATAGTTTGAATTTGTTTTTTTTGGACTGATTATAAGTATGGATATTTATTATTCAATGTGGAACTACAAAAAGACAAAAGAAAATGTTGTTTGTATGTTTCATGCAGATTTGTCCAGGTGAGATTCTCCTCGCCTTTTACATATCACGTGCACAGGGGACTCGTGTTGGGGTTTTTTTGGGGTGGGAAAGCGCTTTTTCGGTGTCGCGCCAATGCTACGTGGATTAAAAGATTAAAACAGCAGCAGCAGCAGCAGAGTGTCAAGGCTCTCTCCTCTTCTCCTGAGATGTCAGTCATGAAATAAAACGTGCCATGAGGTATTAAACCGCTGTTGTGTGTGTTTTATTCATGCATTTATCACTATTTTACTTCAGGAATTCAAACTGGGGCATGTTATCTTTGTTCCTCTTTTCCATCAAGGTGTTGGCCTGGTCATAGCCGGGTCTAGGCCGTTTCGGTTTGGTTTTCCTCCAGAACAGAACTAGTGCTCGTTACCATAGCAACACACTAAACAACTCACTAAAATCTTGGTATTACGCCCCAGGCCGGGCTAAACATTCACATTTTGTATCTATTTCTTTATAAAAATTTGCATTTAATAGTCGCAATCTGGTTAAAGTTAGGAACAGCTAATTTGGTTGAGGTTAGGGATAAGGCAAGGGTTTGCTTGTAGTGGGACAAAATAAAATACCAAGATTATAGACAGGCCCGTTTAAATAGATATGACATGATATGCATCGAAACAACAAATAGAAAAACATGTAAAAAACAATCATTTATTTGTATTATTTTTTAGCTGACAGGGAAGCCAGACTGTACTGCGTGTACCATCCATCATCCCTGTTGTGATAGTAAGAATGCATCTAACACATCTATACTATGTCTCCAGATTAAATGTTTTATACACATGCATGAACGTCCACCTGAACAGAGAGTAGAAACATGTGGATCAGTGCTGAAGGATTAGAAGGAACTTTGACTTTCTTTTAGTTTTGGGTTTAGGCAGTAGGTGGAGCTGGAGAGTTGTGTCCTGCTTCAGCCTCCTGCACCAACATCTCTGGTGGAACGTCCCAAGTCCTCTGCCTGGGTACAGAGACACTGGTTTAACTGGATGAGGATGATTTGCCATAGAGAGGATGTTACTCCAGGTTTTGGGATTCCCTGAATAGAAACCAGCTGCAGGGGTCTGTTAAAACTTGTCTTTTATCTTGTCCCAAACCCTCTCTCCAGTTGGAGCCAGGATGAGCTCTGGCTCTTGTGGAGTTTTAGTTAGAGCCTGTTTAGTTTTACTGCTCTTTTCCCTGGAGCCATGTTTCTGTGATGTTTTGCCATGAGGTGTTTGTGTCTTTGCTTTTCCCTGAGTGGATTTTGGACCCCGCTCACACTTGTGCCACTTTTCTTGTTCTTATTTCTTTTCCTCTTGGTTTGCCATCCCTCAAGTGGGACCTTTCTCTAAGTCATCGCTTCAGCAGCAATCTCCTTGTTTTCTGGGACGTCAGCCAGAAGCGATCTCCTGTCCTTGTCAAATAATACTTGAACATATTAACGTTATTAATTAAGTGTGTGTGGAATTATTTGTATCAAGAGTTAAACAATTTTTGTGTAACTCTAAGACCTGGTTATTGCTCACTTGCTTAAAATATCTGAACCAGCTGTTTCTCACACAGACATGGCCACTCCATGACGTCACGTTCCATCTCAACAGTATTGCTATAGCAACCAGGTTATACATTAGTGTTTGACTCACATCAGAGTAATTGCACTCTGTCTCTGCTGAAATATAAAAAACATCATACAATTATTTACATATGTGTCTAATCTTAATTTTCTAACATAAAACAGTTGCAGTGAAGTTGTTTGATTCTGCTTCTGCTTTTGGATAAACAAATGAAATATTATAATTGTTATATATAAACTTCCACTTGGGGGCAGTAGAACCCGCAACGAATACCATCTTAAGTACAAGTGAACTTTGCTCTATATTTCTGGATATTTGTGCAACACACGTCAGAATTACTGGGTCATGTCATAACAGACTCAAATGATAAAATACAACACATACAG